CAATCGTTGAACCACAACTTAGGTGAGGATGGAAGGTATAATACGAATCGATTGATATAATTAAATAATACAATGGCCGTCATTCCTTAAAAATACAAACCGCTTTCTAATGCCAGTTGATGTTCCTATCGTGGTAACAATTGGGTACAGGGGGACTTGTCCACCGGGGGGTTACTGCCTCTTCACCAAGCCTGACAATTGGCTTGAGCAAGGTTTGTCGTCCCCACGGACCTTGATCAAATGTGGTCATCAATGGTGAATCCTCATCCAGGTATCCAGGCCGGCCCTTTTTCCAACCAGCGATGACTTGGAACAGTATTTCCGTAACAAACTGATCTGGAGTTGATGGTACAAATCCAAACTTTTTGGCCGTCTCGTGAACCACATCCAGGGGGTACAATCCGACCTCCTCTTCCAGTGCTATGTTGTCTGCGGCGACCAAAGAGCTAACAACATGGTACGAGCCTCCTTTGACTGCTCGGTCGCGAATAGCCATCATGGCCGCCAATGCGCCTACTACACCAGTAGTCATGTCTGACACTGGCAATGGAGGTAAAACGCACTTCCCATCCGCATATCCAAATGACCTACCCATAACATAGGAAGAACCGGAGGCAGCATCGCCAATCTGCTGCCAGCCTGGGCGTTCAGCAAAGGGGCCATCTGGGCCGTAGCAGTTCTCATCCACATAGACAATGCCTTTTCCTCGGTTCGCAGCTAATTTTAACATATCCCGGAGCCCAAGGCCTTTCCTGTCCAACGATCCATACCGGAATCCTTGAATGAACACGTCCACATCTGCGATAAGCTCTCGGAGACGGGCCATGTCCTCAGGCTTAGTAATGTCCAGGTCGATGGTACGCTTGCCAGCATTCAGGACAAGTTGCAAGACCTTTCATTATACAAGTGAGCTTTTGGGTATATGGAATCAAGGGGAACAAGGCAGCTTACATTCAGATCGGGAAGTTTACTACAGTTGACTCGGATAACGTCCGCACCAAAGGCGGCAAGTGTCACACCGATAGTTGGGCCCGCGATAATGCGTACCATCTCCAGCACCTTGATCCCCGCCAATGGTCTCTCATCTCCAGGAACCTTGGGCAAGGGCTGCAGAGGTGTAGGAGCTGCATAAGTTTCGTGTGTATAGTTCACATATGGATGCTTGGCGAGCCGTTTTCCCATTTCCGTGTTTCGCCATGATTCCGGCTTATAGCATATGCTTCCACAGAGACCATGACGTACGTTGTGCATCTCAAGCTCATCCGGGCTCCACTGGCGGACATGTTTCTGGATGTAGTCGTAATACTCGCTCGGTTTATTGAAGGTGACGTTGGTGTCGATTCCCATCGTTTTGAGAACTCGATTAGCATCAAGAGAGCCATGAAGTTGATACCACACGTTCGGATCCTTGGTTTGGTAGATCGCTGTTGTCCTACTTGCGAGACCTTTGCCGAAGCCTTGTTCAAAGTCACGGTCAAAGAGGGTATTCAATTTGCCCGATAGTGCTATGGCTGGGATGTCAGATCCGTTGATATACGTAGTCAACACCGAACCAAGCCATATTCCTGTCTGGTCAGTGTTGACAGTGACCCTGCTCTCAGCCGCCGGTCTGCTATCACGAAGCTCCAATAATTCGTTCCCTACTACACCGCACATCGCGTGCAGAGCGGCGGCAACAATAGGTGCTTTGATGGGACCAGGTATCATGGGATCCGGCTCTCCCTCGAAATGCACAGTATCCCATACTTCTTTGTTCTGGGTAAATCCAGGTGTCTTGGAGGCTAGAAATTCGAAGACTCGGCGAGTGTCATCGGGCACGGGAAGAACATTCTTATCGATGAAAGTTCCAGGTCCGTACACATCTGTACCTGGGGTTGTCTCGTGAAAAAAGGCCATAGTAGACATGTGATTGAGATGTACGCAATAAAGAAAACCGTACAATGAATATAAGTCACAGGTAGCTACTACCTTCGAACGAGGCGCGGTCTTCACTTTATATCATCCACTAACATACCACGTTGCCTAGATAACCGTTGGGGAACAAATCCCTCGGTGCCGTGGGGCTCCACTATTGGTCCACAAAGTAATTCTTGACTTTTGACTATGGACACTACTGTGTAGAAAGGGAACGGAACAGGATGAGAAACCACTACCGGAAAAGAGCAGCCTGTCACGGTAAGCCGGGGGGCCATGGGTTCTTTGTCCGAGATAATTTTTCCTTCCTGGTTTGGGGGCCGTTCCGTCAGTGCGACCAAGGAAGCTTCCTGGACTTCCAAAGCATAATCTTTGTGACGTTCACTTGGACGAGTATATGTGGAACTCCGCGCCTCCGCGGCACCGATGCACAAAACCCGTGGCCCGTGGCCCATGCTTGCCGAGAAGTATAACTTCGATTGGCCAAGCATAAAGCAATGATCAGCGGTGGATAACTTTGCGGGGAAATGCCTCATGGCAAGCTTTCATTAGTCGAATGAATTGGGATTATATTCCAGCGGTTTGTGGAAGACCACTCAGGCAGCTATAAAATATATAGCGTGATGTCCAAGTCGATCACCACAGCCCCATAATATATAACACCAACTAAATCATATCACTCATATCGCACAGATAACTAGATTCACTTGAAGATGCTGCGCGATCCTGAAAATAGACCTGTGAAAGTAGCCAACTGCTCTGGCTACCATGGTGTGTTCATCGATTTTTAGTTCACTAAGTTTGCAGACGCTGACTGCCTGATTAACTAGGCGACCCAGCGTATGAGATGTACCGCCAGGCGACACTGGGCGACGTCGATTTTATCACCGGTGACTATCTTGCGGGTACGCTTCTCAGTGACCGTTACAGATGGTTGTCATAAGCTAAGCGTGAGAACAGAAGTCAACTTGGCCAAGAATGCCGAGGCCTGGCGTGCCGGTAAACATTCGGGCTACGAGGAAACAGCCTGGCAGGGACTACAGCAAACAATCGATGTCATCGCAGAAAAGGGCATCCGCGTAGTAATCAACGGGGGTGCTTTGGACCCTAGAGCACTTGCGTTGAAGGTTGAGGCTTTAGTAAGTGGCTTTTGCGATCGCCAAACAAGAAGCGCAACTAATTTGCTCGTTGCAGACGGCTGAGAAGAAACTTGACATACGTGTGGCTTATGTATCAGGGGATGATTTATACTCTCAAGTCGGGCCTAACATGCCCACCAGCAAAGAGGAATTACAGCACTTGGATTCTGGAAACCCCTCCATTGTCTCATCGAGGTTGACATATGCGTTTACGAATACAACCGACGGAAAGCCAGTCCCCATGACATCAGCCCATGCATACCTTGGGGCCCGTGGTATCGTTGAGGGCTTGAGGCGTGGCGCACAGATTATCATTTGTGGGCGTGTTGCTGATGCCAGTCCCGTTATTGCAGCAGCCTGGTTCTGGTACAACTGGAGCGAAACGGACTACGATAGACTTGCGGGAGCACTTATTGCAGGCCACCTAATTGAATGTTCGGCATATGTCACCGGGGCCAACTTTGCTGGCTTTGATAAATATCCGCTTGAGGATCTTATTGCTCCTGGATTTCCCATTTCTGAGATTGAGAAGGACGGGACCTGCATCATCACCAAGCACCCGGGAACCCAAGGAGTTGTGAACACTGACACAGTGACATGCCAATTCCTGTATGAGCTGCAGGGCAATGTCTACTTGAACAGTGATGTTAGTGCGCATATTGGTGATATCGCCGTCGAGGATGTTGGCAAGGATAGGTACTTGTTAATAACGCCCCTTTTTATGCTAGCTCTAACGATAGACAGAGTCCGTGTATCCGGCGTCAAAGGGTCACCGCCGCCTCCCACTACCAAGCTTGCAGTTTTCTACCCTGGGGGGTATGAGGCAGAACTACTTTTGAATGCAACTGGATATGCTACTACGCAGAAGTGGGACCTCCTCGAGAAGCAGATCCGTCATTTCCTTCCTGAAGGTACTGCTAATGATCTTGAAACACTCGAATTTCAGAGGTAGGCAAACTCCAAGCATTATTTACCGCCAGGACATACCTTCGTGAGAGCAGATGACTGAATCAGCCATAGAGTCGGAGTTCCCGACCCAAATCCATCATCTCAGCTAAAGAGCACCACATATATACGCATCTTCATCGCAGCCCGCACAGCACAAACGGTATCAACCGTCGCAAAGGCACTAGGCCAAATCTCACTCAAACACTTCTCCGGTGTGTTACCCCATATCCCATCAAATGCACAAACAAACTCACCAATGAATAGGTTTCCACGCATCCTCCGACATGCGCACAGCCTTCCCGCGCCCATTCATCGCATACTATCCCGCCATCATCAACCAGTCCGACATCAACGAACAGGTCAATATTCTAGACGGCCAATCCAAAACCACATCCTTCGGCATCCCGCGCCCAATGCAATACGAACCCCTGCAGCCACGCGAAAGCTACGATCCAGTATCGCCAACAGTTTACAACGGTCCAACAAAGGAGATCCGCCTCGGAGACATCGCACTTGCTCGGTCGGGTGACAAAGGCGCGAACCTCAACTTTGGGATCTTCGTCTCCAACCCGACTTATTGGGAGTGGCTCCGGTCGTTCATGACCATTTCGCGAATGCGGCATCTTCTCGGCGATGATTGGGATGACTCGTTCTCAATCGAGAGGGTGGAATTCCCACATATCAATGCAGTGCATTTTGTTATCTATGGCATCCTAGGCCGTGGGGTCAGTAGTTCCAGCCGGCTGGACGGGTACGGGAAGGGATTTGCGGATTATATCCGGGATAAGGTGGTTTCAGTTCCTGTTCAATTTGACCTGAGACGATCAACAAGACTATAAGTATGCACAGAGTATGTACAGAGAATGGCAAATGACACACTAATCTCTTTAAAACTACCAAAATCCAACAATTTATAACTATATAATCCCTATCCCCACCTCACCTCACAACTTCACCACCAACCAACATACCAAGTCGCCTCCAACCCTCACCTGAGAATTAAGAATCCTTCTTCCGATTCTCAATTGAACCCCTTTTCGCAAGAACCAACTCCTCCCTCTCCCACATTAACTCCACAGCAGCGCCCACAGGCCCCACAAAAATACTTAACAAAACCGCCTTCCCAAAAAGCCCTAACCACCCAACCCTACCATAAACCCCCCTCTGCGCAGCTGCATAAAGACTCCCCGCCCAAACCAGCACTCCGAGTGACCCAATAATATAATCCCACCTCAAGAACGCATGAACCCCATGCCCGACACTAGCCACAGTCCGAACAGGATCTTCCCATGGAATCGGGACCTCAAACACCCGTCCAGGATGCAGGGCATCCACAAACTCCCCACTAAAGATACCAGGGACGAGAACAGAAGCCAAGGAAATAATCCACGAGACGAGATGCGTAAGTGCTGTGTTACCGAATGCGAATGCGTAGACCCATCTCAGGGAACTGAGGGACTTGCGCTCGCTGGTTGGGGTTGTGCTATCTGAGGATGTGAAGGGGGTGGTGATGGTGTAGATGAGGGTGAGGAGGATGGAGACGTAGGCGGGCCAGGGCTGCCAGATGGCGATGAAGATTTGCTTCAGGTCAAATGTTATGTGCTCTGAGATTGGGAGGATCAGGAGCTGGGTGGGTACCATGTAGCCTAGGATGAAGACGAGGGGGAGGGTGTTTGTGATAGCGCGCGAGATGCGGAGGTTGTCGGGGGTTGGGTTTTTGGCTGTTCTGGAGGTTATGAGGTGGAAGAAGCAGTAGAGGGGGGCTGCGAAGGCGAAGGTGAGAACTTGGGCTGTTAGGCCGAAGATCATTGGGCTTTTTGTTTCCGGTTAGCTTTGGAACTCAATGAGGGGAGAGTCGGGTAGAGGAGAGGGGGTGAGGATTACAATGCTGCAATTGTCCATGCGTTCCCCTTTCGCCATGCTTCGAGGGTGATGAGCACCCAGGCTGAGCCGAATGTTCCGGAGAAGGCGATTGAGTGGAGGAGCAGCGATGGGTTGCTGCCATCTGTTGTTGGCCAGAAGAAGGCCGTTAGGGTTGTCAGGAGATGGTCGATTGGCTCGATGCCGGTGTAGATTGTGCGGAGGGGCTCATTGGTTCCGGGGAGGGCTCCAGATGCGATGTACTGCTCGCCTAGTGCGCGAAGGCCGTTTATGTCTGCGTAGTAGAAGATCGCGTAGAAGACGAAGAGGCTTAGTGAGGGGAGGAGGACTTTGGCGACGGCCATTTTGACGGTCCTCCGGTTGGGTGATGGATAATGCTGGAAAGCGTTGAATTGGGGGCCTTCGATGTGTGATCGGTTGAGGGTATTTATGTCTACAATATTTATTTGACTGTGGATGCGTGATGTGCCAGATCTATTTCCTAATATGGCAGCTGTTGCGAATAATGCGGAGGAACTAAGTGTCGATCTCATAAATAGGGCTTGTACTTGTATACCGAGGTTTCGGAACTGACATATGACCCCGAACTAGTGCGGTTCACATACATATGTTCAGTATTATGACTAAGTTAAAATGAATAGTAATCATACCACAAAAGTTCCGAAAGTATGTACATACGTAAGAAGAATACTTCGCTGTCTACAAGATGAGCTGTAGAATAACGCTACTGGATTGGCCAACTGGATATATGTCAAATACAGTTAGAGATAATAATCAAATAAGCAACGGTATGTATCCCCAAGCACGCTACATCAAACGACCATATAGTCGACTGTCACGCGTTATACCCTTCCAACGCCGCATAAGCAGCCTTCACATAATCCCCGGTCCGCTCATTACCAAGAATACTCATGCCCATCTTATTCATCGCATACGTAAAAGTCATTTGACGATCGAGATCCATAAGCGCAAAAGACCCCCCCCATCCTCCCCAGAAGGCCAACTTTCCAGATGGAATCCAATCCACGGCACCTAGCATATCAATGCCGAAACCAAGCCCCCACGCGATATTTAATCCGATAACCTGGTCTGGGCCACTGGCCTGTACCTCGAATATTTTGTCGATCGTCTCAGGATCCAAGAAGCGCTTCCCATCTACAGTGCCATTCTGCGTGAGGATGGATAAAATGTCGTTGGCCCCGCGTGCGTTGGTAAAGCCACCGATTGATCCAAGACCACTGCGACGGAACGCAGGCTCTTTGGGCAAGTGTGGATTAGCAGGACTACCAGTCATAGCACGATACATGATACTGTTAGGGTCTAACCAAGAGAGGTCCATGTTCGTCGAGGCAGGCACCATTTCTGCGATACGATCCCATTCTTCTTCCGCCACGGGGAGATGGAAGTCGGCATTACGGGGAACAGCCAGCTCATCGTGCACAAACTCGCCCAGCGTTTTCCCCGTTATGCGGTGGACTAGCTCCCCAATGAGATGTCCCTGGGAGCAAAGGTGATACCCGTGTGCCGTGCCCGGTGTCCACCAGGGTTTCTGTTGAACTAGGTTTTCGGTCGCCTGGGGCACATTAAGCAGGGTGGCCTCGTCGATCGGGGGGTCGAAGGATGGCAGGCCAGCCGTGTGGCTCATAAAGTGTCGAACCAACACACCCTCTTTACCGTTAACAGCAAACTCCGGCCAGTATTTAGCAACCGGGGCATCTGGATCGACCAGGCCGCGATCGATTAGAAGTAGCATAGCCAAACCCATGACCGACTTGGTCATTGACCAGACCGATACAGTTGTATTCTCGGTCCATGGCTTTGAACGCGCTGCGTCCGCGTAGCCGCCGCGAATATCCACGACGGTCTTTCCCTTGACCCTGATGCAGATGGAGGCGCCAAGCTCTTTGTCAGAGGAGATGTTTTGCTGCAAAATGTCGCGCACGGACGAGAACGCCGGGTCGCACGTGCCACTGACCTCAGCCATGGCTCTTAATAACTGTATGAAATGTTCGAGATTGGTAGACAGAAAATGAGAATCTGGTTGCAATGTATTGATTCTTTGATTGCTGCCATAGTCCTACTTATGCTTTTTCTTTGACGTCGTTGCGGGGTTTAGTTTCATATTGTGAGGAGCTAAACCATTTAGTGCTTATGTGATGAATTAGTGCAAACGAGGCTTCAAGTCATGCTTGCGATCTGGGTGGGTAAATGGACTGACTGTATATCTTGTGACTTGTTAAACCAACAGATCAAATAGTTACTACAACTTATTCACCCTTAAGTACTAGAATATAATATTGACCCGCAAATTGATTACTAGTATGAGAGAAGGCTCAGCAGTCTACTTATTTGTTACTTTGCGGTATCACTTCTGACAGGTGGGACGAGGAGACAAGGCTATACACCAATAAAATCACTCAAATACAGGTGAACCATGAAAGTCTAATACAATATTTGATCAAGGTTTAAATGAGGTCTATCTCTAAATGTATGCAAACAGTCTCATCTAGCAGTTAGCATATTGCAGTATTGGAAGAGATAAGAATATGTATTATCTGTTGCTATCTGTTGAGCTTATGCGCACTCTACATGTATGTAAGTAAAGCGAGCAACTATGGTACGGGGCAAATACTAATATCAATGCATAGCGTCTCGCCGGCTGTAGGGAGTGAAACCGGGGCATTACGAGCCTTTCACCATTAATTTGGTTCTAGGTTGGGAAAATCAAAATAGTTGTCGGTCAAAAACCTAAAATGCGTTTTCGAGATTGTCATATTCATGAGATATGCTTATCACATTGTCCACGCGAACTAGAATTAGATTCGGCAAACTCTTATGACTGACTCTGGATTCGTGAAAAATTGCCGATTCTTTTGTATGAATAATACACCTGTAGGGTGATTTCAAAAGGACCACCGTTTTATACGCTTAACAATAATACAGGATATGAAACCTCCTAATAATGGAAATATCACTTCGAATACTCCAGGAACAATATCCCGCATGTACCCTAGCTGGTGCCTTTGAACGCCATTCTAGATTCAGTACCAAAAGCAGGAGCACTCGAAAAAAGAACGTGGTAAAACTAGATGAGAGCCGGGCTGCTGACGATAGGGTCATCCGAATTTAAGTGCAATTTGAAGTATTCTAAGCGATATCATGGGGACTAGAGATCGATGTTAGATAGGGTTTTCAGTTCGGGTTCTTTGGTGAATTAACTTAAATCTGTCTCGAATCTTTTTAAATCGGTTAGCTCATCTACAATTTCAGTTGAATTCTACATTAAACCTAGCAGTATACTTCTAGTATATTAATGTAATTATAGACCAAAACGTCACCCCTCACAGGTTCCATAAAGTTGGACCCACCATGTGGGGTTTCCGGTAGAAGCAAGGTGTGTTTAGGAATGTTCTTTGTGGTTGACAGGGCGATATTGCTATACAGCTGCAGCGAAGAGGACATCAATGTTGTAGGGATGTTGGGGAATATCATTGGGGGCACACCTTTTACAATAGCCTCCAGTTATATCGATGACGTCACGTACCCATCAACCCAGAGTTGGTGAGGTGGATAGATGAGTGCTGGAACCACAATAGGTTACAAGTCTAATGGACCCATGGATCGATATATATTGACGAACGTCATTGCTCTCATGGCCACCCCTCGCGAATTAATAACGTGTACACCATACGACTCCCAGGGGAGGTAAAGGCGATCAATCCAAAGATGTCCTCAGCCAGCAGTTCAAGTAGCAATCTGTCTGAGATTCCCACCGCCCATCCAGAGCATAGCCCGGCGTTCGAATCCGTTAGACCATCAACGCTGAGCCGACGCTCCACCAATGTTGAGCTCTCACGAATCGAGTCGCTTCGTCTGACACACCGGTCGACCGTTGGATCGACAGCTGGACCAGCCCCACGAGATCAATGGCTACCATTTGGCGGCGGAAAGGATTATCCTCCGTTGCTGCCTGACCCCGAGAAATATGTCGTAGAATTCACGGGAGAGGACCCAATGGATCCGCATAACTGGCGTATGAGTACCAAGTAGGTAAACACCATGCTCAGTGGCTCGAGACGATCGTCTAAGCTGAATGAATAGGATTCTTTTGTCCTGCATTCTCGCGTATGTCACTTTCGTGTCTTCATTCGCCAGTGCGATCTTCTCTTCGACAGTCGCCGCGACCAGTGAAGAATTCCACGTTAGTACGGAAGTCACGACATTAGGTGTGACGCTCTATGTCTTAGGTTTCGCTGCCGGACCAACATTCTGGGCCCCAGCTTCGGAGCTGGCCGGCCGACGATGGCCACTTACTGCGGGTGCCTTTGGGGCTAGCATCTTCACCATTGGGACAGCAACAGCTAAAGATGTCCAGACGATCATGTTGACCCGGTTCTTCGCTGGGTTCTTCGCCGCTAGTCCGCTGGCCCTTGTCCCGGCAGTATTCGCCGATATTTACAATAATCGTCATCGCGGCGTGGCTATCGCCATGTTTGCCATGGCGGTGTTTGTTGGGCCATTCGCATCCCCATTTACGGGCGGATTCATCACCATGAGTTACCTCCACTGGCGATGGACCATGTATATTGCCGCCATTATGGGTTTCTTCGGATCGGCGTTGTTGCTCTTCTTCTTCCGAGAAACCTATGCGCCCATGGTGTTGGTGGAAAAGGCGTCCATACTACGACGCCAAACTCATAATTGGGGAATCCATGCGAAACAAGACGAGGTCGAGATTGATTTCAACCATTTGATCACAGTTAACTTCAGTCGGCCCTTCCGCATGTTACTCACGGAGCCTATTGTCTTCTTGGTGACATTGTACATGTCTTTCATCTACGGGCTGATGTATGCGCTGCTGGGGGCATATCCCGTCGTATTCCAGCAGATCCATGGGATGAACTTGGGAGTCGGGAGCCTGCCATTCATCGGGCTAATCATCGGCGAGTTTGCTGGGGGTGCTTACACTCTCCTCAGCCAGTCTGCATATACGAAGAAATTAATGGCTAATAACGATATCCCGGTGCCGGAATGGCGATTACCCCCGGTAATCGTGGGCGGAATCGCCTTCACGGTAGGTCTCTTTTGGTATGCACCCACTCTGCTCATTGTTTTCTCAACATTTTGACAGAAACAGGTTCGGTTGGACAGGCTGGACGAAGAACATCCACTGGATGGCTCCCACGGCATCTGGGCTTTTGGTGGGGTTTGGTATCTATTGCATTTTCCTGCAATGCTTCAACTATCTGATCGACTCGTATCTGCAATTGTAAGCATTTCCCTTTATCGAAGCCCGATAAAACGCCAAGTAAGCAGCAAGACTGATAGGACAAGTGCCGCTTCGGTCTTCGCCGCCAACACCATCCTCCGGTCTGCCGTCGGGGCGTGTTTTCCGCTTTTTTCACGTCAGATGTTTGTCAACCTGGGTGTTCAGTGGGCTGGAACGCTGTTGGGTTGTCTTGCCGCTATCATGATCCCCATTCCATTGGGATTCATCATCTGGGGCCCCACGTTGCGACGGATGAGTAAGTTTGCGCCGACCGCGGCAGTTTTCGAGGAAAAGTCGGGGTAGTCGCTGCAGGAGTTCGAGATGTAAGGAGAATGTATGGATGAGATGTTTCCTGCATAATGCACTCCGCACAGTAAACACGGTAAAATCTCATGGGCAATGAAATTCTGATGGCACGTTCCGGACTTGCCGTTCACAGTAAAGAAACGGTAAAATTTCCGCGGTGCCAAGAGAATTAATCTCGCGTCCCTCGAGAAACCCGGACGGGTAGAGATAAAAAATCTCCTTGCGATAAGCTGAAGAGCTGTGGACCGAAACGCAAAAAATCGGCGAGACCCGCGTGTGTCTCATGAAACCTCCACTTCAGCACCAAATAGGTATGGTTCAACCGCTCGGGGTCCAGTAGCTGCATTGCTGATTCGATCCTTGGACCGGTCGGCAAGAGAACCGTACATCTGACTGGCATTCCAGTCCCTTAAGTGGCTCCTATACGGTCATTGCCAAGATGACAGTCACACGCGCCACTGATAAGCACTTGAGGCGAAGGAAGGGTTTAGCAAATTTTTTATCTTTTTCTTTTTTTTATCTTTTTTTTTTTTTTTGCCTGGACTGGGCCCCTCCATGGGTGGAATAAAAACCCGCCTTCTCCGCAAGGTTTCTTGAATTTTTTGTGTTAGGCGTTGCCTCAACTATACCCCAGGCTGAGACGCCTTTTCCCAGTCCATCAACTTCAAACCTAGACAATATGGGTTGGATACATCGTACCAATCTTAAGGTGGCGCGGTCGCCAGTTGGGCGATGGTTCCGTCTGGAGAATTCCGGCCATGTAAGTCATGATGGTGACATCTGTATGAGGTGAAAACAGTGGACGATTTCTAACAAACATATAGCCCCAAGAACGAAAGGGAAGCTTTTTCTTTACCGAAATTCGAGCCGGATTGGCGACCTTCTTCGCCATGGCGTACATTATTAGCGTCAATTCCACCATTACCTCGGATTCAGGCGGCACGTGCGTTTGTCCGCCAGAGAGCTGGGCCGACAAGTGTAATTCGAACACCGAGTATCTGCTGTGCGTGCAGGAAGTCAAACGGGATCTGGTCACTGCCACAGCAGCCATTGCTGCTCTGGGAACATTCTTCATGGGTTTGTTGGCGAATTTGCCTGTAGCGTTGGCACCTGGAATGGGCCTGAACGCATACTTCGCATATACAGTGGTTGGACATCACGGCTTTGGAATGATCCCATATCGCGTCGCGGTGACAGCGGTGTTTGTGGAAGGATTTGTATTCTTAGCCCTGACACTCATGGGAATCCGGCAGTGGCTGGCCCGAGCATTACCTGCGTCAATTAAACTGGCGACGGGTACCGGCATTGGCTTGTACTTGACGCTCATCGGACTGAGCTATAGTGCTGGAATTGGTCTGGTCACTGGTTCGACGGATACTCCAATGGAGCTTGCCGGATGCCATTCTTCCATGCGTGATGCTACCACCGGCATGTGTCCCGCCAGTGACAAGATGCGCAACCCTGCCATGTGGGTTGGTATCTTCTGTGGTGGTGTCTTGACGGCAATGTTGATGCTGTACCGTGTCAAGGGTGCAGTCATTATCGGTATTCTGTTGGTTTCGATCATCTCGTGGCCCCGTCCGACACCAGTCACGTATTTCCCGCACACGGAATTGGGAGACAGCAACTTCGATTTCTTCAAACAAGTGGTAACCTTCCACCCGATTAAGCATACGCTCGTGGCGCAAGAGTGGGACCTCTCAGGACATGGCTCGCAGTTTGGATTGGCGTTCATTACCTTCTTAGTGAGTTGGTTCTGTTATCACGTGTCGCGCAGGCGGGACTAACTGGATTGAATCAACAGTATGTCGACATTCTTGACACTACTGGTACCCTCTACTCTATGGCGCGCTTCGCTGGTGCTATTGATGAGCGCACTCAGGACTTTGAGGGCAGTGCTTTCGCCTATGTATGTATAACCGTATCCGTCCCCGATTTTAAATGATATTAACAGAAGTTTACAGATGGTTGACGCGATCTGTGTTTCTATCGGTTCGCTCTTTGGCACTCCTCCCGTGACAGCCTTCGTCGAGAGTGGTGCTGGTATCTCGGAAGGAGGTAAAACTGGTATGACCTCGTGTGTGACCGGCCTCTGCTTCTTCATCGCTGTTTTCTTCGCTCCGATTTTTGCCTCGATTCCTCCCTGGGCGACCGGCTGCACCCTCGTCATCGTCGGTGCCCTCATGTGTAAAGCTGCCGCGGAAATCAACTGGAAGTACTACGGTGATGCCATTCCAGCCTTCCTCACTATCGCCATTATGCCTTTTACCTACAGTATCGCGTACGGCTTGATTGCTGGTATCCTGAGCTACATCTGCATCAATACGATGGTGTGGATCGTTGAAAAGGCGAGCTTTGGACGGATTGTGCCCCCGAACAAGGATGAGAAGGATGCATGGACCTGGAAACTCCCTGGTGGCTTCTTCCCACCTTGGGTCAAGAGAGCTGCGAGGGGAAAAAAGAAGTTCTGGCAGCCAGATGAGGAAAATGAAGGTGTTGTGCCAGATGGGTCTTTGTCCAGCAATGACCGTGGTGAGAAGTCCGGGTTTAAGAGCAAGAGCGGTGTTGTTTAATCGGCTGAATTATAAAGCATCGTTCATCGTGTATAATAGAGCATATATATATATATATATCTATCTAGCTGGGTGTGGAGTACTTCTGCTCCTCCGAGCATCCGTCTAAATTAATTTGATCATGGTTCATGCGAGAGCACTAGCTTTCTATTTGTGAAAGTGTTTACTAATATGGTCCATTATTCATCTTACAACAATCACTTTATAACTTAAATCAAAGCTTGTCTTGTTGTCTCATATTTAGGGCTTTCGGCATCCCGTTAACAGTTGTTGGGAAGAACCAAAAGAATCGGCGACTGGGTCCAATCGAGGGAAAGGATTTGATTGGCGGAAACTATCTTCTAGAATGGCTTGTAAGTCTATTGTAAAGTATTTTCGTACGAACGCGTCGCAATTTACCCCAATGTGGTATAGTCAAGTGTCAGAGCCACCCGACGCTTGTGTAACTTACGGTAATCCCGAAACGTCCTCTATGCGGGGAAAGTGGCGTGCATTTCCGCCCACCAATTACGCCGACGCGCGAGAGTTAGACGGAATTCCTGGTATCCAATTCCTTGCTCTTTGATTTCATCCCTTCGTTGCTTTCTTTTCCCGCCTCTTATCCCTTTTTCGCCCTCAAAGGCCCTTTTTCTCCGCCCTCATCATGGATTGATGTCTGCAGAACATCATGACAGACTCCAAACGACGGCTGGCACCCGCGCCGCCCGGTACCCCGGGTGGCAATGACGCTCACCCACGGAGGAAAAACGTCGGCACAGCGTGTTCAGCCTGCAAGGCTCGCAAGCTCAAGGTATTATTTCGTTCCCTGTACCAATAGCTCTCGATACTGACATGCGTAGTGCACGGGGACTGCACCTTGTGCGAACTGCGTCAAAAGCCGCCTCGAATGTACCCTCGATCAGACTCTCGATAAACGTCGCCGCGGAGCCTTAAAACGCAAGATCGACCAACTCGAGGAGAAGGAGGATCTTCTTTTTCGCCTGGTCAGCGTCCTACGAGAAAGTGGCAACCGGAGCACGATTCCCTTGCTCAATTTGATTCGAAGTAATGCCTCGCTGCCGGAGATCCAATACTATCTCAACCATCAGGTGCCCGAATCTGAACTGGCCCTTATGCCCGAGCTCATTGAGGTGAGTCATGAGGTCCAGCGATTACAAGAGGCGGACTCGCGATCAGTGCGTCGGATCCTGGATGCGAAGCGATTGTCGGATCAACCCTTGTTTCAGGTCCCCGCGAAGCCCTGGACTAGCGTCGTCTCGGACAACGATTTTGTTTCGCATCTCGTCTCCCTGTGGCTCACCTGGTTCCATCCTTTCTCTAATTGGGTTGATCGTGATCGGTTTATCTACGATATGCAAGCGGGGTTGCTGGGGGCCAAATACTGTTCTCCGTTCTTGGTCAATGCAATTCTAGCATATGCATGTGTACGTGGTCCCCCGTCTGTGTCCGAGGTTGTGTTCTGTATAATAACGGTCGCAGACGTACTCAGATTATCCCGAAGCATATGCTGTGCCTAGGGATGTGTCGTCGAAAGGCGCCCACTTTTACGATGAGGCGAAACGATTACTGGACAAAGAGGAAGGGAGAATCAGTCTCCCCACCGTTCAAGGTATCGGTGTGCTATGGGCGCGGTAAGTGCTTGCGCTACATACCCTCGCAGAGCGACAGACTAATAATAAGCAGTGCTTGTATGATCGGTCAAGACCGCCAGGCATGGATCTATCGAAGCCAACTGGCCTACTCAGCCCACGAACTGTCGCAAAAGTACACAGTGCTCGCATCGACAGTCAACGAAGACGAAATTCGCATGGCCCGGGTAGTTAATAACACCAGCTGGGGTTTATTCAATAGCGCCACGTAGGAACCCAGACTACTACAACAGTGAAGAGCGACGACTGATCTAAGCCAGGACTCATGCCCTGTTATACGAGAAGACACCGACAATAAAGCCGCCGCACCAATCATCTTTCTTGCCGGTGAATCATGTATCGAATCAGGACGAGTGGCATCCATATCCAACGCCCGCGGGCGGAACGCCGTCGCACAAGACCTGTCTGTTCAACGAGCTTTGTGCGTTGAATCTAATTGCATATGACGTCGCAAACTTTTATTTTCGCAAAGAGGCACCTCGTTCCCGTCCAGACATAGAACAAAAGACATCCGAATTCCATAAACGTCTAACTGAGTGGGCGGAACGGCTACCACAATGCTTGAAGTTAGGGAAGGACACCGAAATCCCGCACATTCTATGTTTACAGTGAGTTGTTTACCGCCAGGAACTATGCAGAGCAAGATCTAACCCGTGTAGTATGTATTACCACGCCATTCTGATCGCCATCTACAGCCCTCACAGGCTGTCGCGCGAAAAACTTATTCCATACACGAATCACGACACAATCAACCCAGTACTAGCCCTCACCACCTGTTTATCCTCCGCCCGTAGTATCGGCCACTGGATGCAGATGTACCGAACCACGTGGGGTCTCGAACACATGCCCATCTTCCACACCCAGTGGATCCAAGCGGCACTGTTCATCCTCTTAGAAAACCTGCAGAAGGCCGACAACTGCGAAGCGTTCATTATCCTCAGCATTGCAGCGAAAGCATTCTCGCGACGGTTCGAGAAGGCCAAGCGCCTCCTACGGTCGCTCCAGGATTCGGCTCGAGAGTTGAGGATTAATTTACCAGTGGAGGTGGCTCCATTGTTCATTGAAACAGATGGTCAATGGTTTCTGCATCCGGTGCGGATTAAAGAAGAGACGAGCGATACGGCAAGCGGTGACGTATGATTTATGATCGGCTCGTTCAACTATACGGTGTTTTAGGCCCGGGATGATACTCATCACAATAGATAGAGATCACATACTAATGATATATACCACTATTTCGTTTAAATATTTAGCCAATATACTACCCAAATGAGAAACTATCAACATCATATCACTATATATGTACCTTCGAAAGCCGAAAATCCCAATCGTTATTCATAAAGGTATTATAAAAAAACAAATCCAACAAGCCGAGCTTTACAAGGAAGAACCCTAAGGGCGACCGGATTCAAACCTTATCCGTAGGATCCTCATCCTTCCCTTTAACCTTACTTCTCCCTTTCCGATACCCCTTCTTCAACGTCAACCGATAATGCCACAGCGCCCAAACCACAACAGTCGCTAGCGTCAACGGAAGAGTCACGGCCCAATACAACCAGAAGTTCTTGGCCATTTCCCACGACTCCGCCTCGCCGCTTTGATAATCGAAGAAGTTTGTTCCGAAGATGCCCTAATATACATTAGATCACGAATGTAGGGAATGAGATAGGGTGTCGGGAAAGGACAATAAGAAAGGGTGACAATTACCGAAACAAATGTCCCGGGAAGATAGATTAGACTGACGAGACCAATGGTTTTCATCATTGCGCTGTCAGATTGGGCGTTACGGCCGAAGCCTTGGTTGACTAGGTTGAAAGCCTTTTACATTTTTCTTAGTCTTTCTTTTCTGTTGGTAGTGCGAGGCAGGAGACATGATATAGAGAGAAAGAAGGGAAACAAACAAGATTAATCTCGTTATCTAATCTTTCAGTCAACGACTTCGACCGAATTTTAAGCGAATGCATTTCCTTCGCGGCAAAGGCCAATTTCTGTCCGGTTTGGAGATGCGCGCCGTGGGCCTTCGAAGCAATTTCCGCGAACTCTTGTCGCCAGCGTGATTGCTCCACCACGACGCTGTTGATGGTGTGCTCGGCTACCTCGAGGATCTCGGTTGAGTGGAAGATATGTCGAGCGATGTCGTGGAGGTTCGGGAAGTTGGTGGCTTGTAACTCTGCCAGGGTACTTACGTTTCGTTTCTGGTGTTGCTTTTGTTAATATTTTTTCTTTGATTTCGTTTATTGAGTGTAGAGAGGAAAAGAGGAGGATAAATGAGTGACGGCAGACCTTTTCTATGTGTCTAACGAGATCTCGTAGAGACCAGAAGCATTTATCATATAACATCGCTACTTCGCGGGCGAACACTGCATGCCATATATACGGGTTATAGTATCTCAAGTGCCGGCTAGGGAAGTTCTTCTGTATTGATCGTTGCTCGTCGGGAGGGAGGCTCACAAAGAAGACTCTCTGTAGGCCGGGTGTTGCTGGCTGTGCACCACCGTCTGAATTTCGAGTATCGGCTGGCTTTTGTTGGGGCGGTATGTGCCATTCGACGAAGACTGAGGGTTGCATCCAGTAATACTCGTCGGCAGTGTTGACCTTTTTGAGTTTGAAGACGGTCCATGATTCTATCTTTTATCAGCATAGTGGCACCAAACAGTGGAACAACAGAAATGTGAGACAAACTATGTCGGGAAATGTCATTCCCGTTGAAGCCATATTCAGTGTGAGAAGACCCGTTAAGGTCATCCTTGAGGGTACGCTGGAAGTCAGATGGGAGGTTAAGGAGCGAAGCACATTGTTTCAATGTTTCTTGTTTGAGGAATCTTATTATATCACGATTATTAGCCGTTGCATCGCTGTGAGTTTAATTGGAAAGTGGACTACTGAGAAGCATACACGACCTGGGTGGAGCAGCGTTGGGGGGACTAAGATTCGTTAGCGGGTGTATATTCATATCGCAGCGGACAGGTACACCAACACTTAAGTATTGCTCCAAGTTAACCTCTTCCTCCTGTCTCCATTGATCGGTGCCTAACGTATATCAGTACTTTCTCTTCTAGAAGGTGAATGCAAATTTAGGACCCGGATCATACCATCATCTTCAAAGATGGTGACTTCGGGCGGCTGCGGCGTGTCTACGGAGCTGAGTTCCATTGTGAGAGCTACTCTGATAATATGCCCAGAGCTTACCCCAACATGAAGTGGAAAAAGAATGGGGTCAAAACCGTGACTAATGAGGATGTTATATGTGCCGAGGAGCGCAGCCTAACGCATGCATAGCCGCTGGCGCTAAGTGGCTGTTTTCTAGTACGATGGACAAGTCACCACGAGGCTGAACGATGTAAAATTAATCCATTCTGAACCAATCAAACAAGCGCGTGAAAATTAAACAATACTTGGAGGGAAAAAAAAAAAACCACGCAGTCGCACTGCATAGAATCACGGCAACTCCTCTGCCAACCAGTCCTGAAACCATTTGAAATCTGCCGGGCACAGGAATCCCAGTCCGACCATAGCCACGGCACTGCCCAGCCAGTTCGCTCCGTTGAACAAGCCGTCTGCCTCATCGACGAATGGATTCTCCATGTCATCTACAAGGCTGGAATCAGGGCCCATGTCAGTTGCGCCCGTCTCAATTTCTTCTTCGAGATACGATAGAATCCGATCCCGAGCGGCCCGTAAAAAGAGTAACGTGTTTCTCGAAGAGAAATTATACGGGATCATGAACTGCAAGATTTGTTCGCACTTGCGCCAGGCTCCGTTGACGGCAGTTTTCTCGATGTCGGGCAGGGCGGGCAAGCAGGTGTAGGACATTACAAGGACCATACCCGCAACCGAAGTGTCTGTTGGTCAGCCTCGTCCATAACTTATCGCATCGGGGTGGGGCTTACAGAAACCATTGTGCCACCAGGTGTCGGTGGCGGAAGTTTGGTAGTTGTCATAAACTAGGGAAACCAAGTCGATGGCTGCTTTTACGCAGGCCACTGCACACGTGAATAACATCGATGGATAGAGCGTCCAAAGGGCAGGGTCATGCTGATCGGTCTCGGAATCCTCTTGAGCCAGCATCTCAGAGCAGAGCTGAGTAAAAGCGGCACGGTAGAGGCGGAGACGCAGGTAAAGAAATCTGGAACCATGATTAGGATGCTCAGTAAGGAGGATTGCACCGTGGGTCGCACCTTGCATGTAAAACATTTCTCTGACGCCTCAAAGTCAACAGCTGAGTCACATCAGTCGCTGGATTAAATGGACGATTCCAACTGAGGAATGATGGAAGGCTGGATTCATATTTGGATAGCTTTTCTTCCAGTTTAACCACGACATCTAATCCGTCCTGTTGTACAGCTGTTGATCTAGCCGGGGTGCTCGATCGGTCGCACCGTGCTTTGTGGACAGCAGACAGGGCAGTTTCTAGAATGCTACACAGCTCTAGACTAGCGGGGTAGAAGGCTGTCAAATAGGGGTCCTTGGTGTTTGTAGGGGTAAGACCTACTGCCCCTGGCAGTGGAATGGCCGGCAAGGAAGACGTTGTACTAGGCCTCCCACAAGCCATGCCCACGATTCTGCATCCGTTAGCTTTTACCAGAGCCAGTACAATAAGTCAGGGACGAACTTACGTATCCATCATAACACACCCATGCCATGTGCGACGCTGAATTTCTAATTCGAATGGGTCCTTGAAGCTGTCCGGTTGATTGTCGTGAAACTCAAGCCCCTGGACAATTTTACACGCCACTCCTACCAAATCCCGAGACTTATGTGAATCGGGTATGCTTTGAAGATACAGTGACGCCAATAAAAGAGTCTGGACAGCCCCAAAAGTGCGGATCTCCAGCAGATCCAGGCCAATATTCTGTTTGGCCCGAAGGAAGAAGGTATGGGCTATGGCATTCCGATCTGGAACCGAGAAATCGGCAAAGTGGCACCCAAGTGCAAACATAGTGTTCAGTGCACAAATAAAGACTGGTGACTGACGACCGGAGTCAGACCTGCCGCCCAGGCCGATGTTGAGTTTACTGGCCTTTTTGTCTTTTGCGTTGCCGGATATCCAGAGACCCTCGTAGGCATCCTGGACACTGGATCGGTCAAAGAAAGGATAAAGGCAGTAAACCCGATCCCAGAAGCAACCTAACAGATGGTCGGCAAGATCTCGCGGTGGTAATAGGGAACCATCTAAATGAGTATGAGTAGGACCGTAGGGGATATCTCTCAGCAGAGGCCCTTGTGTCAAAAGACGTATTAGGCACGCAGTAGGTGGGCTACCGAGAAATTTATTCGATTGCTTTGAAAACCCTTCGTTACCACCAATAAGATTACTAGCCTTCAGCAAGTTTAAATCACCCTCCTGTGGATTTGTCAGAAGGGAGGGAAAGGTTTCCGGCTTTATTGGAGGGGGAAAAGCGCGGGAATTCCCTTGACCTGGAAGAGTTGTCTGAGCATCGAATTGGATTCCCAAGCCAATCTGAGGTGTCTCCCCATCCGAGTCCATGGATAAAACATCTGGATTAAACGTAGGCACTGGAATCCCAGCTTCGTGGCACACCTCTTCCAATTCCCGAATATGACGATAAAGAACTTGTAGGTATCTGTATGTCTGTGAGCAAAGGTCACGTTAACCTTTCAATGGAAACATACTCATCGGTGTCCAATAGCCTGACGATGTTGCGTCTGTAAAGACACCGGTCAGCCGCATGCGACCGTTGAGTGCAAGGCCCGCAGATGGGTTTCCTTCCGTCGCAGCGAGATTTGCGTTCGCGACATGGCTCACAACACAATGACGATTTTCGTCGGCGTGATCCGTTGCTTTTTTGTATAGCAGACCTTCGAGACTGCATATTGACAAGAGGGAATATTTACGTAAGGCCACAGAAACCAAAAAGAAAAGCAGGTCCGGATGTTGTGAATTGACGTTAGAAGGTGAAGAGCGTTCGGACGCTGTGGTCTTGTCGTCATAAAGAATCAAGAATAGGATTGATTCTGTTCTATCGTAGCATTATGTGTGGACCATTGACAAATATTTATATGCCCAGACAGCTCAAAAGAGGCTTGGATTTAATCCTGGGGGAGCCACCGACTCCCCACTTTGGCTTCAGGTCTAACACATCTGACCAACTTGTTGGAGACTTTTTTTCAAGGGACAAAGGCTAGATAGTCTCTGTGATAGGAGCATTCTTCTTGAGCAATTCATTCCTGCATGTGCGTCGCTTACCACGGGACACTGATGCATATATCAGGCGCCTTCCGCACTGGCGTCGTTAAACCGAGTACTAAGATAGGATGATCCGCCACCATCATGCAGAGGGATCACTTACGGTTGGGGCTAGTGCCTTGAACGGCGCCCTACCTAAGCTTCCGTTGGAAACTAGTGATTTTTCACAAAAAAGCGGGGAGCACATAGCCCACCAGCGCCGAGGATACTGCATATAAGCGCCAAAATTCAGCACAGCGCTTAAGTTGTGTGGCGGCCCTATCACCCACCTTATCACACACAAGGATGATTCGATATTAGTGCGAGACTAATAACCAACACGGTGACGGTTATGATTTCATAATTTCTCGTCATCTCTTTGACCCCTCCTATGAACGCCCATCTACAACGTTGGCCAACATGGACTCGAGGTGGGAAGACTCCTCTTCAGGGGGTTTTGTGCTACTTCTGGGATTTCCAATATTTATCTCTGACTGAAATTTGTACATTAATTGCATTGCAGCATGCATAAGGGGGACCTGAGAGGGGTTCATCCCCGTCTAGTCAGTCAGGGTAGATTGATTTGTGGTCTGTTTCCTTGTCAGCATAGCCGCTTTCAAACGACAATCAGACCCAGATGATACACCAACAAGATCTTTTGTGGTTGCCTGATGTCACGATAGTTTGGAGCGGGTGGGAGTCATCGCACGAAGCGTAACGCTTGACATTATCCTCAGCGAGTAACCATCGTAGCACTCAACAGGTTTGGGGGTAAAATCAAGTCCTGTCCTGTTTATTGGAAGAAAAAATCAAGAAGTTCATTACCGGTGAAATCACCAGTCGTCGGTCTAGTCCGGATCTGGCACCGGGACCATGTGACTTGCTATGGCCTTACGGGTCAGGTTGATTTCTTCCAAGTTGGCCTTCTGCTTGCTTATTGATTCCGATTGTAACAAAACGCAATACTATATATGATGGATGAAGATCCTCGAGAGCTTCCAACGGTAAGCGTACTCCCGTGGACACATCTTGCCTCGCGTTAACGTTTGTTGAAATGTAAGTAATATAAATCTCGTAGGATAGCAAGTGCCGCTGTTATCCTTTTGTTATTAATGGCGAAGGTTGGATCTCGGACCCTAAAGCCTGTTATTCCAGATTAGAGGCAACGAGCTGTCCAATGGCAAGTTTTCCGACCGATGACACTGGATAGTGGCAAATCAGACAACCAAACCGTGTACATGTTTGAGACAAAGCATGGACAAGATGACAAAGACAGAACTCATTGTGGGTTATCCGAGGCTTTGTAAACCGAAGGTACGTACTAAATAGGCAATACCCTTTGCAAGCATGGATAGTTTGTTGCTAGAAGCTCTAGACCGTAGATTTTTGTTACTGACCCTGCTCTACAGCTTATGAGGCATCTATTTAACTCTGAAAGCGATAATTATGGGGAGTATTTGTTGACTGAGCTATAAGTACGTGGATTAGCCCGTGTTCATATTCTGGGATGTCTGTGTTTACCCTGTCAGAGCTTGCACAAGGCTCCACAGAGCAAAGATGCAAGCAAACAAGAGTCCTAGCGCAACCTGCATTGCAGTTGACGGTGCCTCTCTGTGCTACAGAATCATTGGGACCGGACCACTTCTTATTCCGATGCCTGGGGCAAATGGCACCGGAATGTTGTATGAGCCATTAGCCACTGCGCTCTCATCACACTTCCGAGTTGCTCTATATGACCGCCGAGGATTCGGAAACAGTCTCCTGGTCACTCCTGGAGAACCGGATACGTCGAACCATCTGAGAGCGCAAGCCGACGATGTCGCCAGATTGATTCAATATTTATCCCCAGGGAAGCCTGCGACAGTCTTTGCGGCTTCCGGCAGTGGGGTGATGGCCATTGAGCTCCTCCAGTCTCGTCCCGACCTTATACAACATCTAATACTACACGAGCCACTTCTTTTCGATCATCTCCCTACTCCATTCAAATCGTATATCAAGGGTGGGGTGTTTAGTAGGGCCTTAAAGTACGGGGGGCGTGGGAATGCGAGTGTTCGGCGCATGTTACTTGCTTATGTACAAGGCAAGCGTGACCAACGGAGATTGGGTCAGGATCCGCATTACGCACGACTTATTTCTCAACCGATAGACGAGACTGCGCTCTTCTTCGAGTTTGAGTTACACATAATACTCGACTATCATTTCGATCCCGAAAATCTTCGGCCATATCAAGACAAATTAGTTCTTATGAAAGGATTGGATATATCACCGGAGCTCGCAAGTATCCCGGTGATTACTCTGTCTGACGCGCTTGGGACTTCTCTGGTGCTTACTCCTGGAGGACATAACGGATTTGTTACTGATGCGGAGGAATTCGCAAAAGAAATGACCTCAGCTCTCGACAGTAATAAGGCTAAGCTATGACACCCCCGCAACATTTTTAGGTTTATTTACCCATTGGCCGAGACGTTATTGTTGAGATAAATTTATTAGCAAATCAACGGATATTCTGTAGCATGCAGATGATATCTATCCTTTGCCACTTTTATCAATAGTACAAGCTAAATCTGGTTAGCAATAACCAGGCGTGCATTGGAAAGATGGCGAGTGAAAGGATAGAACAGACTATTCTGTTAATCAAGAACGGGACAACTTCGGCGAACAGGAACTTCCATGCATTGCTCAATTTCTCTTGGACATGCTATTTAGGGTTAAGGGTGAGTCGGTCAATCAGGATCTAATCCGAGATTTTTTCTAGAATGCTTCCCTTCTCCGTGTTATCATCACCACACGACTGATAAGATTATCTCTACCGGCGTTTCTCGGACGGAATGCATGTTTAACGGTGCATTGCCTAGCTCGACTGTCCGAATCCCCAACTGGGAGGCCATGATCAATACGGATAGAAGTTGATCTCATAATTCGCCTCGAACACGCGCCGGAGCTGTTCGGATTCAGGAGGGCCAAAACCAAGCGCCGGGAACGGGGAACCCTAAGGGTACGCTTGGGATAGTGATTCTATTTGGCAGCAGTAGACCGAAGGCAAAGATATATATGTGTATATAGTTTGGTAATAAATACTACTGTTCGATTAACTATACTAAGATAGGGTTGCCAGTGCCCTAGTTGATCCAGTTAATTAGCCACATATTACCTAATAAAGCGAGCTTCTCCGATTCACTTAAAATTATGCATTACGATCCAAATTTGAAAGGGAAAAAAAGAGAAAGAAAACTTATGAAATGCTGGAAGTCAGCTGAAAATATCTCATTCCTTAGTCTGCACTGCTTTGCTGGCAATCGGAAGCTACCGAAAAGTTGCATCTACGATGCGGGGAGGGGGGAGGGGAAACCAAGTTAATCGGCGAAACCGAGGCAAGGATAACGATGAATGCTTATCAGCTTCGTGAGCTGAAACAGTGTGTGATATGGGTACGTCGATCAGCCTGACCCGCATGGACTTGCCCAATCGCGTAGTACGACCACCAATAATGGTGGAGCTTTGCCTGCAGAAACTCCATCGGTCTATATCAATTATTCGCAACACTAGTCCATAAACAAATTTCCCGAAAGTGCGGCTGGACTTGCCCGGGGCCCGGAATGGGAAAAGTGGGTAACTACAAACAATATTTATAGAGGTCCCCGTCTCTCCTGCACGGCTCTGACAATTGCTGTGGACGAGGAGCCTGCTCATTTCAGATTGCTCATGATGTTTCTGGGTCGTCTTTCATTAATTGCCTTCGGAGTCTGGGCTGTCCACCCAGTGGTGGGCTATGTGTCTCAACCTAGGGACCAGGAAGGGACATGTCAGAAGACTACGGTTGCAATTCTGTACGTGTCTATCAAATCAGCTATCGGCGATTATCTCCGAGGGTTTACTGACGATGCTCAGAGGGGCAGGCATATCAGGTATCTCGGCTGCCGTAAGTATTCTGGATTCTAGACTGAGAGGTAAATAATACCGCTGACTTTCGTAGCAAACTCTGTCGAAAGCGTCCGTGGATGATTTCCTTATCCTGGAATATCGCGACCGAATTGGCGGCCGTGCTTGGCACGAGAATTTTGGCCAGGACAAAGATGGAAACCCCTACGTGGTCGAAATGGGTGCCAACTGGGTGCGGACAACGTATCCCTTGCCTTGACCGCACTCGACTGACATAGTTGATTAGGTTCAAGGTCTCGGGAATCCAGGAGGTCCTGAGAATCCAATTTGGACTTTAGCCAAGGAATTTGGCCTGCAGACGACATACTCGAACTACAGCAATATTTCGACGTACAATCAGGATGGCTACAAGGATTACTCCCACCTCCTGGACGAGTTTGATGAAGCCTACGACATTGCAAACCTGGCGGCTGGCAAGATCCTTGTTGAAAACCTCCAGGACCAGACGGCAAAGGCCGGATTGGCGTTGGCTGGATGGAAGCCGAAGTCGCATGACCCGGAGGCTCAGGCAGTTGACTGGTGGATGTGGGGTGAGTTTCTTTTTCCTGATAGCCTCGGTACAAATACTAAGTAGAAGTAGACTTTGAGGCATCTTTCACGCCGCTAGAAAGCTCATTGGTATTTGGTATGGCAAGTGACAACTTAACCTCGAATCAGTTCAGCGACCATGACAACTTCGTCACCGATCAGCGGGGATTTAACACTATCATCAAGGGCATGGCCTCCAAGTTCCTGACTGAAGATGACCCCCGCTTGCTTCTCAATACGAAAGTTACGAATATCACTTACGGACCCGAAGGCGTCACTGTCTACAGTAGCGATGGGAACTGTGTCCAAGCCGCATACGCTATCTGCACATTCTCCTTGGGCGTCCTGCAGAACGATGTTATCACTTTCACCCCGGAGCTGCCAGAGTGGAAGAAGACAGCAGTCCATATGTTCACCATGGGCACATATACAAAGATCTTTATGCAGTTCAATGAGACCTTCTGGCCTACGGACACTCAGTACTTTCTATATGCCGACCCCGCCACTCGTGGTTACTACCCACTCTTCCAGTCCCTATCCATGGACGGTTTCCACCCAGAATCCAACATCATCTTCGTGACCGTTACCGACGAGCTTGCTCAGCGGGCCGAACGCCAATCTGACGAGGAGACCAAGCAGGAAATTGTGGAGGTCCTGCGTAAAATGTTCCCTGATGTGGAAGTTCCTGAGCCTACCGCCTTTCTGTATCCTCGCTGGAACACTGAGCCGTGGTCCTATGGTAGCTACTCCAATTGGCCTATGGGCACGACCCTGGAAATGCATGAGAATCTGCGGGCCAACGTCGACCGACTTTGGTTCTCGGGTGAAGCTACCAGTCCGTCCTACTTTGGTTTCTTGCACGGGGCATGGTTTGAAGGTCGCGATGCAGGACGACGGATTGCAGGGTTGCTGAATGGATGCAAGGAAGGCAACTCTACCACTTGTGTCCCCAGGAAACACTATGAGGTGCTTCATGGTACGTCGCCGCTTGCTGATTATAGCTCAGTCAATGGATGGGAGGTGAGCAGCTTCTATGATAGTAATGATGACTAGATGCGTGTATGTACATACATACGGGGTATTGAAGCATGACACTGTTGAATCGCTAATTTTAAGTCTTCTAATGCCATTCAAAATTTCCGTAACTGCGGCATAGAGCGAATTAGATGCAATTGAGATAGCTGCCTTAGGCCTGCAGTATGTATTGGTTTGGTGAAGTCACGGCACTTGCATTAACTTTGAACCAAAACATATCCCGACACCAATCCTGCTATAACCATAAGTAACTTGGAAACAAGATCGCTGAGTTTTCTCAAGCAGGATTCATCAACCAGTTTTAGTTTCTGTCGGACTAAATGCTAAATATTAATTGCGTGATGTACCTGTACATTCTGAACATGTTTACTTTTACAGACATCCATCATCCATCCCAACCATTCTCCAGAAAGGTCCATACCTGTATTCCTCGACAACAATATACACGATGCCTCATCAAAATCCAGAGGAGACAGTGAACAATCATGACATGAATCAGGTCACGAACGCTTTTCAAAAGCTATCTGAACGCGTCGGATGCCGCAACCTGCCGCTTGAAACTGTACGAGTTGCCAACTATCCAAGTGAAGAATGGCTATCGGAGATTCAGAGACGCACCCCGTCGAACACGGGCAGGCCATTGGAAGATGTACTCCGAGAGGCCGACGAGATCTTCTCATATCGCATCAGCACAAAGCATCCTCGATTCTTTGCGTTCATTCCGTCACCAGTCTCCCCCGTGTCTTGGCTGGGAGACTCCCTCACTTCCGCATACAATACCTATGCGGGAAGCTCAGAATCAGGATCCGGCGTCTGCGCCGTGGAAAGATCCATGATCGCCTGGATTGCTGAACAATTTGGCTTACCTTCATCTGCGGGGGGCCAGTTTGTGTCTGGGGCGTCGATGGCTACCTTGACGGCAGTTACCGTTGCCAGAGACCAGCGTTTGAGCGTTGGGCTGCGGCCAAAAGCGACCGTGTACATCTCAGATGAGTCACACTTCTGTATCATTAAGGCACTTCGCATCATCGGCTTCCTGGACTCCCAAATCCGGACCATCCGCTGCGATTCAAAATACCGCATGGATACCGACTATCTCCGTCGTGCGATATCTAAAGATACCGAAGATGCCCTCAAGCCATTCCTTGTTGTCGCGACGTGTGGGACAACGAGCACCGGCGCCATTGATTCTCTGAACGAAATTGCAGACATAGCTGACGAACATGGATTATGGATGCACGTCGACGCGGCCTACGGCGGATCAGCCGCATTTTCAAGCACCCATCGATCTCTAGTGAACGGACTTGGCCGAGCGGATAGCATCGCCTGGGATCCTCACAAATGGCTCTTCCAAACGTACGGCTGTGGGGCTATCCTCTTCCGCGAGAAATCTCACCCCCTGAAGAGTTTTGCATCCACGGCTCATTTCTGCCGCGACTTTGAAGATGAAAAGGAGCCCCAGAATCCATGGAACTATGGAATTGAGCTGACGAGGCCCGCACGACACATGCGACTTTGGTTCAGTTTACAGGTGCTTGGCATGGACACGATTGACAAGATGATTGGGCGAGGCTTTGAGTTATCAGCCGTTGCTGAAGGCGAGATAAAAAAGCTGGCAGATTGGATTATCTTGGCCCCCACATCTTTGGCCATTGTGAACTTTCGCTTTGCCCCACACGGCCTTATTGATGACCTTCTGGACCAGGTTAATACTCGCGTTTCGAAAGATTTGGCCGCCGAGAATATCGCGTGCATACTCACCACTCATCTGGGAGGTGTGGTTGGTCTCCGGATGTGTACCATCAATCCGCGGACCACTGACGACGATATACGTCGTGTGGTGAGTGCACTGGATCGCAGTGCTCAGGGTGTATATGAGGAGCTTTCTAAAAGACCCTAATTGAGAAATGACACCTATCAAGATAAGAGTACTGCTTAGGTTAAAGATCTTGTCATGGATTAGGATTATCCTCCGAGGCTAATGCGCGTAAAGTCCACCATTCTCTCTAAGCCGACGCTTGGTTCCATATGATAGGGGAGCTTCTTAAGCGAGGTGGGGTTGACCATCAACTTTTTATATGACGGCGGGGTCGAATATGCAGATGGGATCACATGGAGCAACCCGTCTCTAAATAGGTAAGAAAAGGCTGATCCTCTCGATGCCGTCCAGCCCTTACAAGGGGAGTATTAAGCAGCCACCATTCCTATCAATATGAGCGTTCACGAACTCAACCCAAGCGACACACCAAAGTCCTTTGATTGCACCGTCTCAAGTCCTCCATCATGAAAATCGCAATCGCAGGCGTCGGAGACGTAGGCACCTACTTCATCGAAGAATTCAGCAGATCCACACATGAAGTCGTCCTCCTCACGAGCAAACCCAAAAGCCTCCTAGTGCGCCTACCCATTGAACAACGGATTACCGATTACAGCATCGAGAACCTTACATTGCACCTGCGAGACTGCGACGCTGTGGTATCCACCTTCTGCGGGCCGGAAGACAAATACATCACCGCCCATCTGGCAATGTTAGAAGCATGCACCCGGTCCCCAAAATGCAAGCGCTTCCTCCCCTCGTCCTGGACCACCAACATCGAAGACTTCGGTGACCAACCGATCATGCTCGCGCACTCACGAAACACAATTTGGAACGCCCTCCGCTCACAACATGAGATTAAATGGACCATGGTTTGCAACGGATGGTTCATGGACTATGTTCTTCCCGCCTCGCAGCGGTATTTACGAGACGTCGGCGTGGGGTGGGTGATGGATCACCAAAATAAAGTGTTCGAGTTGTATGCGGATGGTCAACAGAAGGTTACGCTCACGTCTGTTCGGGACGTTGCTCGGGCGGCATTGTCCATATTGGAACATGATGATAGCAAGTGGAACGAAGTTACTCATTTTGGGGGGCAGACCATCACGTATCTTGAATTGTACGAGTTGATCAAGAGACGGGACCCATCATGGACATTGAAGAAGTTGCCGTTTGCCGAGGTGATAGAAAGGATTACGTCGGGGAAGTTGGCCGGTGAGGATGTCGACTTGGAGTACTTTAGACTTATGGGGTTTACCAATTGCAACAGAGTTCCGGAGGATAGGGCTTTGACGTGGGGGACGGGCTTGTTGGAGGGTTTGAGGGCTCGTGGTGTTGAAGAATTTCTGGATGAGGCGGCTAAAGACGAGAAGGTTGTTCCGTAAGCTTTGTGAGATAATTACCTCGTATCGAGTAATCTAAATGAGCATGTGGTAGATCAGGCAACCCAAGCAGATTGAGCCAGTAAAAGTAACCCTGCCGATAGTATCTCTGAGTGCGCTCAGAGCAGCCTGAGCCAATCTGGATAACCTGGACGTTGACTGCTATTGTTCCGAGTCGGTTAGGAAGGAAAGTATTGCAGCACCACTCTCTCAGGGACTTGGAAAATGTGATTCTCGGACTTTGAATGTGGTGATATGTTTCGATCGAGTCGATACCACCATTTGCATAGGGTAGAAACTAAGAGCCTTCAGACATACATCCTTGACACAGAATGAGCGCATTATACGTGGAACCATTGCAAAAGGATTCTTGTGGTCAACTAAGTGAGTTTATTGTTGCGCACAATTTCCATCCTCATCATGAATGTCAGGATCAACCAAGTGAGAAGACATTTCCAACGTATTCTCAGGGGCACTCTCGCGTGCAGACTCTTGCCTGTTAACATAATCAATTGCATGTTCCTTCTGCTCTCCGAGTGCGTTAGTTAACGCTGGTAATAAGATAGCCACGACCTCCTCAAAACCTTTCTCCTTGGCTACGTCCAGATCATCATACTCTGCTTGGACACCCTTGCCAGGAGGAGCTTCAGGATATCCAAATGGCGAAACCACACCGCAAACCCAGTTGTACCTAAGCAGCGATATCCACCCAGTTCAAAGATAGCGAAATCCAAACTGGGAAGAGTTAACCATGTGATAGTCAACGCTGGCGGGAAAGGGAAATGAAGGTTTCACAGGAAAGTTTTGGGTCTCAAGGGCGCTGACGCTGGCGCCTGCATCGAGTAGAGGCCGTATTAAACGTGCGTGTCCGTGTCTAGCGGCGTGTAGTAAAGCGGAGCCATGATCATGTTAGACATTGTATTTATATAGGGTGCCCCGCAGGGCATGGTATAGTGGAAGGCTGGATAGGACGAGAGCGTTAATGTCGGCTTGCTAGGCTAGATAACTTGTGACCAAACGAAGCACTTCGAGGGGCAATTCATCCAACCGATGCATTCTTATCCTAGAGGGGAGGCGCGTGGCCACAGGCGAAATTGGATATGAGAGCGAGCGAAGGATGAAATTGGACTCACTGGAGCCGACGCTATTTATTTAAACCGAGCCAGAGTGATGAAAGTCCAATTCTAGATTGATAGCTTGTTAACTGAGCACTCAGTTATATAGGGTGAGTGCGCCCACGTGATCGAAGCTGGCTAGTATAAATGAATGCCAGATACTATTGGCTGGGGGAAAAAGGGGGCTTAAAACGGGCATCAACGGATTGCCGTTTTTGGGCGCTATTTCACAGTCAATGAGCGTTGGAGTGTAAATAAACCGCCTGGAAAGATTGGATTCGAATGTAAAAAATCCGCGCGACTTGGCCTCGGGTTGTAGTGGGGTGGGGAACCCAAAGCTTAGCAGGTAACCTAAACAAACTATTCCCAGAGCTGGTTGACCACCCAAATACCTACTAGTATCGATAGAGCAGTATATATAAAGCAGAGGATATTATGAAGAACTGAGCGAGGGGACAACATTGGTAAATTATCATATTAATTTGGGCACCATTTCCCATGGTGAACAAGATCACCTAATTGGACAATTGCTTCAAGGGTCCCCTGCAATTACGCCAGGCTGTGAAACCGCCGAGCACACCCGATGGATTAGCTATAAAATCTTAGCCGCCCCGGTTACCCTGGATCGTTTTCCTCACCAGTTACTCCATTTCGACATGCCACAACCATGAACTGGTCGCTCGGTACACTATGGGTGGTGACCCTCTTCCTAGTCCGTCTCGATCTGATCGCAGCGGCGACCTGTTACACGCCCGACGGATATGCAGTGACTGACCCCAGGTATATACCATGCATTGCGATAGACGGCGAAAATTCAATGTGTTGCAAACTCAACGATACAATGCCAGATACCTGTCACAGCACGGGCCTCTGCTATTCGAGTCAGACGGGATATTGGAGGGATTTTTGTACCGATAGGAACTGGGATTCTCCCAATTGCTTGAAGAAGACTGTCTGCGGTGATGTAGTAAGTCACCCAAGAAAAAATAATAATAAACGGGCGCCCATCCTCCCCTTCCAAGCGACGTCTCTTTCAGTACCAACATCTTCCAGGCCGATATTGACTAAATTGGAACGCGACAGGCCGGAGGAAACTCGAACTGGACGACGAGAGTCACATCTTGCGGAGATGGATCATGGTGCTGTGGTGATACTAATGATTGCTGTACGAATGGCGGAGGATTCACCCTCAATTCGCCCCTGGTCACAATTGGTAACAATGCGACTGTCACTACCACGGTAACAGCAACACCGAAAGGCACCAGCAAGGGTTCCTCAGATTCATCTGCAAAGGTCGCGATTGGGGTCGGGGTTGCAGTGCCATTGGCATGTCTGGCATGTGGAATGTTGGGAGTTGGATTTTTCTGGGGCAGAAGAAGTGCAAGGCAGGCGCTGTCTCAGCCTGCATTTCACAGGGTTGGTTCAGGCACACCGGTCGTATCGAAAACACCACAGGCAGAGCTGGGTCACGACCAGCAGATCTATGAGGTATCAGGGAATGGGCAATCTTATGAATTACCTGCAACTCGGTGACCATACTAGTTAGTGTCTACATCTATTAGATATGAACTATGGGTCAATGACTCAATATTCTTAATTCCCTACGCTCGTGCTAGCATACGCTAGTAGTACTAATTATATCGGTTTTCTAACACAATCTCCACCTTTCACGAAGTTCCGCCGCTTCTTGTACAACTGCTATAGTCTACTATAATAATTATTCATAATTATACCAATAAATATCTTATAGAATACTACATAAATATTATAGGGATTTACTAGATAATAAAGAACTGCAGATTAGAAGTTTATGGCCAAATATAAGACAGTGAGATTTCGGTAAAATTGCACAAAATCGCCACTTTTGTTAGCTCGATTTAGTCCGCCGGACCACAACCAATTAGGGCCATCAACGCATGAAAAGTATAATGCGCTACTAATGAGCTTTTTGAACTTTTTAAACCACTAGGTCACCCACTTCGACTCCGAATTTCGACCCGGTCTTTTCGTGTTCAAAACTTTTCCAGTTTTCTCAGTCAGACATCATGGTATCTGTAGGCAGTGTTCTCATAAGCCAGGGCCACGAGTTGATTTCCGCTCGGCTTCAATCCCGCGGACAGCCTCAAAATTCATCCTATTTATGGCAATGGGTAGGCGGCTCAGTGGTCATTTTAACGGTCCTTGCATTTGGTTCGGCATTGTTCTGGGTAAGTCGGTATTAGCATCAAGAATAAGAACTATTTAAACTCATCGAAGATTTGCAATAGGTGGACTACACCTGCAATCATGTTATTGCGACTCTGGCCGCTGTCGAAGACTCGAACCCGGATACTTATGTTCGGCTCGATTGCGGAAATTCTAACGATTCCTGTGATCCTGATGGGACCGAGGTCGCAGGGGCATCAACCACGAAGCCTATCACTAGCGGGTTACGCTCGGCCGTTAAGCACCTAGGCGCCCGTGGTGGCATCTGGTCGTACTTCCGTGGATTTCGTATGTATCTGGCCTTCACCGGGTGGGACCTGGGCTTGGGCTTTCTACTCCCATCTTTTGTTCCTGTGACGACCCACTCTCTGATCAGCTTATTTGTCGGGAGGTTCGTCGCTAGCATGCTCCTGGCCACCTGGCACATGGCTTGGGTTCATCTTGTCATCGCCGACCAATCTCCTAAGAGCTCCTACCGGCGAATGCTGGGCCTCCGGTATTGGCCTAGAATTGCTCCTGCGGCTGCCTTGTACAATGGCCTCATGTGTGCGACTTCCTCTCTACCCATAGCCGCTGCAGAGCTCTCTAAATGGCCCGTCATGAACGTTACCACACCGAGACCTGAAAAGTTTCTCGGTTTCCTAGTCAAGGGCATCCTCCCAGCTATACTTTTCCTAGTGCTTTCCATTCCCGCTAGGGCCATATTCACTCGTGTGGCTGCCTCGATGCTGCCCGAGGAGGATGACCCGATTGTGCCCTTCGACCGGCGTTTTGGCGGCAAGGTGAAACCCGCAACGGTGGGTGGTGACAGCGGCCATCTTAGCCTTCAGGATGCATGGACTAGCTTTGATCGGGCTGCTTGCATTCGCTACGTTAAAGTCACCCTAAAGGTTCTTGCTATTGAGGTTGCACTAGGTGTAGTTGGGATCCTTCTAATCATGGGCGAGGTGACTTTGACCTTGAAATTATTCAATTAAGTACAGTTTTATCCCTCTTAAGGTCAAGTAGTTCCTCAATATAACGGATTTAATATATGAAAGAGTAGTCATCCCACGAAATTTGGTTATATAGTGAAAATAACGAATGTTGTACATGGGTGGGAAATTTTCAGTGGAGTAAGTGCAGTGGACCGTGATTGCAGTAATCTCCGGGTTCAATCTGACTAGTAGACAAGCCAACGAATCGGGTGTAGAGGGTTGGGAAGTATCGATGGACCCTTAGGGTCTGGTTAAGATTAATTCATTAAGAGAACATCATTTGAGGCTTGGTGTCTTGGCTAGCTGTCAAATAGCTTTACTTTAGTAGCTCTGTAGAGCCCCAGGATCTTAAATCTTTTTTTTAGTTCTACGAAGTACGTGATCACTATTATAATCAGGTGGGACTAATAATAGAAGGCCTAATTGTGGTAAGCAACGGAACAACCATCTCTGGCGAACCACTCATTAAGCACCTTGCAGAGTACCTTATCCTACTATACATCTCTTACAAGTTCCTCGTTACTATCAAGTATCTCGTAGGAAGGCTAATGCAGCACCTTTGGTTAGTCAATAACACAAAGCATGCAAAGTGATAGTATATGCAATTGTTCATAAGACTGAAGGAGCCCATATGCCCTGTATAGATAACCAACTACTCTGCGTTACTACCGCAAACGAGTCATTGGCAGTAGTATACACTATAGATCTACATACGTCCACACCACCAGGGCTCACAAGCCCACACTCACCTCCCCATAAGCCTTATCTCCAAAGTCCTCAGAATCGGATAAAAGACCCCCACCGAAGCAAAAACCAGATAATCCCCGACATCCCCACCACTCTTCCCAATCTTCTTCGCCACGGGCGACACATACTACAACAAATAAAAATCCAAATTAGCCATACCCTCCCTCAATAAACCCAATCGCTCCCAAACAACCAAATCAAGATCGAAACAGAAAAAGAAGAAAGGAAAAGGAAGAAACCTACCCAAGTCTGACACATCCCCAAAAACGAGAACCCGATTCCAATCAACAAAGCCACTGTACCCGCAATCCCCACAGGCATACGCTTGGGATCCTGCCAGGCGCTGAGATCGTAACCGCCGAGACGGGGTCGGAACCAGAAGTGCTCGATGGCGAGAATGAGGCCAAAGGCGAGGGTCCAATAGCCGAGGATGGCGAGGAAATTGTCAATGATGGCTTCGAGCTTGTTGCGGCCGCCCCAGGCGAGGGCGAGCACGATTATGGACATTAGGGCACACCAGATGAAGCGCGGAATGGCGAGGAAGTGCTTGCCCCAGAGTTGGATGCAGAGGGCGCTGGAGTAGATGTTTGCTATTACGTTTGCGACTGTGGTATCTCGGTTAGACTTTTTGTTTTCTTTTCTTTTCTTTTTTTTTTTTTTGTCTTTCCATAACTAAGGGGTAATCAATTGGTGTTTTTACTTACGGAAGGTTAGGGCGAATATCGTACAGGCGAATTTGGCCCAGCCTGATGGTCGGAGTGTGGCTAGTATTAAAGCGCCTGTTCCCTTTGTGTTGTAGATTGTTGACATTTCGTCGTTGGAGGCGATGATGCCCCCAAAATGGTTACCCAATGTGCCGACAAAGATGGTTGGGAGCACCTGGCCAAAGTAGGTGAGGGAGAAGACGAGCCATTTGTTGGTGTCAGCTGGGTAGTGGATGTAGTAATCGCCTGCAATGGGACACCACGAGCAGGCGACGCCGAAGACGACGGCGAAATAGCTCAGACAAGCACCGCTGTAATCGATGCCGCTGACTTTGCTCAGCCCGGGGGTGGGAGTAAAGTACCGGGCTGATTGTCCCCATGTCACGCAGATGAGCACCAGGGCAACTACCCATGCGTATCGTTCGTAGTGATGGATGAGAGTGAAGCCGCAAAAGGATACGAGAAAGCCGATCGCGACGATGATGACGATCCCTGCTGCCAATGGGATCGAATCGCTAGATACAGCGACCAGGAGCTGGCCCCCGACCACCGCGGCAATTACCGCATAGCCGCCATTGACGATAATGTTCAGCAAGCCGCAGAACTTCGCTCCCCAGATGCCGAATGCATAGCGGGCAACGGCCACCTGGCGCAGGCCGCTGGGTGGACTCAGCGTCGCAGTAAAAGCGGGTACAATGGTCCCGAGGAGAGCCGCGAAGATAGTCAGGATGACTGAGGTGTGCACCGAGAGGCCGAAGATAGGACCAAGTGAGCCGATAGGGATCAGGGTTGGGCTTATCAGGACGGAGAACCAAAAGAACATCATCTGAGTGGGGTCGGGCGGGTCAGTTGAGCTTCAGGTTATTGACAAGAACGAGAGAATGACCTCCATGCTCACCTCTGAACACTGTTAGGTACATACATTCAGTTTCTGTGGTGGCCGTCGCTTATCTTCTGGGACTCGCTCGACTCCCATGGCCTCCACACCCAGTTTGCGGTCAATCCAGGTCTCGAAATTGCGCAGCGATCGCAATAGACCATTGTCTTCTTGCATATGTCTTATACGCTTCTCACCCTCATCGCCCGGGTCGACTGCAGTGTTCGTGTGCTCGGTGGGTGACTGGAGGGAGCCCTCGTGCGACTCGATGCCCACATGCCACAGGCTTTTTTGTTCGCGCTCAATATCCATTTCTGTGATCCGACCACGATGCAAGGGAAGGCAAAAGGAGGGGAATCAGAGAAATAAAGAATAGTGAAAGCGTGGTAGCACGAATAGAGCGGGGCATGGGGACATTAACAAGCAAGAAGTTCTTCTATCCACCGTGCACTCTTATCGGTCGGTTTGTGGTTGCGTTGGCGGGGATCTGAAAAAAATCCCCCGACTGAGACCTCAACCCTGGCTAGCGTCATTCCTGCGAATCCCTTGCATGATACTTGCATATTGTTGCCCTGAGACAGCTGGCATGGTGAGACCAGTAATTATAAGTAGGCTGACTGGGCCTATATTGACTAGGATAGGACTGCTTCAGTGCCGGGCATAGACGCCAGCAACGTTCCTATAACTTATTGTGACCTCCCATCCCAAAGACTACCGTCATAGAGACAGCTCAGGGTTTATACAATAGCGTCCTGATAGTGATATTTAACTGAATTAATGTTACATAAGAAGCATGTGGATACCAGTCAGATGCGACATAGGACTTTTGACACGGCGATGACAGCGGGCGGCCCGCAGGTCCAGTTTTCTTGCAGATCAATATAACATTCAGGTGGGCCCTAATAAGCTAAGGGAACGCTACAACCGCCTAAGAGCGTTGGGAAGTAAACTAAGCAGGCCGAGACCAGGTTTAATTCCCTTGCACGTAACCCTGTCTATATCCAGGCTACGTTATCATAGGAAGAAAAACTTTTCTCGGAGAGCGTTGACAAAGTAAGACGTGCTGACAGCATGTGCCCATATATAAGACAACATGATCTTCTTCTCCCGTTGTCAATAAGTGAGCTAGACCGATGTGACCGGATAGTTCAGCATGCACAACGACCGCCTGGTGCAATCATGGACCTGGTTTGCGGTCACCAGCGTCGTGGTTATCTGGCGATAGTAAGCGGTATCCTTCGCTCCGTTGCTCCATCTGACATCCGTCTCTAGTATCTCCAGGGGTATGCTCTTGGGTGGAGTGAAGGCTCTGATGGTGGAGGACTATCTCATGCTTTTCACTTATGTATGTTAACTCTGGTTTAGGTCATTCGCATAAAAAATACTAAAGTTGCAGACAGGGCTTCTACACTAACTTCATCGTCTGGGTTAACATTCAAGCAAAACACCCCAAAACAAACATCTTGCCGCCTACAGGAATGCTGGGCCTTACCGAGGAAGACATTCAAGATCGCATCTATGGAAGCAAAATCACATTTGTGCTAGAACAGTCCATGGTATTGGTGCAATGGGGGTGCAAAGCCTGTATGATCCTAGTATATTACCGACTAACGTATGTGGAATTCCTCTGCCTCTCCCTTTCTCCATGGGGATTTTGAATGGTGGGAGGCCCATGCTGATGATAATTACAGGTCAGGAACAAAGATGGCTCTACCAGTCAAGATCCTAATGGCCTACATCGCACTAAGTTTTGTAACAGTAGAAATCTTCTACTACGGCGTCTGGTGTCGGCCATTTTCCAATTACTTCGCCGTCAAAGCGGACAATGACCGTGAGCAATGATGAATATCTCCGGAACAGATCGCATGCTGACATACATCGAGCTCAATGCGAGGGCGCCCAGCATCATCTAATCATGTCATATGCCTTCAATCTATCCTCAGACCTAGCCATGCTTTGCATCCCGATACCAGTGTTTCTCAGCTTACAATTACTTTGGAAGAAGTATGCTCCGGAGCGACAATTTAGTTTCAGTCACGCGAGACAAAAGCTGACTTTAGGACAGGAAGCTAGCCCTCCTGTGTGTGTTTAGTCTAGGAATCTTTGTCGTGGTCGCAGCGACATTAAGCCGATACTACTGCTTCACTCATCCGAATAGTATCTTGTGGATTTTCTGGTACGTGAGGGAGGCCAGCACCGCCGTCATTGTGACCAACGCCCCCAACTGCTATACTCTCCTGCGCCGTATCCTAAAAGTGCGCGGCTTCACCATTTTCGGCACTTACGTAGCACTTCGTCGAAAACCAACATATTCCCCGGAGGGCGGTCCGCCGAACGAACTGGCCCAATTCTCGGTCGGTCGGTCAAGGAAGCACACCATGTCGTCGGAAAGCACGGAGCACATCACACGGGAAGACAAGGGTTTGGAGATTTGGCGGCACACGCAGGTGGCAGTCTACGAGGATTCGGGAGAGGACTCGAGAACAACCATGGAACAAGACAGGAGAGGTGTCTATGGAAATAGAACGGGGCTAGCCTCGTCGGCAGTGACAACGGGGGACGTTGGCTTATCCAGGTAGAACTCAGCCGAATTAAAGGCGCAAAGATAATCGTATTCTTGACAGTTAAGGGGACTCTGGGAGCTGGTAATCTTCCGCTCTGATTCATGGGTCGGCGTTGAATGGCGTAAATGCAGTACACTTGAGAACCGTGTCGTGATTCCTAACAAATCAGATTAACATACAACTCGGCATACGGAGTACAACGTTCAAAGAATGATAGGAGCCCTGTGTAGCATTGGAGTTCTTGCCTTCAGTGCCCGACAACGATCTGTTTTTTCTATCTCGCGGTTGAGGGAAGACAGTTTGCAAATCTCCTCTGTACTACATCAGTAAACCCAATAGAGAATGTAAAGGAGAACATTTCTAGCATTATACAAACAAGCTATCTATTCTAAACTGCTCCGGATTCTCCACCGGCCGCAAGAACTCCTGATTAAACTTTAAACCTCATTCCGTACCTAGACAGAAATCTAGCCTTTTTTGTTCAATATCAAGCTCTTCCCGTGTGTTCCGATCGAGTCAATATAGAAGCCTGTTGCCCAGTATCCCAATTTGATGTTCGCAATCTCTTTCTCGACCGGAAGTCAGCGCTGACAGTTATTACTATCTTGTACTGGAGCGTAGCCAACCCGCTATGACATCCTCGTTGGAACAGGGTACATCCCCTTTAGGATTACAATTTTCGAGGGACGCCAAAGAAAGCAGGAACAAGCGAGCACTATCTCGACAATAATAATTCCATTATTCTCTAGAACAGCTCAATATAGCTTCTAGACTATCAGCAAATCCCTGTTTTCACGCAAACAGCTAGTCTAAGCGTTGGTGTAGCTTTCGTGCTAGAGCTTACATCCACAAAGAAACCCCCTTATAATAACCAAGTTAAATCACTCAGACGGAAGCGCACAGGCAACCTAGAGCCCCTATATAAAATTTTTCATTCCTCAGAATGAGATATAGCACAGACATAAATAGCGCGCTTAAATCTCGCACAAAACCACTTCCCATCGCAGTTCTCAGATCCTTCAATATCACCCTCACAACATCATCGCTATACTCCCATTTTCGCATCCTCCATTAAGCAAAATGTATCGAACCCCAATCATCTTCATCACTCTCTACCTATCAGCCCTAGTAGCCGCCGGCAAAGACCCCTCAAAAAAACCAATCGAAGACCCCAAACCAGAAAGAGGCAACATCAACGCCAAATGCCACGGCATCTACATCAACGGCGAAAAACCCTCAATTGCAGGCGAAGGTGTGCAACGCCCTGTCAACGCAAACGGCCAACCACCACCCATGGCCATTCGACCTCCCAGCACCCCACAGTCGATCTGGGCGACATGCGACCATCGCATCCAGGGGTCGAGAACTTCAAAACTAGATTTGAATCTATGTCTGGGGTGGAATCCAACAACAGAAGAACTTATCCCGCAATCCCGTGGAAACGGAATCACGAAAGGTGACTGTTCGAGTTGTTTTTATGCGAAGCCTAACCTTCACTGTGTGTGTGGGGTTAAGAAGAAGGAGGATGATCGGATTCCTGTTAGTTTGGGTGAGTGTCCCTGCATTTCATGTTTAGTAGCGGAGACTTTGCTAACTCGGAGGGTATAGATAAAGTGGTAGAGGCTACTCATGATGGGTTCTTGGCTTGCTTTGAACATACTGGAACCCAGGTTTCGCTGGATCAGTGGGCTACTAGTTGAGAAGCTAGGAACGTGTAGGTGCTAACGGTACTTGGTCGGTCGCTGCGTTTGTTGTTGGACTTCTGGCTGAGACCATGTTCTTGGGACGATTGTGCTATGCTACGCTTCTTTCCTTGTGGTTTGGATCTTGGAATTTGAAGGATCGGTGTTTCTCTGAATCTGTGGCCCGGTGTCGGCGACATGGCCGCTGGCACTCCTGTTATCCTGTTCTCCGATTCCAGGTATGTTTAGGATAGATAAGATCATAATACAGTTGCTTTCTGAAAGTACTATCACTACTAAATGGTATACCGGTGGAGGTATATTTGTGCTTTGCACGATTGACTGGCTAAATGTATCCATATCCTTATGCGTCAACATAGAACTTGCGCTTGATGAATTGGTGCGTATCTACACCTCCTGCTAGAATGAACATACAAAATAAGAATGGTATGTGATCCACATGTATAAAGTTGAGATCAAGTGTGCAGCAGCATGCTGTCAGGAATCTAAAGAGGTTATAAAGAAAAGTAAGTAAGAAAAAAGGAGAACAGAACAGCGTTAGTCTCTACCCCGCGCCCAGCCTTCGTGATTTCTATTACCCAACAGTTTATAAGAAGGACAATCACTTCCACAACTCTAATGACAAGGAACACAAGAGCACAAAGGTCATACGAGCCGGATGTTTGGAATAACACCCTTATCAGATGGCACCTTTCCTAACGGAAAGCCGGTGCAGATATGAGACCAGTGGGACTTACAGAGCTAAAGCAAAGCTCTAGACAAGGTTTGGAAATTACAAGGATACCTGAATGACATCAGGAGCCACAGGGACGATCAGATAAAGGGCCATGTGGAAGCATACTGGATGAATGGTCGTCCCTTGGTATTGGTGGAGATACAAAACCAGATATCCTCTGTACACGGAGGCATTTGGATGGCAAATTGACGATCCATATGTGGGTACACTCTTTGTTTTCCTCTTCTTTGTGTTACGAAATGAACTTTAGTGGAGTTGTGAAGAAATTCTGTCGATTAATACTGTGTTTACGGGAAGGATATTTGATAGATAGCCCAACCAGAAGACCATCATGAAGAATTTTCAATTCTTTTGAGCTCTTCCTCGTCTATAGCATGCATGCATCTATCCGTTATCAGTCATATCATGACGCTTTACTCCGTAGATCACCGTCCCTAAAGCTATTGGCTGTACCTTGCGACTCCTGAAGCAGAACTCAACTGCCCTTCCCGTTTGCCCCAACTTAAAATCCTGAGAGAAGCTGTTGCCCTGCGCCCCAGTTTAGCGTCTCAAATAATTTTAATTATAACAGCAAAATTGAATTCTCAGGAAAAAAAGTATTCCAACTAAGATAAGCCTCTCCTGAAGCTGCAGAGAAGGGGTGTCTAGATTCACATAAATAGTCTTTCCTAGGCCCCGAGCACAATCATTCTAAGACCCAACCCTTGTTCTTCCCAGCATCTTGCCTTTTCAACACTTTCATTGCTTAGTCAAAGCAAAATGCATCATTTCATAATTATCATCACTTTATATCTCTCAGCCCTGGTAGCCGGAGGCGGAATCCTCTCAAAACCCAACCAACCTCCATCTGATGAAGGCATCCAAATGACAGACATGAGCCTCAGCTCTTCCGGACACATATCCAAAACGAACGACATTGCCAAAGGAGGAGCATTACATGACGAATGCCGCTACCTCAAAGTCCACATAACCTCACCCGATGGAACAGCAAAGAGCTCAGCAAAAGACACCACAAAGGGCACTGCCAGAGGACCCACAACAATATCAACCCCATATCGCCAAGTCCTCCTAACAGCTGACTGTCGTCGACCCATGTCAGACCCCAAGAAAGCACTCCCGGACGGAGACTGGCGGGAGACAAAACTGGACGTGGACAAATGCGTTGGTTGGAATCCACAAACACAGAAGTTGACGCCAGAGTCTGATGGTAAGGGGCTCATGAAGGGCGATTGCTGGAGCTGTGATTATTTTACTGGAGTCATGGGTGCAACACATAAGGGAGAGTTCGAGTGTTATTGTGATAATGTGGAGAAGAATTCGAAGCATAAGATACCTCATTCGACGGAGAAGTCGCTGAAGGTTAAGTTTGCTCTTGGTATGTTTCCCTGTTCGGTTGGGCTTGAAGTGAGTTTATATTCTAATAAGTGGTTATAGATTCCGTGCTGTGGTCGAAGGACGGCCATTTGATTGCCATGAGCATATTGGGTCCTGAGTTGGTAATTGGGGATGGAAAGGGTACATTGTGAGGAAGTTTAGGGGGTCCTTTCAAGGGCTATGTTTGTTCCGTTTCTAGGGGATAGACACAATATGTGAGGATGTTACGTATGTTGTGCTAGGCTGCTTGTATGATCCCCTCCACACTGGAAACTTGGGAGTTGGTTGTGGGTAGTAGATATGTACGGTGGTCATCTAGTAAGGGCGAGCGAAATCCGCAATAATCTAATTTTCCACTTATTCCAGCTTCATAACGTTTCGTTTACTTCGCTAAGATAGTGAAGGCCACCCACAGCCTGCTGCTTTCCTTATATTGAGACCAAGTCCGGCATTTCAACATTGCAGAAATGATGTCTTACAACGGGCGTAGAGGAAAACTTCAGAAGACCAAATAAAATAAGTAATCAATTAAATTGGAACCATAGCGCCGCTAAGCCATGCAAATATACAAAAGAATAACAACAACGCAATCTATATCATGCAAATCGCTCATCCCAAAGAAAAATTAATTACTTAAAATCTCCACTGCGCAATCCAGTTCTCCATCAGCTCGGCCGAAATAGGCCCCAATCCCCTCATAGTCTCGCTGGCCTCCTTCGTCCTCTCCACACTAACATCGGCCGATAACATGCCCTCGGCGCTTGACAAGCCGCGGTAGAAGTCGAGGAGTTTCAGAGCTGGCTTTTCCCGAACGTCCTGGTCTGACGGGTTCTTGATAGACTCCAGATCACTGATCCATTCGCCGAAGGGAACCGTCTTTGTGTTATACTTAGATTCGATGGCGGGAATGAGCGAAGGCCACGCCGCATGATTAGGGTTCATGAGGTGGAAGAAGGCGTTCGGTGTCTCGGTGAGGGATCTCCGGCGTGTCTCAAGAGCTTCAACTGTGATTTGGGCCAATTTATCCTGTGATTAAATTAGCAAGCCATTAGTATAATAGGCGATAGATATAAACATACAACAGGAACCCAATCAATAGGCATCGAACCAAGATTACTCGGAACCTTTCCGAGAGCCTTCGACGTCGCAACAACAGTCGGGAGCCATTCATCCGGGTTCCAAAGTCCACTCTTCGTAGTTGGGCCAGCAATCTGCCCAACTCTGAAGATAGTAGTAGGCACGCGAGCCTTCTCGGATGCAATGACACACATACGTTCCGAGACATGTTTTGATTCGCCGTACCCCTGCTTGAGCACCACTTCGTCGTTCTCCAGTGGGAGTTCGGGGACGATGGCTCCCATCTCTGAGGCCCAGGCGCCGATTGTAGCGACAGATGAGACAAAGGAGAGGTGTGCGTTGTATTTGCTTTCGAGGCTGAAGGAGATGAACTCTCGGACGCCCTTGATGTGAGGGTCTTCGAAGGATTCGAGGGGGTGGTTGAAGTTGACTTTCCAGGCGTTGTGGATGATGAGGTCGACTGCGTTTAGAAGGGAGACGTATTTTGTGTCGTCGATCCCGAAATGTGGTTCTCCGAAGGAAACCTTGAGGAATTCAACTCTTGAGGGGTCGGAGAGGGGGGCGGCATCGAGGCCCTTTTCCTTGAACCTTTGGATTTGGCGTGACTGAGCGTCGGAGCGGTTGAAACAGTAGACTTTGGAGACATTCTTATTGGTCAGGAGAGTATGCAGGAGATAAGCGCCCAGCGAGCCGGTCGATCCGGTTAAGATGACTGTCGATGTAGAAGGGAGTTGAGCGCGGGTGTGAGGGCGTGCTGGGATGTCCTCTGTGTATTTCACTACCATGTTCTGAATTCGCTCGTGACGGGGGATGCTCACGAGCGAGTCACCAGCGATAATCTTAACGAGAAATTGCGCTAACTGGGTGACTGTTGAATGGGCATAAATGTGCTGAGCTGTGATGCGTGGGCGATCGCCAGCGGGCACTTGAAAAGAGACAGCGTTACGAAGTATCGTGGCAAGCTGAATCGTTTGCAAGGAGTCAAGGCCTGCAGAATACAAGTCTTCATCGTTGTCAATTGTCTCCCGGTCAAGCAGAGAGCAGACGGTTTCGTTAACGTATTGTGTGATGTTGTCCAACGAGATAATTTCAGGAAGCGAGCGATTCAACTGTTGATCAGCAGAAGCATAGATAGCGTCGATCTCCTCCTTATAATCTCTGTTCACAGCCTGACGCTGTGTTGTACCCTTGGGAGTCGTCTTGAAGGCTTTCTCAGGGGAGGATAGCTTGATCATAGTTTTTGTAATACGTCCATAGTTCGGCACGGTCTCATTCGCTCGTTCAACCACAGGCCAGATCTCGTCAATGAATGCAGCCTCATCGATAGTCATCCCCTGTTCGTTCCAGTGTGGTTCAACCAGCAACGAAGTCTGAAACCGACCCTGGCCGATCAGGACCGCCCGACAGATCTTCGGGTGACACTCGACCATCTTTTCCAAAGTCAACGGGTTGAGCTTTTCACCGTTACTGAGCACAATCACGTCATCAAAGCGACCATGGTACTTCCACAAATTAGGGTTAGATGAGTGTTGCACAAACAAGTCCTTCGATGCATATTCTGTCCTGTCAGGAAAGGTATGGAAGATGCCATGGATAGCTCGAGAGTTCTCTCTCCGAGGAATGACAAGCTCATGCAAATTCTCGCCTCTATGCTGCATCTCCACACCGTAGGCAGGGTTCCACTCGAAATAGCCCCAGTTTCCTTCTCCCTCTGGGACCAGAGAGCTGATGATGCCCATTTCACTCGACCCTAAGAGGGTCACTACATTGGTGTAGGGGAGGATTCGGTTGCCGATGTCTGCTGCCAGAGGAGCGCCCGCATAAATAACTGCATTTAGTGTTCCGAGACAGTCCAATCCAGCGTGGGTTTGGCTTATATCTTCCAGGATGGCTGGGGCGAGTAAGGTAATAGTTGGATTGGTTGCGCGTATCGTAGCCAAGACGAGGTCAACCGAGACAGGCTTGTCGGGGAGGGTGACAAAGGGCGTGTTGTGGAAGATAGCAGATGTAAGGCCGTATAGACCCATGAGGTGAAAGAAAGGAGTGGTAACAAGCACAAGATTGTTAGAGCTAGGATCGTTTGGCGCGGCTACACGACGGCCTGGGGGTGTAGGCAGGAAGCCAACAGAGTCTAGAGTTGCGACGAAACCGTGCGTCAAGGGAACGGGCTTTGGCATTCCTGTGGTCACGCATGTTAACAATCGCTAGCTTTCAATAAAGCTGTATTGTTTGTTCGCATACCTGTTGTTCCGGAACTGTGAATGATAAAGGCAACGTCGTTCTCAGCCTCAGCGAAGGTTTTAGTAACAGGGTATGGCTCTGGTACGTTGTTACAGTTGAGGATATCAGCTGTTGCTGGTACTTCGTAGAAATCTGTGCCATTGAGTAAGTTCTTCATCCCTGATATCTGCCGCTCTTTGTCGTGGCTGTAGAAGAACTTCCGACACCCGGTCACACCCAGGATATGTTGATACGCTTCGTCAGAAAGTCGACTTGAAGGGAGTAAAGGCTATTTTCAAATGAAGGTCAGATTGTATCAGGACGTAGCGACTTTTTGATAACCTTACCTTATAGCCTGTCTTATCGCATGCAAGAATAAAGATCAGGTAGAGAATGTCATTTCTACCCATATATGCCACAGTTTCATTGTTCTGGGCCTTTCCGATCTGCTCCTCAATCCACCACGAGAGTGCATTGACGGCATGGGCAAGATCGGCGAACGACACGTCCCGGAAACCTTGCGATACCTCCAGATCATTAGGGATAACACCAAGTTTCTTCTCGGGGTTGAACTGAGCAACTTCATCAACGACGTTGGTGAGAAGGCGCTGTCCGGCGTTGATAGGAGTCTGTGGCTGTTCCATTGCTGTGAGAGAAAATAATAATTCGGGATGATGCGAGCTGAAACAAATGATTAAAGTAATGCAAAGATGGGATATTAGAGAAACGCTTAGAGAAAACAATGCTGTTGATATTTCACGGTACGTAGATAGAGAGACATCCAGCCTGATTTATATCTCGTCTAGGATGATAACGATTTTTTTGTTTCCTTGCCTCTTGCCTTTGAAACAGCTCTGGGCCGATTATCCAGCGGGTATACTCCGTCCAACCCGTTATCCGCGAAGAATGTGGCACTAGCAGTTGTGCACTGTTAAGGTGGGTGGTCGGTGCATAAGCTCCCGGAGGCAAAAGTGGAGATCCTAGGTCAACTGGCTCATACAAGAGAGACAGCGAAGTACAGGCAGCAAGAAAAGGCGCATTCAACATCAAAGACAAATCACTATCGGTACATGAAGCCAACGAAACCGTGGAAGCTACTTATGTACAATCTAGACCTTCATCATGAATAGTTACACTATGAACCTGGTACCGGTTCAAAGTACATACTTCAGCCTCTCTAGGTCTGTCCCAGGGAAATACTACTTGGCACAAAGCTTAACTCAACACAAGCAAAGCCGAGAGGAGATCCCGTTCATTCGAAGAATGCCTAATTGTAAACTAATTGACGATCTAGATGCGCTAGGGTTAGGCAGAGGCAGTGTGGAGTTGATGCGACTTGATATCACGGCCGGTTAACTCCCGGGAGGTGCTTCCAAAGACGGCAATATTCTCCCTATCAAATCGGTTTCGGAACCTTATCACCACGTGATTTACATGCATCTTACCGCTTTGGGGCTGTTTTAAGACGGATTTCGGCATGCCGAGGGTGCCCTAATTCAAAGGATCGACAACTTAACACTCGGTAGAAGGTCCACAGTGGGGAATGGGTTTTGGTCTGATTATGGCTCATATTGTAAGAAAGTAAGTAGAGCACACGCGTTGGAGTGATGTAAAAATGACTCGTGATGGGCCCGGATAAAGTTCACGGCAGTTGGCACAGAGAGGGGCATTCCTGGAACCATTGAAGATCGTAGGCCGTGCTTGGGTCAACCTTGTTTTCAATTTCCGACACCTGTTCATTCCGGTAGAGAAGTCCATGACAGAGTATCGGGTTGCCGTTAATGAAAGGCTTTCAGGGCTTCCGCTATGGTTTTCATCGGCCAGCCGAATATACATTGTTCGAGTATTGTTAACTACCACCTTGTGTTTGGAGGATGAGAGCTTTTCTAGATCCCTTTCATCAGCTGTAACCTGGAAGTATGACCCATTGAGATAACCTATATGCGGCACCCTAATACAGGCACAATTACATATCACATTAACTACGAATGATATAAGATGCTGGTGTATCAGATTGCAGATGGATACAAACATAACTTCCTAAAACACGGACCATACTATATACAAACGAACAAACGCAAATATAGAGTGAAGCTAAGCTACAATACTCAGTTATCGCTCACCACCTCCCCAAAAACCTTGAACTCCACCAGCCGAACCTTTTTCTCGTCTTGTGGCGCGAAAACAAGTCGGATCTTATCCGTGTCGACGCCGTCCCAAGTAGCCCGGGTAATTCCGTTCGCAACAGGGGAACTATAATTGGCGTTTGACACCTCCGACCACTCGCCGGATACGTTAACCTGAATACTGTATTTCTCCGGAGCATCAAAGCCTTGCGTGCTATTAGCGAAAAAGGCAATCTCTGCGCTGGCGGTCTGGGTTGAAGACTCGAAGCTGATCTGGTACCAGAGCTCGCTACCATTTCCAGCGGGTGTATCCCATCCGTTCGCGACGTCGGACTCGGGGAAGAACCAGACCCGTCCGTCGATGGCGGCATGGACGGCGTCGGTGTCTGCATCTGCGACGGAGACACTGCCTTGGGGATATGAGGTTGAGTTCTGTTGTACAGAGACAGCAATAGGGCGGCTAATTGCCGGCGGAGTTTCCCGGGTGATGCTGGTAGTGATGCGGGTCAAGCTTGGTGATGTGGACACAACTTTGCCATCGACCTCGACTACTAGCCCCGATGTGCCGTAGTGGTCACCATTGGCGTCCCACTGAACGGCGATTTCGTGACCGTGGTAGAGAATGCGCTCGGCGCGGAAGTATGTCATGACTGCCGGGTCTGCCAGCGGGTTCACCTCTAGCACATCATCAGCGCGAGGGCGGATGCCAACAAGACCGGAGAGGACCAGGTCAACATAGCCGGAATGGAAGTAGTGTGGGGAGCGCGCCAATCCGACGATCGGACTGCCTGTGTCGGCGTCATAGTCTTCTTCTAGGTCTAGGATACCACCTCGATCCGGGTTATAGTGTAACTGGGCATACTGCTGTAGCAAGTTGGTGTAGTCAGCCTTCGTGACGAGGTTGGCAGCAGCAGACGTGTTGTAGTGGTCAAGCAAGTTAGCGAGAGCCGATAGGACTTGAGTGGTCTGGTAAGGCCAGGCAGGACCGTTCCACTGGCACTCGCGTTTATCGCCCTCATAGCGGTATTGTTTCATGTAGTATTCGTAGCTTGGCTCATTGGTGCGTAGGCCGTGAGCGCCCGCAAACTTCTCGCGATCCAAGAGATGCTTCCATGCTTGAGCGAACTCCTCCGTGTCATCGGGCAGATCGTGTGTCCAAGGGACGTAGCCCACCAGCTCGCGGCCTCGAATAAAGTCCCAGTATGCCACATACTCATTATCCACCTTGTACCGATCAATGAAGTGCTGGAAGGTACTATTCCACAATGTGTCTTGCACAGTCCCCTTAATGCCGGCCGCTTGCTGCTGATACTCGTTTGCCACATCGTCCTGGCCTAGCAACTTGGCCAGGTTGGCAATTGCCAACGCGTTTGCATATTGATAGCTGTTGATGCTAGGCCGGAAGGCATTCCCTCCTGTGAAACCATCCGCGCCACCAGATGCGTCGATGCTAGCAATGGTGTACTCAGTCGCATCGGTAAGTGGCTGTATCCAGTACAGGGCTTTGGAAGTGTCGTATCCTCCCGTATCCATGGTGGTGGTGTTCCATCCCTTGAAGACCTCCTGCATGGTGTCTAAGTGGGCGGTAGCATCATCTGCTACCCCATCGACCAGATACCCCTGCCACACTCCGTCGGCCATACTCTCAGAGAACTGATATGGGTTCTTGTACGGGCCATAGAGAAAGCTTGCATAATCGCTCTTGAACCGACGATCACGGCACCACCGACCTTCACGCAGATGGAAATTGGCGGCATCAATCAGTAAAGCGGACGGCTGAGTCTGCCAGCTGACATCATTCAGAAACTCAGTTGAGATGTACCCATCGGCACCCAGATCGCGCTGGTGGGCACGGAAGATATTCCACCGGTAGTAATAAACGTCCTGGATCTCGGAAGCACTGGACTCGAAGAGCGGAATCCGGTCGCGATACCACGGTGCATCATTACCAAAATATTGAGCCGTAAGGGCATCTGCATCCAACCCAGCAACCTGCAAAAACAAGCTGGCCCAAGCCAGGCCTTTCATGCACTTCATGCACTTCATTTTCGGCGGTTGTACCTGCGCATCATGCTATATGCCGAGGACAGGGTGCCATTTATAGCTTCAACTGCAGTTCTTGGCTCTCCGGCGGGGAGACCACGCATCAGACGATGGTCATTCTAATTCAGAATGGGCTTCACGGTAAATTACCCCGAGTGGCTATTGAAATGCCGATCGGAGCACAATTGAATTGCGCTAAATTGGTTCCATAATCCATAATTTGGTCTCCTGTGTCGGAGCCCCGCATGGCGTTTCTTCACTCCTGTGGGGTTGTTCAGGAACCCCGACTTTTTAATTTATGATAGTGCCATGGCAGAGCCTAGTTTCCTCCATGCGTCATATATTTCGGGTATTAGTTTGGATTAAATCTCCCCCTGATATGGTGCCCAATTGCCGTCTCTACTTTTCGCTTTGCCGCGCTGCGTCTTGTAACTTTCGCATATACACTTCCGACTGAGCAGAATATGGACATCGCTTGCGAATCGCTTCCCCATACCGATAAAAAATAAACGGAAAAGGCATACATGCGACCGTGAGAAATGCGGGGATTGAGGAGGCCCAATGAATCCCTAGTCCATCATACATGTACGTCGTGAAGAGTGGAAAAATTCCTCCAAACAGAGATCGCAGAACAGCATTAGCCGCCAAGACTGATGCCGCAAAAATAGTATAAGAATCGATAAGATAACCCATGATGCCAAGGTAGAGAAGAACGATCCCACAGCCGAAAGGAACGCCGGCCGCTATACTAGCCATCCAGTGAATGGAGGGTGAGTTGGTCCATGCGAACCAGAAGAGACCGACAGGGATACACACTGCAGATAGCATCACCGGTGGCAGGCGAGACTCTGGAGGCGCGAACCCTCCATACCTTTTGACGGTTCGCATATAACGCCTGTTGTCCGGGATTGTGTAGATTGTTCCAACAATCATACCCACAGCAATACCCATGAAGGCGAGTCCTCCCACGCCTTGGTTCCATCCCCGACCACGTTGGTACACGATAGGAAACGCGGCAAACATCATAAAGAGCGCGCCGTAAATGATCGCAATGTATATAGATAACATAAATACAATAGGCTCTCGAAACAGTAAGACCCAAGGCCTCATCAACGATGTGGCAAACATCCGTCTCAAAGAAACGCTGCCTTCATTCTCGACATCTAGCTTTGATCGATAAATCATGCCAGTTTTCTGTGACAGGCGCTTTGCTCTTTGGCGAAGAAGAACTGGTGCGTAGGTTTCAGGGACAAAGCATGTCATCATGATCCACAACATTCCTGAGAGCGCAGCCAAGAAGCCTTCCACCCATTTCCATCCAGCATTCATTCCCAGAAAGCCACCAATAACTGGTCCAATGGCAGGCCCCATGAAGGGTGCCGCAGCAAAGAGGCAAAGAGCAAGCCCCCGTTGCTCAGCTTGAAACATATCACTAATCACACCCCCGGCATTGGTCAGGGGCGATGATCCGGCTGTGCCTGCTAGAAAACGCAGAACCAACAAGGTCTGTATATTCTGTGCACCCGCACATCCAGCCAGGAAAACCGTCATCGCGCCAAATGAGACAATAAAGGGATATTGTCGACCAATAAATTCGCTTAGCGGAGCCCAGAACAATGGTCCGAGTGCAAAGCCTATAACAAAAAGCGATAGTCCCAGTGTTGCAACCTCTGTGCCGACATCCAAGCCTTCCATCACTTGTTTCGTAGATCCAGAATATGCTGAGGAAGCGAGGGCAACGGCCAATGTTGCTGTGGAGACAACGACCGTAATACCGACCTTCTTGGATGTCGTAAAGAGCATAGGGTTTCTGGGGTCATTTGGCAGCCAGGAGACCAGGAAGGGATCTGTTTCCGTCCCTGATCCAGGATAATTGTGTTGCAGAACATCCCGAGTAATTGCTCCTTGGTCTAGCACTTGGCGCCAGAAGGGAATGTGTCGCTCACAATTTGGCTTGGTCCATTCCGATTGATTTTCTGGGTCCATTCCCATGGTTCGTACGATTAGCCAAATGATTTGACTCTTGTCGCAAAAGCCGTTCTTCAGCGCGGAAGGACCACGACGGAAACCATGTTGGTTATTTATTAGGGAATCTGCTCAAACGGCATTCTGCCCGGGCGATATGCCAAGACTACGATCAGTCAGGCTTGCACTATCGTCTATCATTGGCCAAGGTTACCGAAATCGCGCCCTAGGGTTGACATCCAATCTATGTCTTATCCCCATATGGGACAAGGATGGTCGTGTCATCAAATCGCCTTAACTCCGTGGCCCCGTCAGCACTCGGCACACAATCCCGGGCTCATTGCATTACTATATTTTTGGTGCATTATTTTCATCCTATACGTGGATACTCGAACATTCAATCTCTTTTACAGTTTGTCGACAAACCATCGGCCCAAGTGAAGTTCTCATAGAGTTAGCTGTAGAACAATTGGTAACTGTAGAGTATCATCCACCTATTTATCACCCTTCCTTGTTGAAGGTGATTCACAAAGTGATGAAGGTGTTGTACGTGTATCCATCCTGCCATGTATTGTTTCAGAACCTGGGCTTACTTATGATTAGTATAAAATCGTATCAAATGCACTTTGATTAGTTAAATGAGGAGAGCGAACGATTCCCCAGCCAAGTAAACAGAAAGGCGTAAGAAAGTTCACAATTCCGCCTTTCTTCTCCTCTCTACGGAAATAGGACCCGTACTGGCAAATGTCTTTAGGCATGATATCCTCATTGGCATGTCAAATACATCTATTAACCGATTGGAAGTTCCACTACAGGTCCCTTGTATACCTTCCTAGCCCGGACAAGATAATATAACAAACTCAGCAGAATCACACCTCCCATCCCCACTACACTATAGTTCATTGACTCGGCCGATACATTATTCATGGGCGGCCAAAAACTGAAGAAGACTGCGATAGCCATAAAGACCACAGCAAAGGTATTAATGAAGATACCCCAAACCCCCGGAACATGAAAGGGACCCCACACCAGCTGGGCTCCTGCTGTATTGATTAGAGTATGCTCACTCTTAGACCCACTGATTCCACCCGTGCAGCGTCGCCAGAGCAGAAGGCCGGCCGCAACCAGGTATGATGAGAACAAGCCCGAGGTGGACAAGGACATCAAGTCATTGAATGCCAGGTCAGAGCCGATACCAATGAGACTCAGCAGACAGGTAATGATTGTGGTGAGGGTGACAGCGTATGCTGGAATTGCGGTACGAGGTGTGACCTCCGTCCATATTCGCCATCCAGGGATGCCCCGGTCACGCGCAAAGGACCAGAACTGCCGTGATGTCGAGGCCAGCATACCGGCCGAGGAACAACTGCCCATGGCAACGATAATGGAACCTGCTGCAGCGGTGCCCGCTACAGACCCGGTTGCCTGGTGGAATATAGTCAGGAAGGGGACTCGAGCCTCGAGGGCCCCCTTGATATCCTCGACGCAAAAGAGCAAGGCGATTAGCATGCTGAAGCCGAGTGTGCCATTAATTAGTACCGTGAGCATCAACGACAAGGGCACGGCAATTGTGGCATTGGTGATTTCTTCGGACAGCTGGAACGTGTTAGCTCTCGGACCCGCCAAATGTTTAGACCCTGTTCGTACATGTACCGCGGCATCGCCCCCTGCAAAAGCAAAGACAGGTCCAATAAGGCCAACAAAGAAAGAAAGACCCTGAGAGGGCCATTGGCCTTCGTTTAGAAATTGGGTGAAGACTTGCTCGGCTGTGTTGTGATTGGCCATGTAGACCATTGGAATTCTTCCTGAATAAGCAGAAAACTTCACACGTTCATGGGACATGGTTTGTACTTACAGAATTGCAAAGAAGCCCAGAATATGGAGAATTAGAATTGCGCCTTCAAATCGTGGCAATACCTTTCCTCCAGCAATGTTGATAATAAAGCCAAAAAGTGCAATTGCATAGCCGATCAGCACCTGACGCCATATTTTAGGCTGGTATGATGGATTGGTGAGCGTCACCAGCGTCTCAATATAGTTTCCACCCAGGTAACAAACGGTCGCGTAAGTAGCCTGCCAGCCAATGACCGTAAGCCAGCCTTAGCCATATCTTCAGTTAGAACTGTCCACTCACGAGGAATCATTTTCTGTTTATTCACAATCCCACTCACCTGTGATGTAACTGAAAATTTTCATCGCCGACTGAGGTGCGAGCATTGAGCACCAATGGTACTGCCCTCCTGATGTTGGTGCCCTGAAGGGTTGTTCTTTAGAACCATGTTTCTTTAATGTCGTTAAGTAATTCCTTACATTGACACAAGTTCCGATATTACTACAAATGTCGCGGCGATCCCGAACCAGACGAAAATGTAACCATAGACACTGCCAGCGGGACCACCACTATTTTTTTGATCAGTCTAAGTCGCAATTTGATAGACGGGATATCATGTACTTTTGGAAGTTTTGGAGAAATAGCCTGTTCCGAAAACCATCCTTGAGTTAGTAGAGCCACGAAAGGCAGGTGATATGGTAGAGCCCTACGTCGTTACAGACTCCCATGTAATCAGGATGGTGCAACTAAATCCCAACATTGACATCAGACCAAAGTTTCTCTTCAAAACAGGACGCTTTCCTAGGCGGGTCAAATGGGTGTCATCCGCATTCTGGTATGATAATCGTTCCTCAATTTCATATAACCCGGGAGGTGTCAGTTGTTTTAGGTCGTAGGACGTCATGGAGATGTACGTAGTTTTGGTGACTTCGGAATAGATGAACTGCAAGTATGCATATACGAAGGGGTGTCCAATTCAATTGAAAGGCGTTCCCAATCAGGGCACCCGGCACAGACAAGTGCAAGAATCTGGAGCGAAGGAAGATAGAATGATTTCAGATTGTCAAGAGACTTTCTACCCTACAATAATTTTAGGGGTGAGGGGGAATCCCTCAGTGCACTCCCTTCGCTATTTTCCCACGCCGAAGCGCGTTGTAACCTAACTCGCCTGCTTAAATTAACTGGGGAGACTATCCTGGAGGTAGGTGCTCATTAATTGACGCAGAGTAGCAGGGATTTAGTGTAGACTACGAAACTTTGTGGTCGGGGCTGGGTCCGTCTTTATCAATCCTGGGAAGGCCATCTACAGGGTCTAAGCAGTGGAGCCACAAGAGATGCGCTCATTCGTAAAGTGCTCCGAAGCAATTTTATTTTCTCGAATGGATTACTGTGCTCCTTGAATATATCTGGATCAGTATAGGGTTCGCTGGAGTAGATCCCGATCCCAGACTCTAATCTTAACTTTTATTATCCAAATACATGGTCGGCAGCGATATTAAATAATTGAAATTGAAAAGACGCCACAGCTACCATTACACATCATCCACCGCTAAACCTTTGGTGGTGAGGACTTAAAAACCACTGGAATTATGCTCTATACAAAATGCAGATAGGGAAGCTCTGTATCATTTGTGCTGTTCCCGTTTTGGCTCACCCTAACCAAACACGATTTAACTGGCCTCACAAAACCCCCGAGAAAATGTCCTGCTGAAGTAGTCGAATTTAGTTCTCATTCTTTCGTTTACAATTAATTTTACAGCGCTCTGGGGGCATGAGGACATTAATGAATCTCACGTGAACTCTCATGCCAGTTCAGAACCCGAAAGTGGAGAAACAGGGACCAGAGTCGTATTGACCTGTCAACATCCCTGCCATTCCAGCCTGGAGTAATTTCACTCTCTCAAAATCGTTCATGTTTATGTATACTATCAACGCGCCAGGCCTGGATGGAGGCTCAATGGCAGGTTTGTGTTTGTCTCTAGGTCTTAGTTTGGGATGAGGATCTCGACACACGCCGCCAGGTCTTCTTGTTATTTCGTTGTTTCTTCTTTCCCCCATTTTCCATTTTCCATTTTGGTATTTGTTTTGACCTTCGTTTGTCTGTTACTAGCCATGAAAGAGATGTGTTGCTCACGGTAGAATCATAGCATCGGGCAAGCTGACCGAAATCCCGGTCACCCTCTTCCTTGACTCACTTCAAGAGTGCTTATCATTGCTTAAAATTACCTGGCAAGCGCTTACTTGGTGCCAAGGATTTGAGAGAATATGTACAGTAGGCTAGATTGATCTAGGGCTTAGGGCTGGTGGTTGTAATATTATTTGGGGTTCAACCTCCTTGGGGGCCAACCTTTCGGTCCTTTCCAGATTGTCGAGAAGAAGAGTCCCCGGATTAGCTAAAGATCAGATATAAAATTCTATAAAAATTGTTGAAAATTACCATAGTTTGTTTCGTATTTTTGAGAATTCTTTTGGAATTTTAGGGTTAGATATAACGCTCCATTGGCGACTGTATATATGTATTCGTGTGTAGATTAGATGTCGCCTGAGCTATATATATATCTGCACGGCAACTTCTCCACGATAATTCATTTCAAAATGGAATCCATGACAGAAAGCTCCTCGAAAATCTCTGGAAAAAGAATTTGGAAATATATAATTAGATAGACTATCTTTATTTTATATATTCTTAAGCATTTTATACGTAGTAATATAGGTGTAAAGTGACTTATTAAACATCAGTTTTTTCGGAGTGTTCGGCGTTTTCTCGGCAAATTGCTCGATCGAGTGACTACTCGGGGTCATGACAGCTCGAATGATTGTTATTCGATTTACTCTGTAAAATGTGATCATTGAAAGATTTAATGCAGAGTGTATGAAAGAAGGTCTGCCATCGGGTATATTTAGGCGTTACTTGTGAGTACTATGAAGGATATGTACTAAACACCCCATCATGTTGTAGCGGATGGCTTGTCTATAAAGTTGGAACTCAGCTGTATCTCCACTCTGTAGATACATCATGCTAGATTTATCAACTCGCTTATACTATGCTAAACGATCGCCATAGATATATCGAGAAATGCAAAGCTCCATTATTCATCCAAAGCTATTGATCATCCTAGATCTATCGGTTTAGGCTCAACCAGCTACAGTTACAGTAGTGAACTGAGTATTTCAGGCCTGAAATTGTTCAATTGATATGCAAATAAGCGAGCAAACAAACAAACAAACAAACATGCAGATGTATAGAAAAATAGACAAATCGAAAAACAAATGGTCTAAGCAACAAAGGAAATAAAATGCAAATTGATATAATTGTTTTCCCATCGTTCTATCATACCTCCCCCCTCCCAATCCTTTCTCTTAGCCTTTGTTTGCATTGCCAAAGCACTGACCAGCAGTAGCTTAGACGCAAGGCTTGCAAGCAACCTGTTCAATTGTTAGTATGGAATCTATCGTTGGGATAGAAGAGTAATGAGAGACTTACAGTCATGGTGCCAAGTCCAGCGACACAGGCAGCATCGGCAATGGGGTCTAGAGTAATTCAGTCAGTGAAGAATTCTAAAGTATCGGGTGAGAAGAGACTTACTGAGAGCGAGCTCGGCAGCGGCAGCGGCGCAAGTGGCGCTCTGTCCAACGACGGAGCTGATGCAGGCTATGGAAAGAGTCAGTTAGCTGTATAAGTGAAGTCTTCGAGAGTTACTTACCGAGCCAGCTGCATCCATCATCTTCCTTGGCCTTGGCCCAGGCAGAGGCGATGTTGTTGATGTCAGCAGCGCTCTGGATGTTGGTGGCAGAGATGCCGTTGGAAGCCGGGATGGCAGTGGCAACAGCGAGGAAAGAAGCGGCGACGATGAGGAACTGCATTTTGATAGTGAAGTAGAAGAGTTTGTTGGAAGAGATTGTTTGAATGGTGTTGTTTGGAGGTTGTTGTGTTGTTATGTTGTTTGTTTGCTTTGTTGTGTTGTTGTGTTGTGTTGTTTTGTTGTGTTGATGAAGATGTGATTTGGGACGATGATTGAGGTCCTTATATAGACTTTTCGTGCCTTGCAGAATGTATGAAGATTGTAGTTGTTGCAGAGTCAATAGACGTTGTAAGTCCTGCAAGGTGAGATTCTGTATACTGGCCAGGTTAATTTTGGATTGCAGACTCTCACCTTGCATGATAGTCTATCTCAGTGAGAGGTTTGGCCCCTGTCCCCTGTCAGCTTATTCTTGGCGATTATAGAATTTACTTAGCATCACTAGGGACATTTGGCGCTAGAGCTCTCAGTCTGAGTAGACTAGCCGGTGAATGGGGCCATACTCTACGAAAAACGTCGAGCTACGGGAGTTCGTGGTGCCGCGAACATTACCCTGCCACGCCTCATGACCATTGGGCTTCCCAACATATTCTGCAACTTAGCTAGGCGCCCCAGTTATTGGGGGCTAGCATTGTTCTTTCGCGCAAAAGTCATTTAGTATCTCACGTTTAGGCGGAGTTGAGTATCATACTACGTTCAATTGAGAAGAAACAGTTGTACCCGATTTGCTATAGTGCTACCAGTTATGATTACTCGCATTTTCAAGAGCTTGCTCTGAATGCGCCTAGACATGCTTGATATCTTCATCAGAAACTACAAGCAGGATCGGGCAATAACGTTCCAATCTGAGTGAAAGGGAAATAAAACATAGAAAGATACCACGTGGGAATTGTTCCACGACAGAAGAATTGGGATGCTTACAGCCTTACACGCGAGACTGCGCCCCGCGAATAAGCAATAAGCACTAAGCTTTTCTACCAAGATCACCAAAGCTCCTCGGCAAATTTGGGGTGGCTGTAGGATCGTCTCACCCGGCGTCTGACGCTACAGCTTTACGAAGGGGCCGGACCCACTCAGTAGCAGAAACAACACTGAACAACTCCAGCAGAAGGTAAGATCGGCATTTTAGCGACAACATTCCCTTAGAAGTTTCTAAGAATACCTATTTCCCTCTATTCTATGCAGGGACGAAGCCAAACACCTCTCTCTACTTCTACCTCTCGGGCCCCCATCCTTCCATCTAGTCAGTTTCATGTTCAGTTTAGAACTTCTAGTTACCTGTTAGAGACAAACAATCATCAGCACAATTGTTAATTATGAGGTCACAGTAGACAATATCTACAAGTCCCCCGGTTGCCTCTGTACTTTTCTCGGTTTTAACGCTTTAATCGTATTTCTTGCGCTCTGTTATTATTCGTGAGATACATAGATCGATCCCCCAACGGCTGAATGACCTCTCTTGAACCTTGGAGTCACCGGCTCTGCTACCCAAGGCTATTATTGAAGTATCTCCTAAGGTTGACTGCTGACATAGGACAAGAGTACAACGTCGACCAGCATCAATGGAAGTCCCTAAGGGCTGCCCTAACCGAACTAGATCACCAGTTGACGATCATGCTAATCGCGATCAGCTGATGCGCTACCTGCCCTAACATTGACGAACTTATTGCCCATGATGGTAGATAAAGGTACTAACTTACCATGTTTCTTCGCACGTCCCAAGATGCGCATATCATTTCCCCTGGCTAAAGCGGGTCATATCTCTGGTGGGTCCGGATAAATGATTTAATCCATCAAATTGTCTCCGACGGCAACCAAGTCCCACTTATTTCACCCCCTTCGTTCCGCAACTTCCAACCTGTCAACATACATTTCAACGATGGAGCACTCGACCCTGATACCGTTCTGGGGTCCCCAAACCTCTTACCTCAAGTATGTTTTCAATTGCAATTGGATCTGTCGAGAATGCCAGTGACTTATGATCAATTCCAGCTTTTGCGAGGAAGTACGTACTGCAAAGCAAATCCCAGTAAAAACCAGCCTAACCGCCGGTTCTTCATAGGACTATGTAATCACCCGGTACATCGCGGAGTTTATCAATACCCTGAGCAGCTTCATATACAGTGCGTTAGTGAATGCCTAGTTGTAAAGCCTGTAATTGACTCCTTTCTCTAGTTTTTTACGGGATCTATGGCCTATCCAAGCTTCGCCAGAAGCCGAACGCCGGTTCCCGCTCGATTCCGTATTTCGGGTTGATCGGAGTAGGAGTCTGCTCGGCTGGCTACCATATGACATTGAAATATCATACCCAAATGTGTATGTCTTGCTCTATATCCTCCATTGCTCCGACCATCTTTCTCACGTGGCTGAAAACCCAGCGGATGAATTATCTATGCATCTGTTGACAACCCCCCTCCTGTATCGCATTCTCTCTTTCCAGGCCAGCCCAGAGCGTACCCGGATGGTGGGCATTATTCTCTCTCTGTTATTCACCATCGTGATGGTCGTCCACATGGTCATGGATGAATTTCTTCTTCACGCCGTTACCTTCGGCATGGCAGTCTACTTGATCGCAACACGTACGCTCAAGATCATTCCCCGACAAATCCCCGATCCGGTAACCCGCAAGAACATTCAAAGCATAGCGCTCTTTGGGTGTGGTAAGTCATTGAAGCCAATCAGAACTCTGAGCAACTGTTGACCCATCCCAGCGAGTTTTATCTTTGGTTACCTTGTGTGGCTGATTGACGATTGGGCCTGTCGGATCTTGACCAGCACGAGGCAAGCTGTTGGTTTGCCCTTGGCGTTTCTGTTCGAATTGCATGGATGGTATGCACACACATAATTCACATTCCCGGGATCTCACGCCGCTGACAATAAGATTACAGGTGGCATGTCTTCACTGCCATTGGTGGCTATATTGCTGTCGCGATTATCGACCTATTGACATCTGGCGAAGTACGCAGCGATTCCACGGAGCATCTCGCCTGGCCCCTGCCTGTTATCGCGAGGTTTACGGCAGCGGGAACGGGTTCAACCCGGAAAGGAGAATAATTAGATTGAAAGCTACCAGCGCCAATTGAGGCGATGGAAAACTTTCGAATACGGATATGCAGAAGATGAGCACATTTTATGGTGAGGAGATGGTACAGCAAGCTGGGGAAATACTTATTTAGAAGATCCAGACCATTGATTAGTTAGATTAGAGGAATGTACTACATCTATAGTTTGAGAGAAATAAGGTTTCGAAAAGGTTCTTCTTTGCGCAGGCCCTTGATATGTACAATGTATGTATAGTGGCAACTACAGAGCTCGTACAAACTTATCGAGTATCTGATTGGTGTAACATGCTACTCAATCGGTAAAGTTAATTGTGTTGAAATGCCGGAAGTCTGCTGCTATAATTCCAGAGGGTGCGATGTGATAGCTTTTATGGAGTCTGTCCATGCACCCTACCACGCCCGACATGGGTATTTGCATTGCCCCAACTCTTTCCGTGTCATGTCAACTTAATTTTGGGGATATTGGCCCATTATTTGAGTTCTACACTATTCTAGGCGTTCCATAGCACTTGAACATTTACTGGACACTAAATAGTTGCCCAGCGCCCCGGAGTAATGAGACAAAGAAGAGAGGCAGACCATCAGTTACCATTATATCCAAGTGGGAAAAGCATAGACAAAGAGGCAGGTGTCTCTCATATCTCTTAATACGATGATACTAAATCAAGTTTCATATATAGCATGCGCGCGGCCCGGGTGGTTCATTCCAATGTGTCTTTCTTCTGTTGTATTGTTTATGATTTTTTTTTTTTTCCTGATCCCTTAAGAATGCATTTGTTTTTGATTTTATTTCTGCACCTCTCAGCCTTGGTTTCTAGTCAAGGTATACCCATGGCTGATTCAAAGAAACTCGATACAGATGCTATCCACCAAAGATGTTCTGCGCTTGCAGTAGCCAACCAGCCTAACCGATGGCTTCCTGAATCTGGCTCAGACACATCATATACATCCTCAAGAGAAGGAACGCCCGATACAGTAGATACGGTTGTCATCAGACCACAAACAAGACCGGGGACACCTGACACTCTAGAGTTCCCATCACCACCACCAGGAACACCTACACTACGCAGTCCCCGACGACGGAATCAAGAGCAGCGAAAACCAGCCTTATCGGGAGTGTGCAGCGACCGCTATACGTCAATTTCTTTGGACTCCTGTCTTGGGTGGAATCCAGCAAATGGAGGTTCCTTTGTCGCTCAGAGATAGTATGTATAGTTCTTCCCTGCGGTTGGTTATTTCTGTCCGATGGCAACTGACATTTCTTAGTGGTAAGGGGATGGAAAAGGGTGATTGTCATACCTGTCAATACGAAAGAGGTCGGGGCGTTGGGGAATTCGTGATCACCTGTCTTTGCGAAAACACTCCACGCAGAGAATATATTGCTGGTAGGGAGAGTCCACGTAGAAGGAACTTCACCCAACGTAAGTAATTGACAGATCATTGAGTGCTTGTTTACTAACAGAGACTAGCTGGTGTGATAACTATTGATAAAAACAATCGCTTTCGCTGTTTTGATATCACTGGAGTTTGAGACAATTGCGTAAATCCCTGCCCATAGATCTCAGCAGCCTAGCAATGCCCTGCCAGAAATGTGTGGTGCAAAATGATTATCCATCGGTCAAGGTGATAAGGACCCAAACAGAAATGCAATCGAGACTAGCGCATGTGGTAGGTTTGTTTCCTTGTTTAAACACCGTCGGAGAAAGGGTTACTATTTATCAACCTTCTTGAATATTTTTTCCTAGTTCTTACTGTAACCAAGCAGACTAGTAGTAGAGGGATACTTTTGTAGGATGTAGATACACGCTCGCCAGGAGAGGTAGAATTTCCTGATCGCCTTTTCTTGAAGGTGTACCAATTAAAGCGTCAGGAATCTGTTGGTATGTTTGTTCTCATTCTGTGATCCTGGGTACAATAGTGACATTAATGATGACAATCGTAAGAGGCCAATTCAATTGCTTTTGCACTGCCCCGCTCCCTAGAGGCTGTACCTTGGGTAGCTCGAAAATACTTGCTTATCAAGGCATTTCCGCCCCCTCAGTTAGCCAGATTAGCTGCCAAGTGTGGCACTAGGGCAACATATGCGTTAGTGCTTATGAATGCAATACTTAAGGGGATACTCCGTATTAAACCCTGCCAATACTGTTAAACTTTTCCAAGGAATAATTATAGCCTTGGATTATCTTGTCTTTCACAGCAGTAGGACATACAATCTGTTACAATAGAGTAGATATAAGACCCTTGATGAAGCACTTAGTGAAGAGTTCCTTTTTGGAGGTATTGTATGTTCTCTATCTAAATTCTAGATACGACGCTGTACATCCCATTCCCTGTATTCTCTCCTACACTAGCCCCTTGCTTCCTATATACCCCTTAACAGAGCGATGTACTGTACCGAAGTCGATAGCGTACCCTGGCTATTCAAGAAGTGGTACTCCCCGTAATACCTTCAGTATCGGATCTAAGACTGCCATTATGGAAAAGGTACGCCAAGAATAACGATGAAAATTTTAGTTTGGCAAAAGAGGGCCGGATATTGCAGCAGCAGCGGTGAAGCCCCGGAGTAACACGGGTTGCATCGATGAGATTATGCACAAGGCTTGCTTAGAGCGTTAAGTATTGCTATTCGTCCTGTCTTACAATGTTACTGACTGACTTGAACGATGTGCCAGTCATAGCCCTTGCCGCTCTATTGCAACCACTCCCCGAAACCAGTACGCACGTCTCTAAACGAAGCCAGTTACCACGGAAGGGTGTTTCCCACCTGAAAACTCAAAAGGTACCCATAAAAGGCGAAACTTCCAAATCTACTCACGAGGTCCCCCTCCCAGATGTCCTCGTCTCCCGCGGCAACCGGCCTCGCAGCGGTCGCCCGTACACCCATCATACGAACAACAACCGGCCGTTGAGCGTTTGTGGTGGGATTCCCGGGATAGATGGTGGCTTTATGTATCCTCTCAGCAATATAGATCGCTACGAGCATAGGCCCCCTCGAGCCTCATCCGCCTCCACTTATATACCACCCTATCGTCCATACCCCTACGAACATGGGCTCCCTCTATCCTCGTCCGCCTACTCCAGTGCGCCAGCTTATATTCAATCTCCCTACGGTCAACCGTCCCCGTATTTTGCCGCCATGTCCGAGTATGGTCCGCCCGGTCGCCAGGAATGTTCGGCCTCCAGGAGGACACGGGATCAAGAAAGGGCACGGCGCGGATTTATTAACGGGTCACCTGTCGTCATCGATGATCCGCCCTCGGCGTATGAGGATGATGAGTCCTTGATCTCGGGCCACGCCGCGCACCCCCAGAGGTACCGTTAGAAGAAGCGCCTGTTAATGAATTGACAGTCTAGGCTAAAAACCACCAGTCTGGTAATCTGCGACTACGTCGAGTATACGAACGGCATTTCCCGGTCACATGCTGGGAATGCGACCAAGGTCTTTATCACCAACGTACTGATAATGTTGCAACGCCCAATTTTGATCTTAGTAGTACTACTGATGTGGAAGGGACGTTCCAACCGCAAAAGGACAATGATGGTGGCTCGTCACCCTCATAAAGAACGTGCATGCTGCTCTGCAGTCGGGGGCTGGCAGTGAAACTGGAAGTCAGACCAGTCGATCGAGCAGTAGACAGAGAAGCCCTGGTCCCAGCAGCAGTGGGGTAGATTCTACAAAGCCTGAAAATGAAGGCGAAAATGACGATTATATTGTTATGACAATGAACGGGGTTACAATGCACTTCTCACAGAAATCTGTTGGTGGAAAGAGTATCAAGATTCGAACAGGCGAAACGGACGAAGCCGAATTTGAACAATGAAGGGAAGAGGCCGAAGAAGTATCCGGTGTCTCGCTCTGATCATGTGGTGGAGGATCTGCGACGTGGTAGATCCGAACGGGCTCGGAGAAGGAGAAGTTACAGCAGCCTGAATCGACCTCCCGGTCAAAATGAAAAGAAAAGTTGAAACCTTGGCCGTTGCAAATCCAGGTTCAGTACGGGTGGTTGAAACAGCGCGAGAATGTCTTGACAAAACCACTGAAAATGCGATGCCCGGTATGCTGTTTAGGGACCATGGAAATATCGTTCAAAAACAGGCGAAGTTGAAGAGTTATAGTGCTCTCCGGTCTTTTTGTGGGCACGATATCAATGCAGTGTGCCATTCCTTGCCTCATAATCCTCATTACGCGGACAATAAGGCTGGGGGTACTGTGAAGGAAGGTATGTGCTTTACGATTGAGCGGATAGTTGCATTGGGAACGTATAGAGAAACGACGTAGCTTGATAATTAAAGAGCCGTTACCTGCGATAGCAAGTCTGCGCAGTTTGGTTCGTTGGTTTCTCTTCTCTTATCAGATATTTATTGATCAGAGTGACTCTCTTGGTAGCAGCGGACGGTGTTGAAATCTTGACTGTAAGGTTACGAAAATCTCCTGTTAGACTTGTTACATCACGATATGAAGCATCTGCATAGATTAAGCAGCACACTCTGAATCAGGTATATTAGTCTGCGATCATATCAAGGTATGTAAGTTTATTGCATAATTGAGATAAAGTGTAAGATCTCCGCTGAAAAGCGTAGCGGCACAACCTTTCCGGTGACCACCTTTAGTACAAATCTAGATAGATTTTGCTCAAGAATCCAGCGCAATCCTCGCCTCAGTTCCCCAACTATCCTCCAAAATAACCGAAATACAATGATTAATATGAGTCTCGCTATCAAAGCTCGGCTCTACAATGCCACCCTGTGCCTCCCTAAACCGCAAGCGGAACTGCTTTCTCCAGTAGAAAAGACAATGTACCACATGCCACCCTCGTGTCATCATCACTTTCGCACTCTGGTTATCTCCCAGAGCTGCTACTTCCTCGAGCGTCATAGGTATTTTATGATAGTCATCGGCAAAATAATCCCAGCTCCCGTTAGGTCCGGGGCCCGATCTCTCGAACTCGGCTGTCAATTCATCGTCACGGCAGTAGGGGGGTAGCCAAGCAGCTGCTAGAGAGTCGAATTTGCAGCCAAGGAATATGGCTTCAGCCGTTGAGTTGCCGCAATAGCAGTGCTTCCTCGGCGCGTTACGGCGCGCTGCGAGGACAATGATATGAGCGATGCTGATGAAGCCCCATAGAGCGAGTAGGCAGATGAAGATATCTCGAGCGATACGAGTCCTAGGAGAGGATACTAGCCGCTTGGCCCCTCTGATGAAGATATTTTGATCAGCTTTGGATTGTTCTTTATTGCCACTTTGCAACAAGGTTTCCTGCTCGAGTGTATCGTTGGATGTGGATAAGTCAGGATCTGAAGTGTTAGTGTCGATCCTGTTTCAGAACATAAGCATTCGAATATGTTGCTGTTAGAGCCTTATTACCTTTCGTACTCGAAACCCATTTTCTCAATGCCACAGCCTTCGCTGAATAGGAGTGCACTATGAAGCTTTTCGGATATGTCAGAAGGATTCTATACAAAGAAGGAAACGAAGGCAAAGAAATCAGCCGACAGACAAGTCAAACCGGACAAAAGGACCTCCCCTCAGTTCAGTGTACCTTCTTTTACCTCTTTTGGTATCCTACGCGCGCTCTTCCGTGACTGTCGATGACTAGCTCTTAGTTCTTATCATCCACCATTTATCATTCCATTCCGAGACCCTTGTCAGTCCCACTTGACTAACAAATCAGAGGTAGAGATATTTTCTAGGAGATGGATATACCACGTCATCATCGATCCAGATGAGCCCAAATTTGTACTCTATCTGCGCCGCATCCCTTTTTGTACACCTGCATAAGCCTCTTGGGGTTTTTTCTTTTGGTATCTATACAAACTCCCTTTTGAGATACGTACATTTCCTCTTTGTTGAATCACTAACATGTTCCTACTTAGCACAAGTGTCTATATATCCCTTTTAGTAGAGCTACATTGTCACAGGCATGTTGGATCACATTCCTGTTCAAAAGTACGCCTATCGGGGATTGCCCCCTGCAAAATACTACCCCTCATTTTCCAGGTAGGAAAGAGGGGCATCTCACAATTATCTCAAATCCATGTAGAACGCACAGTAGTTCGTCCAGGCTCACTAGACAACGAGGCCCGGGAAGACCGGATTTCCGTATCTCGTGTATCCGAGTAAATACGCTAAACAGGGGTGTCGGATACTCGAAGGACGAAAACTTAAGAGTATATACATAGCCCTCATGACTCCTTAGATTTTCCCAATCCGCTAGCAATCAGTCTTTGAAACATTTGCTATTACCATATCCCTTGAAGTTAAGCAATAACTATGAAGCTCTTCTCTTCTATCCTCCAGGGCATCACTATCTTCGCCGCCTTCGCATCGGCGATCCCACTGTCTGCCCACTCAGCAGACGACGGCTCGATCAGAATTCCCGTGAAGGGCGTTCCAGAGCCTGAGAAACGGGATGACGGTGCGATCCGCATTCCGGTAAAAGGTGTCCCTGAGCCCGAGAAGCGGGATGATGGAGCTATCAGAATCCCAGTGAAAGGTGTTCCCCAACCACCTGCTGAGGAATAGGAAGTTCTGGTGAGTGCCATATCCACTCTCAAGTGCCAGTGTCTTGGGAGACATAGTTACACTTAAAGTTGTTCGTGCTCTGGCTGGGTAACTGTTGTTCTGGTTCGGATTTGCTTATGTGAGTGACTTACAGACTACAAAAAGACGCGGTTTGGGTTTGTTGAGAATGGGGCTTTCGGTCTAAATTTTAATTTGAAATACGGGATTGAGAAGGATTAGCTGCACGACGCTACCTTTAAAAACATGCTGATGTGTTAGCAAGGGTACAGATAAAAACACAACGTTAAATATTCTTCTTCGATTCCGTTCAGTGGGGTAACAGAGTGAACCATAGCTATCAGTAAGGAAATAATATGGCGAGAACAACTGTAGTCTAGTCTCAAAGCAAGCAAGAAAAATTGACTGTATGGATAGCCAGGAAGTACTTGGTGATATCCACTTATGAGAGTGAGACTATAATTAATGATTACAGATGTGATCACTTTGCGTTCCACTACGCCTGGTGTAGCCTTTATATCACCAAGCACTGCATGCTCACTGCTGCTAAGAAGCAGACTTCGGAATTACGTCCACCAATGGATTTGTTCATACTAGCCCCCATATGCATGCCAATAGTGCCCCATGGGCTGGATCCTTGCTTGAATTGGACAATATAAGCGCCGAGATCAGAACTAGTGGGGTGGAGTGGTATCTGACAGTAGCAGGGTTCACGATATCACATGGTCTAGGCGTGGCCATTCATTTTCGTACAACAATTACTGCGCCGCTTTGCTCATCGTCGCCTATAATAGTGTCGTGGGCAATGTTGGGGCCAGGACATTTCCTCAGTTTCATTTAGTGCTGATCACACACCCTTCATCACGAATCCTCACTGTTCCATCCCGGGATTATTCGTCTGCAACATACTCATCTCATGAGCAAATTCTACGAGTCTGAGCTTGAGTGGGGATGAAAGGATCTATCTATCAATTTTTTTTTAAAGTGGGAGGTGGATTTAATATAATGTTGATCGTATTATGGTAATAGCAACATTATTAAGATACATCGCATATGAGTTCATCGCCAGAGGAATTTCATCTCGAAAAGGACAGGAGGGGTACTAATTCGCTCGAATCATAAACATCGCTCGTTACAAAGCCCATTCGACCACCTTAGATATGGCGCTGGGTGCCAACGTTGCGGCGGTTATCCAAGTCGGAGTCGACGCGAGGGTCAAGCTTGTTAGCGACGTTGGAGCTGTGAGGGCCTGCAGTGGTGCTACCGCCTGAGGTGTTGTAGCTGCTGCTGGCAAGACCCTGGTGGCGGGCACGGTTGTCCATGTCGGAGTCGACACGAGGATCGGCCTTGTTTGCGAGGTTGGAGCTATGAGGACCAGCGGTCGAGGTAGTAGTGCCATGGCCAATGCCAGTTCCAGTGCCGACACCAGCGCCGGTGCCAGTCGTATGGCCAAGACCAGTTCCAGTTCCAACACCAGCGCCGGTGCCAGTGCTATGTCCAAGGCCAGTGCCAGTACCAGCGCCAGTGCCGTGGGTTGCTCCAGTGGCGTAGGCGCCAGGAGTACCCATGGCTCCAGTGGCTCCAAGACCAGCGGCGCGGTTGTCTAATAATGTTTTAGTCCGAGCACGATACATGGTAATCCCACGGAGAGAGAGGAGTCACTTACCTCGGTCACTGTCAACACGGGGGTCAGCCTTGTTGGCCAAGTTGGACGAATGAGGGCCATGAGCACCACCCATAGCCTCGTGACGAGCGCGGTTGTCTCTGTCGGAGTCCACGCGAGGATCGACCTTATTGGCGACGTTGGAGCTGTGAGGACCAGCATTGGTTGAGTGGGCACCAGTATGTCCAGTTGTGCCGAATGGGGCGTCTACACCACCAGCGGCGCCAACAGGAGCTTGCTGAGGGCCATGGGTGCTGGAGTGGGTGGTAGTCGTGCCACCGGGGCCGGTAGTTGTGGTTGTGTGGTGGCCAGCGCGGTTGTCTATAAGGAATTGGTCAGTTTTCCCATGTCAATTGACCCATGACGAGGACACTAAAATTGACTTACCACGGTCGCTGTCAACACGAGGGTCAAGCTTGTTGGCAATTGACGAGCTGTGAGGGCCGTGGTTGGATGACTTGTGGTTGTTGGTAGCGTTCGCGGTGTTGGTGTTGTGGGTGGTGTTGGTGTGGGTATTGGTGTGGGTGGTGTCGGAGGTAGAGTCGTGATGACCAGTGACAGCCTCCTTAACCTTGTGCAACATTCCAGACATTATGTGTGATCGGTTGGTGGTATTTAACTGAAACAAAATAAGTCTTCGCTGTGGTGGTGATGTTGTTGTGGTGTTGTAGTGATTTTAGTTAGCTGGGTATCTCTGGTCAATACTCATTCAGGGCGGGTTGAGCAGTAGCTTATATAGCTTTCATCCGCATTCCTGGAGTCGGATTCTACACCCAAATGACGTAGCATTACTGTGGCTTGTCTGGGGTAACCATGAGTTAAGGTGAATATAGGGCATTGTTCAAAATGATACTGAATTAGATCATAGTCGCCGATCCCCATGTCTTTTTGGTGGGGCAGGTGTGGCGCTCCCGTTTTTCTGTGGCTGGTGGGGCCGCCCTATGACGACATCCTTTATCTTTCCACGCAAGGGAAGCTTCATTAACCCTAACAGGTTTTGGGCGTTTCATGGCTGAGGTCATTGTCCTTGGAGAACCTTGGTTCAGTGTATCTTAGGAAAATGCTGAATTATCGGTGGAATTACAACCCGCAGAGTATGTCCAATCAGGCAACACTATTCTTCTTGACTAGTGATCGATTTGACAGGCTGTCCATATCCTCCTCTAGTCAAAGACCAGGTATACCTTTGACCTTCACTTTCTTATCGAAACTAAAATAGCATTGTTCAACCATCAAAGTCGGGAACTTGTTACACATAATCCGTCACGGCTCGCATACTCTCTCAAACCTCTCAAGAACCGTGACAGAGGTGGCTCATTATCTCCATGGAAACTGTTAATAACTACTATTAGTCACCCAAAGCACTCTTCTTCCACATCTTGTCGTAATCCTGGTCGATCAATTGCTGATCATGACCTCAGCCCTATATCAGTACATATACTGTCCTCATTGAGCCCGTGATCGTCACAGACCGGTCGAGGCTTTAGGCTTTGAGCTTTGGGCTTTTTTTTTTTTTTTTTTTTGCGTGAGACTTGATTATCTCCGCAGAAAGCTTGCGCACGTATCTATACTTAGCACTCATTGATTCAGGGGCTAGATTTTTCTCTTGGAAAACCCCCCGGAATAGCTATGTTCCGGATTGCCAGACCATGAGATATGATGTCATATCTAATCCATGCTACGAGTGGCTGAAACCATACAAGATTATGGTAAGACCTCTACAATTGCTATACTGAGAGCTTGAGGGTAAGGGCAGATGTATGGCACTAGACTCAATTGACCAATACCTGTGGCGGTCCAAGTACTCATAACAGTCGAATAGCCTCAGGCTCGCTACCTGTAGAGCTTAAAGTCGACTACGGATGTTAGATTGAGAACCTTTGTCTTGTGATCTGTGCTTAGGTCGCTTTGAAAGGGAGATATGTGAATCAATTCGATGCCAGTGCTATTTGTCATCTGCTCCAGAACAGGAATATCAGTTTCCCGAAAATTCGCTCTATACGAGACTCCAGACCTGGTTTAACACAGTGAAGAATGTCTCTCAGGCTTTCCTTGAACCCGAGGCAATAACTTGCCCATCTCGATAGAAGGGTGTGTTGTCAGTATAGAATGGTTGACGAATGGGCTTGTTGCAGCAACCACTGTGGAGCACCACTCCTCTTACAATAACAAGACCCATATATAGAAACAAGGCGCAATAGAAATCCCATGGCTTTCCTAGCCACGTAATATATGCCTATCAATGTACCAACTGCACCACTAAAGCCGCGGTATCACTGAACGGTAAACATACTTTCACGTTCAATATATCAAAAAGACTTAAGTCTAGCTGTTCCGATACTGACTATAAGTAGTCTACTTCCCCTTCATTGTTTACCCAAACAAACTGCCAATACATTGTTCCACGGGAAACTTATTGACAGGGAAAGCAGTGGGATGCGTTTAATTATCCAATCTATCCTGTTGAGGATAGTATAGTATCACGATGTCAGCTACACATCTTGAAGGGATTTCCACATATGGATTGATAATATTCCATCCACCCAGTCCTATCTCCTGCTGGCCTCTTGATTATGAGCTCACTGGGCGGATAATATGCCCTATTTCCACTCCATATGATCATATATGCTACCCATTAGTGAAAATAATCATACCTTGCGAGTGGTATAATATGATTTTATATCTAAAGTCAGCATAGCTTAATCACTAGCTCAACCTTGCAAAGGTTCTTCAATGACAGTCACATGAAGCACTGAAAATCATGAGTGACCTCTTCGGCTCTCTAAAGTGCTAACTTGAGTAGGCCTTCGTATAAAATATCCATCCACGCACGCTTTAGCTTTTTTGTCCACAGACAGTTTCCGATCATCCAATCAGCTTAACACACCTTTTAGCCCAGGCCTCGCACATATTGCTGGATAGAAATTAGCGAAAGTTTACCATGCCATAATGATGCCACGACCCTAAGAAGCCCTGTGCGAGAACAATCTGGACGATGAATTGGGTTCAACAGGGCAGCGACTTGGCAGAAAGCGGGCACCGAATCGGGTAAGAATCGACAGAATCTCGTCAAATTGACCTGTAAGCGACTGGGCTTCTGCTACCGTAGCCAAAATAATATTGCAGGAAGTCAGGGTATTCTACATGGTCTTCGGGACAGATGCGGGGCAGAGGGAGATCACGCAAGAACCGACAACAGTGCCATCATCGATCGCTAACATAAAAGCCGATGTGCACCCGAACCCATATCAAATTTCTTTCTTTCTTAAACCAACTTTCATACAGATAACCCTTGGACTGAATTCAGTATCAGGATATTGAGTTTAGATATTTATTCAGTGCAGAGTATTTAACAAAGGTTAATGTACCCATCCTTGAACAAAATGGATCGACCCGAGGCTGATCATTGTGCTCTCAGCACGCATCATGCGCTCGCTCTGGCTTACTGCGCTGCTGCCCCTGGCAGCTGCCGACTGGCAATTCAAGTCGCGTCCTGATCTGGCGCCTCCTAGATTGAACATCACTATTCCGGCAGCGCCAGATGTTGAAAAAGGATATCTCTTTGTTGCTCCCTTTGCAGGCTTCCCGGATGATGCCGGGGAAATGCATGGTCCTCGTCAGGCAGCTCCCTACATCTTTCGCGATGACGGAGAGTTGGTTTGGTCGGGCTACGGCTATTACTCTATCTGGGCGACGAACTTCCAGAAGGCACGCTGGAAAGGCAAAGACATTCTCTTTAGTTTTGAGGGAGACCACAATGCGGGCTACGGTCATGGTCATGGCCATACTACTATCTTGGACCAGCATTACGAGACTATTCGTGAGCTGCGCGCCGGAAACCACAAATTGACTGATAAGCATGAATTTCATATCATCAATGAGGAAACTGCTCTCATTCAAATTTACCAGCCTGTCCCGAAGGATCTCACTCAATGGGGAGCGAGCCCTGAACAACAATGGATTGTGAATGCTATCATCCAAGGTAATCACCAATATTTCAAGTCCGTGGTCCGTGAAACTAAACGTGGCATAGAGCTCGATATAGAAACCGGGGAACTTCTCTTCGAGTGGTCTAGTTTGGACCATGTGCTACCTGACGGTGAGTGTTGCCTCGAGTCTCTTGAGCAGCAATAAGTGACTAAACTACTACAGAGGCCATCCTACCCATCAACCCTGGTCAAGCCGGCTCCGGTTACAACTCATCCGACGCGTGGGATTACTTCCACATCAACTCCGTCGACAAAGATTCCGAGGGTAATTATCTCATTTCTGCTCGTGATGCCTGCGCAGTCCACAAGATCAACGGCACCACCGGTGAAATTATCTGGCGCCTGGGCGGCGTCAAGTCCGACTTCGAGCTTGGGCTCAACGTCAAGTTCTGCTTCCAGCATCACGCGCGCTATGTCTCCAGGAATGGTGTTAAAGAGGTTATCTCGCTCTATGACAACTCCGCACATGGGACTGAGAACGGACGTGGTCGTGAAGTACACACCCATCCCTTCTCCCAGGGTAAAATCATCGAAGTCGACACGGCTACGTGGAAGGCCTCGATTGTCCAAGCATTCCAGCCTCCGGACGGCCTCCTATCAAAATCTCAGGGGAGTACCCAACTCCTTCCCAACGGCAACGTGCTCGTTAATTGGGGCTCCGAGGGAGCCCTAACTGAGTTTCGTCCTGATGGTACCCCTATCTTTCACACATACATGGACTCTGGGGTCTTGGGTTTGGGCGTTGAGAACTACCGAGGCTTCCGGTATAACTGGACTGGTCTTCCCAATGAGACGCCTGCCATTGTTTCCCTCGAGAATGATCAAGGCACTACTGTGTACGTTTCTTGGAACGGAGATACCGAGACCAAAGTCTGGCGATTTTACCAAGTTACAGATGATTATGGCTCCCGACAGTATCTTGGTGAGACCAAACGCACTGGTTTCGAGACTGCCTTTTCCCTCAAATCCGGCAATGTCCATACGGTGTCTGCTGAAGCTATCGCTGCTAACGGTCGTGTCCTGACTTCCACTGGTATTGTAAAGACACAGGTTGCGATCTTGCCTCCAGCCAAAACAACGGAGGCCTCCTCATCCGTTTCGGTCTTGGACAAGATGCAGCCTCAGGTCTACTTGGGTCAGAAGAGCCGCTGGGAGGATTATATGATCCTGAAGGTCGATCGCTTCCATCTGGATTAAAACAGTCGCGCCACAACGTTCCCTTGGGTTACTCTTCGGGAACATGATTTTTTCATCGGCCAAACATCGTAGTCCTTGCTGTCCGATAAAGGCATATTTATGCTTCCAGTACCTAGTCGCTATCTCATAGGTATAGAAAACAGTTTTGGCTATTTACCAGATGATTTATTATGTAGAATCAGTAATGGAGTCTTTGACAGACCCCGCAAACAATTTCCATTTCAAGAAGCATGCCCCAAGAATCAGCACTAGGCCGTTGAGGGCTAAGGTGTTTGTTACTTTGCAACTAGACTGAAGGCACAGAGCTGAATAGCACCGGGGAAACGGGATCCCTTCATGGCCTTCACTTACCTTCTTCCAGATTCCTCAGAGTCCCTTGGCCTCTAGGTAGACTCGATAGCTCGCCTGCCATGACCACAACGCATGAGACTATCATGACGGTGTTTATGCCGCCCGTAGCATGTCTGAATAGTCCCTGTCTTGTAAAGTTCTCAGGCAGAGCTTGAGCCAATCACCGACTTCATCGGTGTAGCACTAATTCTGCACCTCTCCTAGGTCCTCCTCCCTAAAACCTCAAGTGTCGAGAGTTACCTAACAAATGAGGCGAAAGAAACCCTCTTAGGCTTATATCAAAGGGGAAGGTACTTTCATACAAGTCGCAAAGAAATGTGAATAGCACGATCAGCTATTATGAGGGTTCCACATGCAAAAGATGCATCTTTAGCTCACAACAAAAATATGCCCGTCAAGACAGAAAATAAACCTTTTCTTGGTTCACCTTCCAGTCATCGGGGTACCGCTGCGTGTAATTCAAAATCGACTGATAATCCAACCCGTCGATATTCTGAATTGCAGAATTTGCGCCACGTTGACACAGAAGCTGACATGCTTTCACCTTCCGGTTTCGTGCCGCCTTATGTAGAGGTGTCTCAAAGAGAAAGTCATCTTGAGAATCCATCGAAGCGTTTGAATCCAGGAGTATATTGATGCCTTCCAACCAGCCCATGGCGGCAGCAAGATGCAGAGGAGTGTTACCTTCGAACATGCCGATATCAGGATCAGCGCCGTTCTCGAGTAGTAAATTCATGAATTCATGATTGCGGTTGCAGACAGCACTGTGTAATGGCGCCTTTCGATCACCCTTGAGGTCAACAGTGACGTCAAGTAGCGGGTTGTACTCCAGGAGGACTTTCAGTAGTTCAGTGTGATTAAAATGAGCTACTTCGTTCACAGCACACCAGCCCTATACGGAGGTCAGATGCATCAAATGGTGGTGTGGGCGGGGTGGATAGCGTACATGATGGAAGCTTCGAAAGTTCACATCCGCGCCTCTGTCTAGGAGGATTCTAGCTGACTTGCAATCACCTTGTATACACACAAACTGTAGTGCCGGCCGGCCTGCACTAGTGGCCGCATTTGGATTCGCCCCATGGTCCAGCAAGAGCTGAATAATCTCGCCCTTTGCTGATGCCCTTGAATCTGCTGCCCAGTGTAGTGGGGTGCGCCCGCCAATGAAAGTCGGGCCCTTACTGTCTGCACAGGTACGAGTGTACTGGCGAATGTTTACTAGGGCTCCGTGATCAAGAAGAAACTTTGTCATTTTTACATATCCCAGCTCAGCGGCGAATGAGAGTGCAGTACGTCCATCGCGAGGCCGCCGGGTGTTGATATCAACACGATCCAGCAGGTACTCCACAAGGGGAATCGAATTGCGTTTGACGGCTTCGAAGAGCTCCCGCGCGAGCTCGGGATCAGCCGGCCTGGGTGTCCCCGGTCGCGATAGAGTTTGAGTCGAGGAAGTGCTTGTGCCGTCTATTAACAGACTCTGGGACTGGACAGTGTTCGCCCAGAGGACAATTGCTGACCCTGCGTCGTCATCGAATGGATGCCCATTCGAAATGACAGGAAGAGCCGAATCATCAGGCCCCGCAGATATCCTCGATATTCTCATCATAAGGAGCCTGTCAACTGTCAGGCGGAGACTTGTATAGTGAGCTAGAGGCATGGTGCAATTGAAGTACGTACAATGTGAGACTGCCCATGGCATCAGAAAAGAGCTCTTTTGTGCGTTGTAGCTCAGACACCCGGAGTAATACATCCTTTCGCTTGAAGTACCATGTAATTCTATTAATCGATCCCATCGAGACGGGGGACTCGGCGGTTGGACTATTATCTCCATCCTTACCCTCGATTGAGGCTTTGTCGGTGTTTCCATTTCGGATGTACGAGCGCAGACATTCAGTTAGTTGTCGGCACATCACCTCGCATCTTGTAATGAAGTATTGAAGGCTATCCAGATTGTTCCGAATTTCGGAGTCTTGGTCTACACTCTTTTGTGTCTCAGGAGACTTGAGAGATCCTTCCAAATTCGACAAAACAGCAGCTAAAGCCTGTACATTATCTCTGAGAAGACACAGCTCGCGCGGGGCATCTTGAACTGTCACAATGAAATTGTAAAGCTGCCAAGACGCCTTAACTGCTGTCCCGGAAAGTTGTAATATCGCTGATGCTGTTCCAATACCATCCATCTTTTATTGACGACTTGAGTTTGGAAGAAACAATTGTAAGCAAACATGAATGTGTTTTCCTAGATGACATTGTGCGGTCGATATGTTTGGGGGCATTGGTGACGAGGCTGTCGCCGGCTGAATCTCAGCCTCGCGCTGCTGTGCCAATAAGAAGGCTCGGGCTTAGTTGTCTGTGGAGCAGTAGGCACTGTTAGAACTTATAGTAGTAACTGACTCATCACCTCTCTGGCACTAAATCGGCTAGCTCATCGGCATGGATGTGCGGAGAAGTCTTCGTCTTATTATCGCCGGGTAATATTTCCGTCTACTCTAGTCTCTTCACACATCGCCTCGGTTGCTGCAGCCCTCTATTGGAAATAATGGATGGCCAATTCCAATCGCCAGTGACTGCACTTGATAGATATCACTCGCGTTCTTGACTTGGAGCCTGGACCAGGCTAAAGCATCTTATATTAAACACTGCCAAAGAAAGTACTAATTAGGGTACTTCTTGAGCCCTCTACTTAAAGCCCTGCTTAATGTTCGAGTTAGGCTACTTGTCAGAAAGAGGTCAGAAAGCTCAGTGTATGCATTAGATATTACAATAAGGAAACCAAGGACGATAAAAACTCTCATGAATCATCCGAGAACCAGCTCACTTCGTCATGCCGACTCCTGGGCTGCTCACGAATGTCCTCATCGAAAGTAAACATCCCACCGTGGGCATTATCTTCCATAGCCTGGTTATCCTGGTCCCCCGGGCTGCTTTCCTCTCCGTCCGAGGACACTTTAACCCATTCCGCTGCCTGAGTGTGCAACGCCTTGCTGTCCGAGAACACCTCCCAAGAGCTATTCTTCTCTAACCGTGCAGACTCAATAGTCTTCGTCCTGAAGGGCTTAGAGACAAGCTTCATAAGACGCATAGCGCAGATCAATTCTCCCTGAGCTGGATAACTTTCTTCACTATCCATGCAGCTACTCGAAGAATTTCCCTCTAATGTCGCAAGTCCCTCCACCAAGTACACGTCCAACTTTTCACCAATTTGTTGTTGCAGCCATTTCTTAACTCCTTTGTCTGTGCTGAGATTATGGAATAGCTCCCTCGGCTTTTTGAGTGTATATATCTTTCCGCCTCTGGGAAGCATGTTGTCGCTATCTGCACAACCGCCAATAGATATCTTGAATAAACGGGAGAATGAAGCAGATAGTCCTGTTTCTTTCGTAGGCTGAGTAGCAGCGCACATGTCGGGTACAGATCTGACGGCAAAATCCTCAATTCGTCCCAGAGGCCAGGGGCATCCACGGGCGCCCAGTTCAGGTTGGTTTATATTGGTGATAAGGCTGCCTAAATTTACCTCTTCACTTGAGAGGAAAGAGGTCCTCGATATGGGTTTGCTTGGCATTTTGATGTTGAGATGCGATTGATTTCGCCCAGGAATAGGTACCTAATTTCTTCCTCGATTTGGAGGTAAATTATTTGTGGAACTTGTTTACTTCACGTCTTTTGGGCTGCGCATGTTGTAGGGGCCTAAAAGGATGCTCTTGTAAAGAGGTCTTTATAAAGCCAGGCCCGTACAGAGGCTCTCATACCACTACAGACCAATCCATGGGGTTGCCCTATCAAACAAAGGGCTGAAAGCAACACCACACACTTGGTCCATTCGGCAATCACCAACACAAGTTCCACGAAGCTCTGTCGTTGTTCGTTTGTTATTGATGGCGCAAAATAATACAGCCCCTTGAATAGCCTTATGAGGGAGCGCGAGGGCCAAATGTTCATGCCACCGGTAACCCGTGTAGCTCTAATTGGCTTTTTATTTCTGGGGACTTAAGAACAACAGTGGTTAATATAAGTTTAGGGAACCAAGGGTAATTACTTTTATTTCTTATATTTTTATTCAATTAATTATTAAATCCCAAAGCAAGTAAAAAAGATGGTCTTGCGTTCTTCGTTAACGGCTATCTTATCTATCAGATAGGTATGCGGATGTAAAAATAGCAAAAAATGGACAAGCCGGTAATCGAAACCGGGACCTTCTGAATGCAAATCAGATGTTATACCACTAAACCACTCGCCCTTGGTGAAAGAGTGTACTTCTACTTTAACTTATGACCAGCAGGAGCTGAAGAACACCTTGTCGGGAATTCAATGATTGCTTCACCGTCTCACTGAAAATGTTAAAAGTAATTAGTGTACATATACGTGTAAGCAGTCGAAGACTGGCCTTAAAGTCTCGGTATCACAGTCCAGTAATATAGAATATAACTCGATCTACATATATTCAATTGAGCGTCAATGGCCTCGATGGTTTGTTTTAAAGTCAATGCAGTCACAGTTCGCTCCATCACGAAAAACATGAGAGCTTTACTTATACGTATACTTCTCACCCTCGCATACAAGAATATATACGGGCTTGCAGAAACAAGATAACAACATAGGAGACACTGCATACGCTGTTGCTATTTCACAGGATGAAAATTATGGTTGCTAAGGTCCAAGCCCCATGACATTCTACAGAGACCTTAGACCGCCCATTGTTGGCTTTGCGATTCCATATATCATGCGCTCACCCGGCGTATTGTTGTGACAGGATCTATTATGTACGGGCAGGATATCTAAGTACCATAAAATTGTAGGGGGTAAACACAAGCGCTTGGACGACTACCTTAGTCGCACCAAGTTTTCAGAGTCCGTTCTGCTTCTCTGCTGAGCGCAAGGAGTATGTGTGGATACGGCGGTCCTCACAGGATATTAGACCCACCTAGCAAAAAGAACGCCCAATGATCATGGTGATGTTTTCATATATGAAAATGTATGAAATAAAAAAAAAGTGGTCACAGGGAGGCTCGAACTCTCGACTTCTGAGTTATTAGCTCAGCACTCTAACCAACTGAGTTATGCGACCATTTGTTATAATAATCGCTTTCTAGATGCTATATAGGGCAAATAATGAAAGTGGCTAATGTCCGCGTACGATCTCCAGCCGGTACTTATTCTTTCCTGGTCAAATTCCTTAGGAGCTTCAAGCTACTCAGTATTTCTTTACTACGGATCTTTATGGAGTATTAGAAAAAGAACGGATGTGGTCTAATCCCCTAACATCTGTATAAATATGCCTGAAAGTGCTGTATTTAACTTGTAACTGTTGGGGCTCGGAGGTCATTCTTGTTGGAGGTTGTGGTTATATATTTCTGTCACCGTTGATTCGAAAACAGTTCGCGCGTACAAGACCCTACCAACAATACGACTTGAGCACGTCTGAACCGATATATAGATAATAATAATAGAGTGCATCTCGTGTTAGAAAGCCTAAAAAAAAAAAAAAAGCAAAGCAGACGGTGTCGCTAATATGATTGAAAAAAAAAAGTAACATACAAGTCAAATGCAAAAAACCGTGGACTCGCCGGTAATCGAAACCGGGACCTCTCCAATGCGAATGGAGCGTTATACCACTAAACCACAAGCCCTTTTTATTGGTTCCACTTTCGGATAAGCCCTACACGACCCATAGTAATTCGTATCCCTTCCGATCTTTACCTTCCAGATCGCGATCGCGACAGCGACTCGACTATACTCATAACTGGCCAACCGGTCTTGCTTCCCCATTTCCGTGTCTCCTGGATTAGTTCGTGAACTCTTTGTGAGTCTCTCAACCACGGCCCGCCTGTTTCCGTTAGCAGTAAACCCAGATGTTCTATGGGTAAGACTAACAGAAGGAAATCGGGCCAAACGAATTGACCCACACGGGCGCAGAATTGCTAGAAATCGCAAGAGCGGAGACCTGAACTGCATGGTGCTCGAGCTTTTTCTCAAAGTCATTGATTCGTTTGATTTGCTGGAGCGTATTAATTCCCGTCTGCATCGGCTCAGCAACGCTCAGGATTGCCAGGGCCGTGTGGTAGTATTGTAGACTCGAGGCTGATATCGTCAGCTCACATATCTCATACATGAGTGGGTATCATAGAGTGTTTATACCATGCCAACCACTGACTGTCCATAAACAGGGGAAGTTGCTTTGTCCATACAGCCCCGGAGTTCCGATAGGCTCGAACGAGACAGGTAGAGATGCACGCCACGTATCGAGCTCGTCGTTGAAAGAATGCCACTCGTTCTGCTCCAAGGGCGATGCATTTTGATCGAGGCATCGGTTGATAATTTTCCCTAGTATGTATGTTATCCTGTTGGCAAGGTCATCCTCTTCTTCGACAGTTGGAGGGAGATGCTCGTGCGAGAGTTCTATCATAAGACTCCGTTTCTCTATAAGTGCGACAGTAATATCTTCTCGGAGGTAATTCCAGAAGCCGGCACTCAGTAACCCCGTTTCAAGCCCAGCAGGCCGACTCGCTAACAAGGAGTAAGACCCCTGAAGATGATTCTGACAATTGACATTTTCTACGCCAAGTTAGCACACCACAGGCAAGACCCGGGAGATACTCACGGGATATGATCTCATAAGACCGAAGAAGACAGATAGCGGCTAGTGTCTCGCCGGTCCGAAATTCATCTGGATTTTCCGTGAGCTGTAGCAGTGTCTGAACACTCTCGAGGTGGTACGACTCTGCCAAGTCCCACAGGTCTTTCTTTAGGAAGCTCGAGCTTTGACTCGCTGCGGCAAATGCTAGAATGGCGCTGAGAAGGAGCGAGTTCTTCCGTGCACAAGAAGGAACCATACCACCGAAATGTCTCTTGATATCGTTGAGGTCATACCATCCAGCTAGATGCTCGATGTAGTAACGGAAAATTGCCGCAATATGGGGATTCCGGAGTGCCTTTTCCGGATCTTTCGTCGATACGTACTCGGCGGACCGCGACCGGGTGGTTAAGCTTGAATCTGGGGTAGTGGACGACCTGGACCCTAGTCCTCTTGCAGAACGGTTGCTCCACTGGCAATCTCGAGAAGTTTGTTGGCAGCGAAGACACACGGGTCGATGTCCATCACCTGTTCTGAAAATCAATTTGTAGATCTATTTGGAGCTAGCCCGCCAGGCTCACATTTAATCTTTCTGGACCTGCATTCCTGACTATCTTGTGTTAATAGAAAGCTTTACCAGTGCGAGATTGAATACGAGTGGGGTTAAAGGTACCATCCTAGAAATAGAGGAATTGTGGCACTGTATTAGCGTACTGGGGTAGCTCTTAGAATGGGCTAGACTTACTGTTTGTTAGAAAGGGTCGGGGCATGATGGAGGAGCGAATGGGTTTGGAGCTCGCATTATCCTCGCAGGATTCGAGGGCGTCACTACTCAAATTTCTTACCAAGCGCCAATAGGATTGCCTAGTTTAAGTGGATTCTACTATTTCCACAGAGTTTCTATAGCCACTGCGTTAATAGGCCGGCGAGACATATATTATTATAAAATTCACGCACCACTTCTAATATACACGGCGCCCCAGATCCACTCAAAAACGAGATGCGAAGTGCGAAAGCCGAACCGTTGATCGACAATCGATGGAGAACATCATGGTAGACAGGGCTATAAAAATCCCCCATAACCCTGAAAAATGCATCGAGAACATATTCCTCTGTACCTATCCACTCAGACACACAATACAGCACAGTCAGTTGACAACCACCCATTAAGGCTTTCGTCTATACGAATATGCAAGGCATCACCCCTATAGCTAGGCTTTGCAAGCCTGCGAGGTTCTGTACGCAACATCGGAACATGTCAAGTTTCCCAACCAGCATCTCCCCCTCACAGTCAGAAATTAAGAGTCGGCAACTTTCTCCGCAAAATCTAGAGATCGCAATTCGAAGTCTCCACCATGACGGCTTAGTCGTAGTGGAGAACGTCGTGCCCCACGATGCCCTGGACCAACTAAACCACAAGATGGTCGAGGATGCATGGACGCTGCGGAACAAGAAAGAAAACAGTCCCTATAACTATAATCCCGGGAATATCCAGCAGGATCCTCCACCTGTGCTGAAAGACTTCAACCCTGATATCTTCCTCAGTAGGTGTCTAACGTTGACAATACATATTAATACATACTAATAAAGGCTCAGATCCCATCGCTACCCAAATAACCTCGACGGCGCTCGGGCCCCGTCCAAAATGGACCTTTTGCTCTGGAAACTCAGCCATGCCCCCTACAGCTGAAAACCCACCCATGTCTCAGCCTGTCCACTCTGACGCGGATTTCGCCCACCCCACACACCCGTTTGCCTATGTCGTAAATGTCCCACTAATCACCATGACTCCCGAAAACGGGTCTACAGAGGTGTGGCTAGGAACACACACTGATTCGGGATTGCATGTTCAGGAAGGAATGCACGGCGAGCGAGCCAGTGGGCGAATTCAACAGGATGTCTTGGAGAAGCAGAGAATGATCCGGCCGCCGTCTCAACCTATTGTTCCTAAGGGCGCATTGGTTCTGAGGGACTTGAGGCTGTGGCATGCGGGAATAGGAAACCAAACCGATGAGGTTAGGGTTATGTTGGCGATGAGTAAGTCTCAGATTCCCACTGGAGTGTGAGTTTGTGACTAACGATCGCAGTTCATTTTGCGCCATGGTATCGAAACCCCATGAGACTGGAGTTTGCGGAAGATTTGAAGCCTCTGGTGGAGAAAGAGACGGGCATCGAAACTCCTGTCGATTGGGTTACAGAGTCGGAGGCTATGTCGCGATATTTGAATAGGGGATTTGGAAACTCGTATGATTTCAGTCAGCGGCCATAGGCGGCTCCATTATGAACGGAAAGGAAAGGAAAGTAGACAATGTAATAAGACAAAAGGCGTTCAATTATTCCTATCTATTTGGTATTACAATTTCAATGTAAGGAAGCGTGAGAATAATATTGAAATGACTCCTGAAGTGTTAAATTTTAGTAAGCGTTCGCTTGATTTCAACTTATGAACAAAGCAACGCCAAAATGGCCCCTTCCGCAGCTAGGCCCATCTCCTCTCTTATTTCAACGTACCTTATGATAAGAAATGTTGTTCTTGATTCACATATCTTGCGTCTTAAACATAGGATGGATATTGCCATATTCGTATGCGCCTTCGAAAAGCTTAATTATCACCACAGACATAATATGGTACATCACTATACATCTACTATCGCTACGGGATTTGTATAACACCGAGCTAGACAGTAAGTCTATATTATATCCTTGCATATACCATTCAATTAAAGAGACCAACAAGCTCCTGGAAAGCGTATCCAACTCCAAAGCCCCAGCCGAATTCATGTCCATACTGGGCGAGCTGTCTGGCTATCTCGCATCCATTGGCGAAGTGTGCATCATTATTAATCTCCTCTGCCATGTAACGAATAGCTGAGACTAGTGGATCTGTGCTCATATCGTACCTTGCATCATGCAAAGCGCCAAGGAGGATTTTGACGGCATCAATATGTCCATTCCGCGCAGCGATAGCCAGTGTTCTATTGTAGTGCATCTCCCACCCTTGTTGCCTAGCATAAAGTGCCCACCTTAGTAGCATCTCCTCCTTCTCACTGAAGCAGGGCTGGTTTAAGGCGTACCGCAGAGGTGTTTCCCCAATTTCGTCTGGTTGGAAAACCAGAAAATATTGGTTGACGGGTAGATTGCACAGCAGGTGATCCAGTGTTTCCTTGTTGCTATCATGTCTCCTCACAGCGGCATGGAAGAGAGTTCTTTGATCCCAGGGCACGGAATATGTAAGCCCTAGACTTAGTAACCGTATTACCGCGTCCTTACTGGAATTGATACACAGGTGGTAGATGGTCTCCCATTGTAGTGTATTGGGATCATCGTGTGGACACCGAATACCTGCTCTAGAGTTGTTAGAAAACCAATTGTTGAGATATTCTATCGCCCACATCTTTTCTGCCAGGACGGCCTCAGATGGTATTAAATTTTGAAAGCACCTGTTGAATAGTGGTTTTTGTGAATATACCGCCATGTCTGCCTGTAGTTAGCATTGGCCTTGGAAAGGAAGTGTGATAGTTGTTTCTGATATGTAATTCTAGGAAGATGTCAACAAAGAGGTCCATTTGAGGCGATAGAGGAGAAAGAATGTAAATGAACAAAGCGACAGTTGTTCCCCCATTTATAGCAATTGGCTATTGAGGCATTTGGCTTCTGCTCTACATGGTATGTACATACATCGTGTAATGAGATCATTGGGATCATGGGGAATAGTCCATCTTTGAGGCAAAAAGCCGAATGAAACTTTCCCATGTTAACTGGTTTCACCATTGCCTATTAAAGTGTTTCTTTGTTAGTAAGTGGAAATACCCGTGCCTGATCTTCTAGCTTTGTTAGTATCGCAATGGACAAGGTAAGCTCCAAGCTGTCTGGTATTCTTGGGCACGATAGTTGGACGCACACTGTACTCTTTCAGACATTTATTGCTGTTACTTTCCGGATTACATGGTTTTGAATCTTACAAGGTAGCCTCAATATCAGATTTTGATCGTGTCTTTGACTTTTTCTGGCTCCTCTTCTTATGCTTGTCCGAGCGATTACTGTTGGCTTTCACGGTATTATCCTACTGATCCTGAAAATATCGCAATCCACCTGGATAGTTCCATAGCATAAACACATCCAAACAATATACCAAACAATAAACACCGAGATAATCAAAAAAAACACCAGACGAACATAAAGAACAAAGAACGATATCACCAAAGAACAATGAACCGAGCATCAAATCCAACAAAAGCGCAACCTTCACGGCAAATTCCTCTCCTTAAATTCCCTCCACCTGGCCCGAAACCCGCTTCTCTTCTCCCCGTTAACCTCCGGAGCATCATCACCCTCAGACATGGCCTTCGCCATTATCTCTCCGCCACCCAGCGCTTTGCTTTCGCTACTAGACCTCGGTTTCACACCACCGCCGACTGACCGTGATTGCGTCGACTGAGGAACAAGCGTCGTCTCCGACATGGTATCATCCGTCAATCTGCCTTCCTGCAAGGCAAGTTCCCTTTCTCGGGCTCGACGCTCTTTAGCCCGGCGCGCGACGGCTTCAGCACCGCCTTTTTCGCCAAGCATGACTGTGCCCCCTGGGCCGGGGGTTATGGCACTGTAGTCTAGGTTCCAGCCCATTTTCTTGTTCTGTATTTTGGTTTGTAAATTTAGTGGGTTTTTGTTCTAGTTGGGGGCTTTGGAGATGGAATCGTTTTAGGAGAATTCGAATAGAGATTTGTATATGTACTACTAATGTGGCAGTGTTCTAGAAATGCATTTCTAGAGTGGAGTACATGCCAATGGTTTGTGGAGCAAAGAAGAAATGACGTCATAATATCACCACCAAATCCGCCTCGGCAACGAGGACCCTCATTTCTATGGGGGAGTTCTATGTCGATCCTCTTGGCGGGCGTATTTGGATCTCAGAGGCTTGCCTGATGGTTGGCGGAAATGTAGTCGGAGACTGTTTGCATAGAATTTAATATTGATATTGGGATGGAAGGGTTGATTGCTGTATACAGCGCTAGAGTAATTGGTTGTTTCTTCCTATGGATTTCCGGATAGTCGGACTGACAAAGGATTAAGTAATTAATTAAGTATTGAGATATGAATGTAATGTTTACTGCGCCGGATCAAACACCTTCTTAAACGTCTCCAGGGTATGAGCCCAGATCTTCTTCGGGAAATCCTCCGCTCGGTATCCGCTCATGAGCTTCTCGTTTGCCGCGTTGGCACCATCATATTTGAGAATATACGATCCTCCGCCAATTTTGCCAGTCGAAGCTACACTGGTCTTCACTCCCTCTACAAGTGGCACGCCTGCATTCGCCGGATCCTTGGGCGTAGCGGGCGGATAAGCAGCGGAAGTCGAGATGAACAAATGCCGCTCACCACTCTCCTGCGAGGAAATCGACATCGGTCGCGATAGGAAGCCAACGATTGAACCTGCGATTGAGCCCATGGTCTTGTTCATGAGAGGTGTGCGGACAATGCCGGGGAATACGTGAACGAAGCTGATGGACGGGTACAGCGTGGCCAGGTGTTCTGCGGCGAGGGAATTCATGGTTGCTGCATACGTGCCGGCTTTCATAAAGGTCCACGACTTCTGTAAATCGAGGTTATCTTCTTCAACTTTACCTTCCTGGCCGGCGGCTAAGACGCTCACGACGCGGGCTGGGCCTTTGGATGCGCTAAGCAGCGGGAGGAGGTTGTGGACGAAGCGCATACGGGAGTAGTAACGGAGGGCATGGTTGTTTTCGAGGCCTTCAGTTGTGTCTGTTTTACAGTTAGTGACATGTATTCCAGAGCTTGGATGTGTGTGGTTCTACTTGCTTTGTTTCGAGGTTGCAAGATGTCCTGTCGAGAGGAACAACAGATCAATCGCCTTTTCCTTCTGCTTGATTTCTGAGCACGCCTCGTCTACATTCCGGAGAAGTGACACGTCCGATTGAACAAAGTAGAAAGTCCCATCGGGATTGGCTGATTTTAGTTCCTCTAATATCTTGGAGCCGGCGGCTTGATTCCTTCCTACGAGATGGATCGTCGGCTTTTTGATGGCCTTTGCTAGCTCCTTGGCTGTTGCTTCTCCGATTCCACTGGTTCCCCCGACGAAAACTGCGACGAATTCCCCATCGCGGGTGTGAAGAGCGGCGTTGGATTTGCGGACTTCGTTGATGCCTACCATGGTGACTGAGACCCGAAAGTCTGGGGTAAAAGTATGTACAGATGCGAGGGGTATAACTAAATTGTGCGAGCTCAGACTAGTAATTGTTTCCCGAGATGAGCTAGACGTAATGCTTAAATACGAAGAATGACAACTGAGTCGGTGTTCGGGCACGTTAAAGTCCGAAGTGGTAATGCATTGCATCATTTATCGTCGTCTGCAGGTGCGGTCGGCCAATGGTAGTGCGTGCTGCCGAGTCACATTACTCACTTACCCTACTTCAAGTAATGGACAAGTATTCCCTAACTATTCAAGCCCCTGCATTATTCAGAAGACGAACTGATCTTACCTATCAGCTCTTGCCATTGATACGAGTTAGGGATCGTTGTCAATCCAGCATGCTGTCAAACAATTTGGGAGTCCTTGGCATTGTAATGCAAGAATATAACTTTCATTCTCAGAACCCTTGCTTATAAACTCCGTTCTCCGTTTCCTCATTCAGTCGTTCAAACATGATACCGTTAAAATAGAATTAGCATTATGATTAAGAAAAGACTTCTTCCTTAGCCATTAGGGACTTCCGCCCCTTTATCACGGGTGTTGGTAAGAAAGCTCATCAGCGGACATGTGAAGATCGCTGGTAAAAAAATAGGGGGTAGGAGAAAAGAACACCGAAAAGGGAGCTGAAAATTCTGGGCCTTTAGATCGATCGCAAGGCAAGCAAAACTTAGCTCGACGATACTTTCGTGGCTGACTTGAAGGCTGCTTCGACGTCAGTCAGTCGGAAGCCGGGTGCTCGTCCTAGGATGACCATCTTTCTTAGAAGCGCTAGTTACAGATTAGCTTATCAAAGTTACAATCCATGATGACGTCCCACAGAGTATTTACCTTGAACGAACTCCTCGATATTGAGAACCCAGGCCGCCTGTCCTGCTGCATTGGCTGCATTTTCAGAATTGCGCTCATTGGTACCATCGTAGTTGCGTAGGGGCGGCGATTTGAGCTCATGATTATCATCTAGATCCATAGGAGTGCCCTTGGATTGATTCAGTGCAGCCTTTGGAGAATTCTCCTGATTTTCAAATGTAGGAGTGGCAAAGATACACGGAGAATCATCGAGACAGAACCCTTTTTCTTCGAGATAACCCTGAACATCACGGCAGTCAAGCCAGGTACCATCCAGCCCGTATATCTTAAGAAGCTCCTGTCGCTTCTCCGATGACAGCTTCTCATCCATCTCCTGAGCGCTGCCCGGAATCGAGCCAAGAACTCGACCCGGGAGTCGCATGTTCTCAGGATACAGAGGCTTTCCATCAGGCTGCATCTGCGGATAATGCGTGCCCGCACCGCCGATGCAATAGAAAGGCACCTTGAGTCTTTCCAGAGGCTCTTTTGGGCCTGTACGGAGGAGGGAAGTAAGACAGCGGGTCATTTTGTCCTCTTGACGCACACAGGCCACTAGACGGAAGACACGATAGATGTCCTGGGGATCCGTCCGCGGATCGGTGAACAATTGGTACGCGTACTCTATGCAGTACCGATGGAGTCGACGGGCGAATGTTGATTCGTTATAGCTGTATGTAAAAGTAGCGCTGCCGTTCAATGGTCTTTCGATGTCTCTTGGGAGATTGCCTAGATATGAGCGGTTTGCATATTTGGTGGAAGGCGATACTCTGATGCGGTCACTCCCTGGTGGCTTGTAGAATGTCCCACTTTCTCCGGGATTCATATTCATAGTATATCCAAAGGTAAAGGCGTCGTTTGCTGCCTTTGCAGAGGATAAAGCGGCTAGTTCTATATGATGAAGCTCCGCCGTAGTTAATGAGTTCGCATTTGATAATTTGCCTGCACGGTTTACTTGCGAAACGGTGTAGTTGAGCTGCTGGAAGAGATAAGGATGAGTGAGGTTGAGATCAGACTGAAGGGCCATGTGGTAGAAAGTGGATAGCGATTGAGATATCCTGCCCATGCTTTCTTCGAGCTCTGACACGCGTGTTTTCAGATCCTGAAACATGGCTTCTTTCTTCAGTCGGTAGGTCCTTTGTGCAGCCCGGATCTGAGCCCGACGATCCTACTTGAACATTAGCCATTGCCCAAAAGTTTAATCCGCCCTCGAGCAACAGTAAGTAATACATTAGGTGAGGTATTGCCAGGAGTTATCCTCGGTCTACCGCGTTTCCTCACTCGGTTCGCCGACTGTGAGGGCTCGGGTGAGCTCCTCTGTTCGACAATCTGACCATGGTCCGATTCCGGTTCTGCACCGATTGCCTCCGATATGTATGGAAACCGATCGGGCTGGTAGTAGCGCGCCGAGAGTGTCTGGGATAAAAGGTAATCGGCCATGATTACGGCTCTGCTCGGTGCTCCGCACGGCAGTAGGGTTGATTATATTTCAAGGGGGTTCTTTTTATAGTGAGATGATCATCGAGTTGGAATTATCAACGAGATTTATTCCCATTGAAGATAATAACATGATGAAATTGCCTGATGCTTGGCGGCAGTTGAGCAATGGCCCAGTGAGATGTAGATTTCTTTCTCTTGTGCCTCGGCTGATCGAATAATCGACGTGGTTGATCCGAGGATCTTTTAAACGGACCAATCACCGCCCGACATCGTGCCCAACTGTGCCCTATTCACGTTAGCTCCCTGACTTAGTTACGATAAGGAATCGTAATGTGTTCCAATCTGTGCCTGAAGAGGCTCATCAGGAATATGGATAAAATTCAAGTTTCACTTTGATATTTCCTGAATGAGCCTAGCATGCCCCATTAAGCATAGTCAGGGATATGTTCCTTCGGACGGGTTGCCATCTGGTAGACAAATTAGCCGATTCTGGACGTTTTTATCGTCCCAATCCGCGGCCCCTAAAGGAATTTTGTCCTCCTGATCGGGTTCTCTTCGCTTCTTAAAACAGTCGAACCCACATGAGAATCATACTATCGCATCCACATCAGAACAAGCACATGTGTACAGTCCACACTGCTACACTCATCGTTTTCTTAACCAACCACCACTAGTGACGCAGTCGGATTGGTTTCGGGACGTCGGTATCCGATCCACCTGAGTAGATTTCCTGTTCAATAACGGGAATTGCTACGGTGAAGCATGACATCCTGGCTGGGCAATATTTTTGAGTGCATATGCCCATGTGAATAGGTACCATAGGGAGTTCACGGTCCGAAGAATAGCTGAGCTTCACTGCAGATATGGCGACGGTCCCGAGAGAATGGCATGTCATGCGCAGGATCGGGATCGGGAGTGAAATGTGGGATGGGCGATTATGCCCGATCGTCGCTTGTGATATCTGTCGTGAACCCGAGGAAGTGCCTAGAATATCAGGCAGCTGGTTTTCAATAGTAACGAGTTTATGGGTCATTACCCGCTCAATCTCAGGGTTCTACATCCTTTGACATCGAGATGTAACGTCGTGATTCTGAAAGCGGGTCAAAAACAAAGTAAAGAGGTGAAAGGAATATATTTAGTTATTATATATTCAGATGGGTTATCTCTCTGATACACTCAAATATAACAATTAAAGAATATCAGTCGCAGAATAACGTAGTCGTATAATATACTATACTCTCCAAAGACCCGAGGCTTTTCCTTCAGCTATTCGAGTTCAAAGCATTTAACTTTGCCGCTGTCATCGGGACTTCGGCAGTATCTTCTGGAAAGCGAGACTCGTCATATATCTATCTCAATGGCCAGCGGGCTGGTAGCTTCAGGTATCAAGAAGAAAACGTCTTTTGGACATTCCCAGCAGAGGTAGAACAACTGCCAGATTAAATCGGCAGATTTGATCGGATTGAGCCATACCGAGACAGGGCTCAAGTTTCTTTATGACATTTTCACCGAAAAGAGCGGCCAATAGGATGATCAGATGCCTCTACAAACCTTAATGAACGCCCGTACAAAAGGGTTCCCGAAGATAGAAGGCAGTCTCCAGGGCTTGGCTAGTTGGTATGGCTTTTGTACGGGGTTTCTTCGCGGTGTAACTCTTCAGGATATGATTTAATATACTTATAATTTGTCCTTCGAAGCTAGTTGTTTTATCAAGAATGGCACATGGAATATTGTAGGGCCCTTTTGTTTCTAATTTACAGTATATTCCAGTGCCCTTGGCATTACACTTATGTGGCCTAAGATGTTCTAGTAATTTTTGTTATTGGCATTTGGTGCATTTCGAGTTATTTAAAAGGGAAAATATATGCGTCTTCCTAGATGCATCCCGTTGTTGTCGACCACAGGTAAGTCCTACCTACCAGTATCCCTGGATATAAGATGGCAAACCTTTCGGAGCCACCGGGCCCGCGGAATCCGAGGTTGCCTGCCCCCGGAGCCGCGGGTCAGGGTGGCCACTAATTATCATAGCGTAACTAGATGTTAAATACTCACTCATACAATGGTCCCTCCTCAGTGTAGCTTAATAGCGGCGATAGCCCCTGTCTCTGCTGTGTCTCCATACAACCATTCCCCCTGAAAGCATCCACCATGGTGCCAACAAAAAACAGCTTGAGGCTCACCGACAAGCCATCACTCTCAATAGCTAGTAGATTTGATCTGCTCCCAGCCGTAGCTTCGATCCTAATCGCGGGCCTTGCTGCTCTGTTTACGGGGCTCAAGCGAGACAGATCCGGCACACCAACCTTCTATCTTCATGTCGCGTACGCCATTCTACGCAAGGCGAGCGCTCGCCTCTCTCCATTACAGTTCCAGTCTGTTCTCTCCCCCATATTCATACCCAAAGCTCATAGGTCAAAGATGGATATCCCCTTCCACGGATGAAGTGTATAAGCAATATATGCAGTCGCGAGGGGCTGTACCCCAATCAATAGAACTGGAATATGATGCTAAGGGCCATTGGATTGGAGACAAACATGCACGGAATGTATTGATCTGGTACCACGGTAAGACTGCCACAAAATACAATTGATATTGTCGACACCATCTGCTAACTGAACATAGGAGGAGGTTTCTGTCTACCTGCCAACATTGGCTACTTTAAATTCTGGGAAAGCCTCATTCAGAGTTCGTCCGCTGCGGGCAAGGATCTTGCAGTGTTCGCAGTCGCATATAGACTTGCTCCAAACGCTCAGTATCCGACGCAGCTTATTCAATCAGTCGAAGCACTGAGATACATTTTAACCAAAACTAATCGTACCCCAGCCAATATTCTGTTAGGTGGCGACTCTGCGGGTGGCAACCTGGCCGTCGGAGTTCTCTCGCACCTAACATCGCCCCATGAAGCAATAGTCAAATTGGACGTCCGGGAGCCACTGGCGGGGACCGTCCTCATTGCACCGTGGACATCTCTTGATACGAGCCCAGACACAGAATTTAACTGTCTCGGTGACGTGATTACGCCGGACGTTGCCAAACCCTGGTCACAAGCGTATCTAGGAAATGCGAAGCATGATTACTATACCGACGCCAGTATTGCTCCTTCAAGCTGGTTTCAACATTTAGAAACACAGAAAATTCTGGTTCTGGCAGGGGCAAATGAAATTATGTTGCCGTCAATTCGACAGTTCGTTGAGAAAGTCAAGGTGAGCGCAACTCTTGTCTACCGAGAGGACAAGCTGACGGGGCAGACTGGATTTCCTACGGTTGAATTATTTATTGGGCACCAGGAAGGCCATGTGGCCCCTATATACAATTTGTATGTGGGAGATAGTAAGGAAACACAACAGGGGAAGAGATTGAAAGCCTGGCTGAGAGAGATCCTCTGAGGACTATTTCCTAAGAATAACTCGCCAATTGTCAAATGAGATTTGCCTATGATGATTGAGATCACTGGGTACATAGCGTCAAGGGACGCCCTGACTAGTTCAGCGACTTCTAGCCTCATGATAATTTGTTTTAGTGATTCGCTATGAATTACCCTCTATCGAGGCTTGAAGTCCAGTGAATACTAGGTGCTATGCAACATTAGACTATGTTGGTGATACACCCATAGGAAAGCCGGAAAGGTGCATTATCGTTACTTAAATTATAAGTTTAGTATAATTATAGCACACTTCTTAGACTAAACGTTGATGTGAGATGGGGCGAGGAGGTAATTTTTCAGTAAAATATGATAAATGATCAGAGGGGAAGGAAAAGTACCAATACAATTCAGTCCTCATTGTGTCGGCGTTGTAGGATAATCAACGGCCTCTCCGGGAAAACTTATCCATAAGATATTCCTGGAAATCAGATTGCTCAAGTTGAATTCCATGGCTCCAATCGCATCGGTCAGATGTCTGCTCGTACAGGAAATTTGCCGGTGATGTCCAAAGTAACCAGATCTACATGTCGATCCATGAGCGCCCAACTGTAGCTTCCATGGTAGTTCACCGATCAGAGCCCTGGATCGTCTGTACGGGCCGGACATCACCAACAGAGAACAAAGCAGAACAAAAAAATCCGAGGATATGGAACGAATGGGAAGGGATTTTAGTGGAAAGCTATGGCCTCCGGGATAGAGGGTGATGGGCTCCCCAGCTTGTATAATGACGATATGGCTTGGTCAGACAAGGATATGAAATGATCTCTTTGGCGATGTTTCACGCACGGTTGTAAGTCAGCCCTGAGGCACTAGGTATCATATGACAACGCGCTCTGGCTTGGGGGACTATAGTATAACTCCTACAACGTTTGCTAGAACGCGAATTGGCTCGGTAGCAACATCTCATTCCGATGGTGAACCACAGTTGACATTCGAGCTTTCAATAGCGCCGGAGTCTGGCAGCATACATTTTCTATGACCATCAACTTAAGCAAGTTGGTTTGTGGCTCTCAGAGCGGGTGATGATGCAAAGTCTTATAAACATCTGGTCATATCGTTTTAGCTGCGACCAGATTGTTTTGTTCCAAGCAATTCTAACGCATTTGGATAATGGAAGTACAAGCGGCAGATCTACTGGCCTGATAGCACCCAATGTCGAGAGTCTGGTACGACCCGCCATTGGAATGTAACCGGGATATCCGCATCTGGGCAAGTCTCCCACAAATGAACGCATATCCATGATTTTCTGGCAAAGATTTGTTGGGGAAAGGCTGGGCTCGCAATCACGCGGAAGGTAATATCAAGTGGGACCCGTTCTTGACCCTAGAATCCGTGCGGACCATTTACGAGAACAACTCTTCAGGTGACACTTGGGCTGCGGCGGACACAAGTCCCGCTCATGCGTTCTAGACTTTCCGTGAAAGCCAGGGCTTGGCCATGCCAAGCCAGTCTTGACTCCGGCGATTTCACTGCCAAGACCGGGCAAACCGTGGACGTCAGAGGTTCCAACTTGCAAGTCATACGAGTGGCCCTCTGTTGCCACGGTTGACAGACCGTCGAATCACTATTGACGTCCAGACTTTACCCCAGCTTTTTCAAAAGAATTATATGTGCGCATAATTTATTAGGTTTGAAAACGCACGGGCCAGATGTTGCTTGAATTGTAGGAATGTTCAACTAGTGATGTAATCAAGGGTACTTTTTACTCTAGACGGTAATTTACTATTATGGTAAGGATATAGAACCCCAACTTGTGACAAAGATCTTGTTTTCGTACATGACAACCGCATTCTAGTCATGGTTTATTCTCAATTAAGGGTTGAACGGTTCTATAGCTGAGCCTCGTGAAATATATAGCACTAAAGATAGCACTGATAGGCTTTCCTGCGCACAGCCTCATTCTATTAGTCTCCATGATGTTTTCAGTGGATAGGGGTCGCTACAACGAACTATACTATTGTTAAGGTTGACGGGTGGCAACACACTGTGCCCTCTACGGTCCCAGGAATCAGGGTGTCCCATACCTAAGATAATCCCATCTTTGGGACATGCTGCTATATCTGGCGCTAATCAATATAATATGGGAAGCTTAAATGAACTTGTGACCGGATAACCTACGAAGAGAACGAGCCACATCTTGGCGTTGGGCTCGTAAATAGCATTCAGCAGAAACAAGTCTCACCTGCAGAAACAGGGCCTAGATACACTCAGATCCCGGGCCATAGCCAGTGACGAATTGTACCATAATACTGTTTCTACTTATTATCGATCTTGCAGCACATTCCTATACTAGACAATAAAAAAAAATGGGTTAATTCAGTATACGCTAGCAGAAGGCCTTAGCTACGGTTCCAAAGTATCATGGTCATCAGGGAACGAATAGAGACATACATACCTAGTCATGAGATTCAGGGCCCAGTAGCTGGAACCTGTCTCGATCGGCCTGGCCAGCTTCAACAGACTCTTTCTTTCGTCCATGTACAATCGCTGAGTACATAGACGCATATAAAAGCAGTGATACGCACACTATATCTATCTTGTAGAACATCAATAACAACCAATTCACGGTATTTGAACTACACCACATTATACAAGACATCTAGCTTTCTTGACCTTCAACATGAAGTCACCAATCTATCTTCTCACTGCTCTCCTTCCCCTTACTCTGCCCCTAGTTAATGCGACTCCAACCGCGGAGCCTGACGACCTTGAGGTTGAGGGATCTGTTCTTGAAGAGCGGGATAATTGCAGAGTAGAGCGCCCATTTCCCTACCGCAAGTACCCCTGCGACTCGAGTGACATAACCGGTCGATCCAAAAGAGGTGAAACTGTCAATTTCCAATGCAGATACAGGTATGTTTTTTTGAAAACAGGGAATATTAATTACTGCTTACACGACTGCAGAAACTGGTACAAGACCCCCAAGGGATGGGTGCAAGACCGCGACAAGCCTCGTAATTGCCGTACGGTGACTCCTCATGGTATCTATACTAGATATGATACTAACATCCTGTAGAAGGACCTCGTCCCAATAGTTGCAGCTAGAGCTATGCTGCTCTTCAGGTCACCGAAGTCTAGGGAGGAAGATCGTCTGTATTTGCTTGTGAGAGAAAAATTGCAAAATGGTGGATGTGTGTTGGGGAGCTTCATGTCATTCTTTCACCATGCCGTGGATTTTTTCATTTGAGTTATTTTGAGAATTACTGAACTTTTTGATTTCTTAATTTATAAGAAGTTTAATCAATTATATAGCTATGAACTAGTAATGGGCTAAATATGATGGATTATATATTGTTGTCGTACTTACAATAATGCTCCATTCTAAAACTTCCATCTATCTTATCAAGGCCAGACTCTGGGGCATGTCTGGATTGAGAAGCTGTCAACTCCTTTGCCACTGCGTGCCGTAAATGTTCTGCATGTGATATATATCAAATAGTATCTAAAGTATGGTATATGCTCAAATCATCTAACGCTAATGATGTGGTTTCGCTGATTCGAGTTCGACTTTCATGAACTGGCTAACTATGGACGATGAAGAGCCAACTAAGGTTCTACATCAGAATGAATCAAAACATGGTTGCGATTGCTGACCATGGCTCGAGAAGAGCTTGTAGTGCGTGTAGCGTAAGCATCAGTCGTTGTAGAAAGTTGAATGTTAAAAGGAGTTCGCGCCAATATCCCGTTTTGGTAATTGACGAGGCTCTGTTGACTCATTCACGTGGCTGAATTCATGCCCAATGATATTGATATATGCCGCTTGAATAGCCTGGTGCAATATTACTGTAATGTACTAGACGGTTCTAATTTGAGAACTAAGGGCCTGCTAAACCTAATCTGTATATTTCTTACTGCTTGTATATACCTTGAGAATTTCACTGGTCTGTTAACCAGTGATTAGTCGCGGAGGAGCATTTCACAGTTTCCAGACTGTGGAAGATGTTATTCGGCCACTCTACTCTTGGGATTTGAGGGAGCTTGCAGCCTCATAAATCCGGAGAAAAATCTTGCCATATCGTCATAATCATCTACTTCACCAACCCAGCTCACGTATTGATCTGGCCGGACAATAACAGCGGCGCCGCGGCTAGGGTCGATACCGTAATTGAGATAGGCTTGTCCATGTCCCTCGTGATACGATTGATCATCGACGAAGACCTTCCAATAGTCCCACCCCATCTTCTCATTATATGGATGGAAAGCCTCCGGCAGATCGAGAAGCTCCACTCCTGTCCGCGGGCCAGCATGGACAGTGAGAACTTCAATACAGCTGTCAATCGGCTGATCAGATGAAGTATATTGGCGAATAAACGAGTCCAGACTGCCTAGCCTGTCACCAAGCCTTTGCATGCGCTGCATATTTTGGGGCATTGTAAGTTGACCAGGGAACACGATAATCCGCCATCGCCCGTTGCTTTTTAAGAGCTCCTGCAGATGCCATGGACGGGCGTCCGATTGATTAAGCACCTTGAAACTTGGCATTCGCTTGCCAATGTCGATCTTTGTGGCCAAATGAGTCTTGCTGATTACTCGACGTTGGAGATTGGCAGCAACTTCAGTACCATCTCCCTGCTCAGCAGAGTCGCCTTCTTTTGCCACGATTACGCTAGTACCATAATTGACCACTGCTGGCATTAGCCTGTAAATGGAAATCGCGAAAGCATAAAACCTACCAATTCCACTAGCAAATTCATTCCCCTTCTCCATTGCGGTTTTGAACTCTTCCATACTGACCCCTTCGTCTGCGACGTCCTTTGCTGGTCGACCCGAAAATAGTCTTGACAGCCGGTGGTCAAAATCAATCAGGTCTTGCGCAACCCGTCTTCTCTCTGACTGATATGTCTTTAGAATCGATCCGTCACTGTACCCTTTGACTACATGCGCGATCTTCCATCCGAGATTATATGCTGCGCAAGCAGTGAGTGGCGATGCTCAAATGTACCGTATCGGGTATTTATACATACTGTCTTGCATGCTTACGTTCATACCCTGCCCTGCCTTAGGCGAATGCGTGTGCACCGCATCACCAGCCAGAAAGACACGCTCGCGCAGAGAAAAGTGGTCGCCCACACGTTGCCCGATCTGGTACGCAGTCCACCAGTCGCAGTATGTATAGTCTATCTTATAAGGATGCATAATCCGCTGTGCAGATTGCAGAATAACCTCTGGAGTGATCCAAGAACGGTCAGCCTTACCTCCATTCTGCGCATTCTCGGTCGCTTGCAACTGGATGTACAATCGAACAAGCTTGTTTTCCCGTGGGATGACCATAACGCTACCCGCATTAGCCGAGTGAATGGCACACCGGTAGCGGATATCCGGGAAATCCGTGATGGGTACAATGTCGAGTACGCCCCAGATATAGTCCGTGGAGTCCCCCTCGAGCTTGAAGCCAAGCTGGCGCCGCACCCAAGAATGCGCGCCGTCGCAACCAACCATGAATTTTGCCTTCACCGTCTCGACGGAGTTGGTATTGTTATTCGCTTTCACAGTACGAATAAGATCATCCGTGTCGTCGGCAGCTAGGTTACTTCGAAAGAGCCCGTCACTGATGACCGACTGTGTGCCATCGGCTCTCCGGTGGTGCTGTTGCCGCTGAGCAGGTGTAGCCTCTTCCTCCGACAAAGTGCGCAATGTGACTGTTATCGGATAATCCTCGAAATCCGCAGCTTTAGACTCATCAAACTCGAACGTAGTAGGCAGCACGCCACGCTCGACCGTGATATTGCTATGCTCTTTGATCGAATCGAGGAAGAACCGCTCAATGCGACCCTGATGTAGCACCACCTGCTGAAAGCGACTGATCCCGGGGATGGTATCCGGAATTCGGTCCGAACGTTGCAGAATGCCATCCTTGCCGGGGTTCCAGAAGCAAATCTCGAGCATGTGGTTGGATTCTCGCCAAACCCGATGGGCAAAATCAAACGAGTCGAAAATCTCCAGGGTGCGGCATTGTAGGCCATCTGCCTGGCCATTGAAGATCTGTAGCTCCGTTAACACTGCTTTTTTGACCGATACATGATAGACACGCACCTTGGTGCCACGCTTGTCCACAATCCTAGTCTTGATGTCGAACCGGCTCAGCCAGTTTGCCAGCATGAGCCCCGCGGGTCCGGCCCCCACAATAAGAACGTCGACATGGTCTTCTTTGGTTGGCAGCGCCTCGGACATGCTGATAGGGATATAGATAATTGAGTTGTTATAGAGTACTACGGCCAGATGACTGAAAATCAGAGTGCCGGCGCCTTTTCTTCCCTGTAACTGTAGTTCAATATTCGTCGTGAATTGGAGAGAATTTTTCGGCGGGGTAATACTTTTTGCTCGCAGCCTTGTCTGCCCCGCTGAATATGCAGGTGTAGCCTCGGCAAGAGCTCAGACCTCAAGGGGATCATCATGATGCTTTTCTCGCGGCCGATGCGCGTATAAAGACAGCGTTTGGGATGGTTATCATATCTCTGCTCGAAAGTAAATCCGGACTAAAGTTCCGGAGCCCCTAGGTTACGCCTAATCTAGGTTTGGCTAATACTGGGGTAATCAAGGCACAGCGATTAAATGTAGACGTGAAAACTGCTGTATTACCTGATATGGTCGGAGTTCTGCGGTTTGAGGCAGTGCGTACGCTAGCTGGGTTGATAGGTATGACCTTGGGATGTCTACACGATAGTCCCTGTACTGCTCTATGCCCCTTGGAACCAGTACTTACGATTTGATTCAAGTGAGCTGCGATATGGTACTAGACCCCACGCAATAACCATGGCACATGATCCGGACTACTCAGACTAGTATAGATCATGTCTTATGACTAGGGTAGCCGTCTAGCATGAAACACAAAGGGGCGTTTTACCATCGTCGTACGTGTTCATCCCGTCACCTATCGATGTCTCCCCGGAATCACTACTTCGACATACACAACCTTCCACGCTGGACTGGAGTCAATCGCTTCACATTAACATTGCCTACTCACGAAGCATTATTCAGAACCTTTCGTAGTGGTTTCTTAGTCTTCCCAGGAGTGATTCTCTGGGTCGCGAACCTAAATATCATAGCTTTATACATAGCCGATCAGAACCTCGCCGGACAATTAGGCAGGCTTCAAAACTTACCCCCAATAAGTTCGTCCAACTGTCTATTGCTTTGATGACCTTCATCATTATATAAATAAAAGAAGAGGATCATATACAATATTCTAATCAAACTCCTAGTGGAACAATTTTCTTTCTGGATACTTGACTTCGACTTGGCATCATGGGCCAAGCGCCGTGATATTCAGTTTCGACCTATCTAAATCAGATGTATATTGCACAAACCGAGCGGCAGGAGAAAACATACGAAGAAAAGGAAATGAATTAATCACTTCAGTTGCAACTTTGTTCTTGTGGCCGATTTTCTTCCAACAGATCCATCCGCACCTAACCTCGGTATTAGGGCCTCTTATCTCCGTTCCAATAAATTCATAGCTACGGCTATACGGGCTACATTGTGGCCGACTTCCGATTTTATATCCAACTTAAAAGCGGACATAAGCAAGGACGGAGGTAACAGGCAACGACAATGTGAACCTTCCTAAATTCCATGATGGGGTATAAATAACCATGAAAGGGCAGTGGGCCAGAAAATGTTCTTGAAGATTTAGAATATCACAATTGGATAGCAGAAATCCATACTATCATCAGATCAGCAACGAAATGGCCATCAATTACGCCAAGAATCAAGGCGCACATTTCCGGAATGAGATCCGGCGCGTCGCCGTCATCGGTGTACGTCCGTCATGCATACAAGATCCCTCCCAAGTCTGCTAGTGTCAGTCAACTAACCAAGAGGACCTAGGCTGGAGGCACCGTCGGCAAGCCCATCGCCCAAGAGCTCCTCAAAACAGGCAAACACAATGTAACCGCGCTGACTCGTGCCGGGAGCCAAAGTACCTTACCCGAGGGCATCCGGACCGTGCCAGTTGACTACGACGATGAGGCAAGCCTATCGAGTGCCCTTGAGGGCCAGGATGCCCTGATAATCACATTACCCGTGACCGCAGCACCGGACACACAATCCAAGCTTATACAAGCCGCCGCTAAGGCCGGGGTTAAATACGTGATGCCGAATGTCTGGGGTTGCGACATCATGAATGACGGCCTAGTGAATAGCGGACTAGGCTGGGAGAGGCTCCGTAGAGCTTTCGACGAAATCGAGAAGACAGGTGTTTCGTCGTGGGTGTCCCTGATTTGTGGGTTCTGGTATGAGCATAGTGTGAGCCTTGGGCCGCCTACTTTCGGGTTCAGTTTCGCGGAGAAGAAGATGGTATTGTTCGATGAAGGGGAGACTAAGATTAATGTTAGTACTCCTACGCAGTGTGGGAGGGCTGTTGCGAGGTTGTTGAGTTTGAAGGTGTTTCCGGAGAATGAAAACGATCAGAGTGTGACACTGAGTCGTTGGTTGAATAAACCCGTGTATATCTCCAGCTTTCGCATCACCCAGAAAGAGATGTTTGAGAGTTGGAAGCGGGTCACCGGAGAGAAAGATGACAATTGGACGGTTGCGTATGAGTCCAGTCGTGAGAGATATGAAAAGGGACTCGAGCGGATGAAGAATGGAGAACACGGTGGTTTTCTTCAAGCAATGTACTCGCGTGTCTTGTTTCCAAATGGAGATGGGGACTATGAGAGCAAGCATGCTTTGGCTAATGAGCCGCTTGGTCTTCCCCGGGAGGACCTTGACGAGCACACCAGGAATACGAAGGCTATGGTTGATCGGGGGTATGATTATATGACGAAGCGTGACTGACATGCATTCTATTCTATGGACTATATCTTCCTTCACATGAGTTGTTAGACTGGAAAACAGACCTTTCAGATTTGGAAACTAGTTCCAGTACCTCGCATATTCACAGTTGTTTTTCTTTGATATATATAATTTGATTTTAGAATAGCACTCCACTGATTTGGCTAGTCGAATATTTTTCCTGGATTGAGCAAACAACTTGAATGATCATTAGCACTGTGTGAGCTGCACACGGACCGTGACTTACTGAGGATCCAAACTGCGCTTCAATGTGCGCATAACCCCGACAGTTTCAGGTCCCAGCTCTTCTAACAAGCACTCCTTTTTCCCGAGGCCAATGCCGTGCTCGCCCTTGGAGACCATTAGCCAATCTGTTGCATCCAGGCACTGATCACCGAATATTGAACAATGGAATTACTGACCGAAACCGTTCCCTCCATCTCCACAGCTCTGTGTACCATTGCCAGTACACAGTCTCGAACAGATTGCTTCTGGTCTGGGTCGTTTGGATTATACATCACAGCTTGGTGGAAGTTTCCATCTCCAACATGTCCTAGAACACTCGAGAAGAGCCCCAATTGGCCGGATTCCTTCTTAGAGAGGTCTGGAAAGGTTAGTCAATAAGCTTCTAAAAGAGCCTTTCGTATACTATACCAATAATCTCTGCCATTCTCGATAATGGCACAGCCACATCAGTAGACCAGATCTGGGTACCCTCAGGTCGCACCGCAAGCATTGCCCACAAAGACTCTTTTCTCGCTGCCCAAAGACTGTTCATTTCCTCATCACTCTTCGCGAACTCAAAGTTCTCTCCTCCATGTTGCGAGCTGATTGTTCGAACTCGTTCAACATCCTCTTCTATAGCTCTTGGTGTGCCCGAGAATCTGTCTCACGCTTAGCGGTATCCAACATCGTAGCTTGGAGAAACATACTTGAAGAGCAACGTGGGTTTCTCCTCCCAGAGTCTACCCCCCGCTCCTCCGTTCTTATTGATGACCATCATTTGAGTCTCGTCCATCATCTCCAGAGCAGCGATTTGGATTCCTGTACGCATGATTTTGGATGCGGTGGCCGCTGCCTCGCGGATGGAGGGAAATGTGGCAACGGCTACACTTTGCTTCTCCGGTATGGTTGCCAGCTTCAGAGTGATTTCTGTGATCATTCCGAGTGTTCCTTCACTGCCGGTGAACAGGGACGTCAAGTTATATCCAGCAGATGTTTTCCTTCTTCTTGTCAGCTCCTCATGTATAATAACCTGTCTCAGAAGAATCCGTACCGCGGCCGATGTCTTGTTTTAATCACGCTTCCATCCGCTAAGACAACTGTAACATTGACGACCCAATCCTTCATTGTGCCGTATCTCACAGCGTTTGTTCCGCTATACATTGACGTTTAGATAGGGCCTCGGAACAGCTGCGGATGATGTGAACGTGTATCAACTTACCTGCAATTTGTTGCGACCATACCGCCGATCAATGCCTGTAAATCAATTAGAACACTCTATGAGCCCCAGAGAGAATTAAACGTACCGTGGGACTGGGATCTAGTGGTAAGAAAAGCCCACTATTTTTGAGGAGATTGTTGAGATCAACCCAATTCACCCCCGGTTGGACTACAACGTCCATACTAATCGAACCATTAGCACTGGGTATGTATATGTTTCCATCAAGACAACATACTCTTCCGGGTGAAATGAGATAATCTGCTTCATATCCGAGAAGTCAATGGTTAATCCCGAATATGGCGCGACAAAGTTCCCTTCGACGCTTGAGCCACCAGCAAATGGAACTACATGGTTTAGTGAGTCCAACATCCAGACCGACTCAATCGCCTCGCAAGACAGAGTTCCGAATACGCACTCATTGGAATCTTAAAGGCAGTACAAATCTTCGCGATAAATGCCACATCCTCCGTACTCTTCGGCCTAGCAACAGCCACCGGCCTCGCCTGACAATTCGAAGTGGATAATTCAGAATATCCATGAATCGCAATTTCCTCCTCATCCCAAGAAACCGAGTCCTCTCCTAGAGTCTCCTCAATTATCTTGATTCCCTATCATGGCCCATATCAGCATCCAACACGAGATGAGTACACGGACTCGGAGAGTATCGGTACCTTTATCATAGCCTCTTTATCCGCATACTCAACACCCTTTGCACCCTCGACCTCTGGTGAATCTACTTGAGGTGAATCTGACGATTGCCATCGAGAAACCAACAGACATCCTCCAATTCCAGTGACCAGACCCGTGAGACCCCATTGTGCGGAACTGCGACCGTTAGAATTATCGCGAGGTTGCCGCGTGGCCTCTACATGGTTGTATCGAGCGAACGGCACCCGTGCGGGGATCGTCGCTCTTCCACCAAGGCGGAACCTTGGGAGTGAAACTGCTCTTGACATCGGTCGCATTGAGGGCTTCTCTCAAGTGTAGTTGCTACTGTGAGAAACTAATATATTTTTCGAGTTGGAATGTATGTATTTTGTTCGAATCGGAATGTTGTCCGTTAGTGAAAGTCCCTCGGGATCCCTTTCACGGGCGCGGCTTTTCCCAATCGGGAATATCCGACCGTTTCATGCAAGTCGTTCTTTTGAGTCTAGTTGATACCACCCTGGACTTATTATTTTCCCACCCGAGCTGTTTATCGATGTGGTTGGATTATAAGGGATTGGGGATATTAATATGTTTGTCATAAGGGGAATTGACATCTCTAAGGGTTGTGTAGTTAGTATGCACCAGACCTTTGTAGGGTTTATGCTTCATGATAGGTCAAGAGATATATAGATCTGGACGTTGTTACTTGATCTGGCCTTTGGGAGTGAGCACAGCTTTATATAACGATGTATCGCAATGAGCAGTATAGATTAGCTGCGGGCGACACCATTTGGCTCGGCCGATAGATCGACGATATGCACAATGTGTCCTCGATCTCTCTATCGAAGCCCGCGCAGCGTGTGGTCTCAACATAAACCATGTCGCTGACTCCAAGAAATGTTAAAACTGTGAGGAGAAAAACAATGTAGCGGAAACTGCTGCAATAAGTCAGCACTAAATGAATTGTAACCAGGCAACCTCTCAAATAGGAGTCTTCCCAGTATGGAATTTGATATGGCCACCTGACGAAAAAGAGATCCGTTGTACAAAATGGGTAGGCCAACACAGAAGATAGGACCAAGGACAGTGACCAATGTCTCCCATAAATGACTGCAACAATAATGGTACAGTCTGACCCGCACGGTCATCACATGTGGCCGCAACCTATCAGCTTCAAGTTTGTAGTATACCAATCGACCCAACGCAATAAAGTAGCCAAAGTGTTGTTGAGGAGTAATATGGTCGCAGTAGATCAATAGGGCAACACAAACCAGGAGAATGTCTTTTGAAACGCCTGCCGTGGTCAGGAGCACCGAGGGGATTCTTGCGGTTCTGCGAGAGATTAGCCATGAAATAAGATACCAACATGGCCCAAGAGAAGTGGCTTACTAACAGCAGTACACCAAATTTAGAAATGACTGTAACCGCGGTATTGGTGATCATTAGTTATACAAAGCGAATACATGCCTAAAGGCTCTGCGACATGATTGGACTCGCCTGAAGCATTTGCATGAACGACAATCAGGTAGAGGTAATAAATACTACCACAGATTAGGCCCAGACGGAACATGTTGGCAATAGACACAATGGCAGTGCTATTTCATTTAGACCGGAGAATTAGTATCGGCGACTGCCAGGCCATTGTGTTCTGTGCGGTCCTGGTGATCACAAACCCGTATACATACGTGGAATCATTGCAAACAATGTTATCGGTGCATCAGCCCAATATTTGCTCCATACTCGTCGCGAATGCCTTGTTTAATGTTGCCCGGAACGGTGTTGATCAATGATAGTTAGATCAGTAGCTGGTCCCGGTCGCGATCTCGAAGAGGTAAAAGGAAGAAGAAGCGAAGAAGAGTCAGACGAGTCCGGACGGGGAGGGACATACAGAGCTAGGTGCCTGCAAGTACCCGTTTGTTGAAAAGAAATGCTGATAAGCTTCAAGCAATCTATAGTTGCTTCGTCTGAGTACACATAGGCTACTGTTCCCTCAAAGATTTTAACTCTTCCTAGACAGCTGCGAGCGAGTTCATATGAGCGTAGTAGTGCAAGCGGGCTCCTTGTCGAGGGCCGCCTGAACGAGGTTATGGGCGTAAAGATCGATTATGCTCGCGCGTCTGAAGGATGTCAATTTGGGCTACAACGTCACGGGATGCGCAGTTCAGCCGGTTCAACATCATGTAGCGGCCCACACATGTGCTCCGATGTTGTGCAATCTTGGTGATTAGTCTTTCCTGAGAAGGAGTACATGAATACAAGTCTTGCTCCTAGGACAACGCCGCTTTTTCATACTATGACTCTATATCCTCCGAGGCAAGCATTTTTCTGCATGCTATTCAAAAGGCAAACCGATGCCACTCTGGGGGTGACTGTGGCCTTAGAAGTAGCGACGAATGATGTGAAGTGAAATAAAAGATGGTGCGAGAGTATATCTGCTGTCCGAAGAGCTATTAGAGGTGCTGCAATTTCTTGCTCCTCGGTGTTTCTAATGCTCTTGAAGTTGAACTGGACAGGTTAGCTGCTCGCGGGCCATTGCACTTCTACATTAGTGAAGACGACAGCGAATAGCTTTCCAGCCATGGTCGCTGGAACCTTTCCTAAAGGAGCGTAATGGAAAGAGAGATGTGCGTGGGGATTGTCTGGCATAGTCGCCCGCTAGTAATTCCTTTAATCGCATGATTCATTCGAAGTAAGCCTGGAATTAGCAGGAGGTCATCAAGAGATGGGTGCATCTTTCCTTCGCATAATTGAATGCCGCTACGTTGTAAGAGCAGGTTTCAGTACTTTGATCTCAAGATTCGGCACTGAGCTAAAACGCTAATTGTAAAGGGACTGCAAACTCTAATAACACAGTGGCGTTAGGTAAGCATCAACGTAGGATCTCCCCAAGGCCTGGAACCGATTCGATGACGAGCTGACTAGTGCAATTTGCATGGGGTGGATACTGGGTAATTTATGACATGTCTTCCAGCCTGCCAAGAATCAACCGCCCTCAGAAATAGCAGCATCCCATGACCAGTGGATGAAGTACCGTGTTTGATATGGTCTAGCAGAAAGGGTGTGTAGGAACATAGCTGTGGTCGGCGGTTGATACCCGGTAAATACTTTTGTGCGGATCCCGTCGGAAACGTTCACGGGTCGGCTCTGGTTGAAATCGACGAAGCCCTGCAGGCCACCGGGGCGTTAGTGCTACTCGATCTTGCCCATGCAATTGAACGGCTGCGGAAAATCGGCTGTGAAATTAAATCAGCGACAGTCGTGGCCTGCGCCGGCCTCACTGAAGTGGCGCAATAAATGGAGATCGTTAAGTGACCTCACTGCCTGCCAGGCAGCCACGTCAAAGGATCTGCAGCCCCTTGCAGATGTACGTACCTGACTATTGCAGTCTCCCTTGATAGCCCCATATACACCACCTTAACATCTGGGTCGATCGGTAAGCCGAAAGGCGCGCTAATCACCCGGCCCCATACGTGACCTCCGCCTTGGCCCACAGACTGGGTTTGTCTGCCAATACATGGTTCTTTCGATCTTTATCATGCGCCTTTGAGGAGATCGTAGCTTATCCTTTTGCCGTCTCCCCATTGGGCGAGCGGCTCTGCATTCTCTCATCCAAGGACAACTGAGTGAATCGTCCGCTCATACAATGCCTAGCAAGTGAGTGCCTCGAGTTAGACTCCATTGCTCGCTTGGACGAGAAATACCACGCACCTGTATATTGCGGGAGGTTTTTGTATGAGGAGGAAAGACAATGCCGCCCATCGATCTCGCCTCGTGCATCTCCCGTAAATGTCTTTGTAACCTCCACGGACGGGTTCAATGTACCTCAGGGAGGACAGCATATTCCGCAGTTCGGTTCTATCTCCAATATCCGTTTTCATGGGTGATCAAAAGGCTGAATGTGAGGGATCCTGAGTCCAGGCTGTAGTATCACTTCACGTCACCCAGTCTCGTGGGCAGATATCTGATCGAATATTTGATTGTAGGTCATGGGTATCTGAGCATGCTGAATACAAGCATACAAAGGTTGCCATGTTTATCGATTTTGCCAGCGGGCTTCCCATCGTTGGTAACAGACTACCCAGCCGGCACCATGTCATAGGTAATTTGAAGCATTATGTCCCGGATGGCTCGTTCAGATATATAAGGTAGGGCGGGAGGAGGGTTAGGTCAAGGTCCGAGGATAGAGGGGCCGAGCTAGGTGAGATGGAACGCAAGGTTAGCCCAGGTCAGCAATTCATGGTGCTAAATTAGTGATAGCAGGAGCAGGCCCCCTATTTACCCTACCAAATTTGCAAGGAGCTCTGGCATTTTTAACAACCATTCCCTGGAAACCAAGTATAATGCTGTTGCATCAATTGCATATATGTATGTGTGTGTCAGCTCGGATGATGATTAGAGATGGGACTGGCGTAGTATGAGGTGAAACTGGTCTAGCTTTTATACGGGAAATTCCTCCTCGGCGGTGTCTGATGGGGATAGAGCCCAATATGATGATATTTGGCGACCGATTCGAAACTCAATCAACTTTACATTGTGACTAGCGCAACAAAAGCAGTCGTTAATGGCCATACCATCCAAAAACAATGTGCAGTCTTACCTTCGCCAACCTATTCCCTTCGGACGTATGCAAGGCCGCTGCCTTGAGGAAGCTCCCTGGGCTATGTTAACTCCACTGCACTGTATGAAGTACGAAGAAACCGAGGCCCGTATCTGAGGCTGCTCTGCAGTTTCACATCCAAGTGATTCTCCCGCTACACACGTACGTCAATAGATATTCAATCCATTCCATTGAGAAGATGTTATTGCCATCTGCAGCCGCGCGGTGACCAGTGCCTTGCTTGGTATGTAGATAGTAGTGTCTAGAAGGGTCTAAACCAGAAAGGTCGGCACTCTAGATTAGCACCCATTCATCACCGAGTGCAAAGGGCCACTCGAAGGCACAAAATGCTGCAGTCTATACCTTGTTGTGATCTCCCTGAGATTAGTCAAAGATGTGACTATCCCCCTAAGTCATCGCTGCCCATATTTATTGCAGAATAGCCTCGAATTGCTCAGACTTGTAGAAATACTACTTATCCGATCCGCAACAACGAATGTTATGGTATACCACATGGAGATACTTTCAACGATAAATTTGGGTGACTGGTTATGTAGACAAAACATGGTAAATGTCTGAGCAATATAAGCATTTGAGTCAAATTGACAGAGATAGCCGAAGACATCATGGAGAGGCAATCATGAACTTGATTAGATGATCGTGAGGAAAGGATTAAAGCAAGACCAGAAGCAGTGACAAGACGAATATGGTGACTAAGCAAGCATTTTCGGACAATATAAGTGTCTTGTATCGAAAACAATAAGTCGAGAAAGAAAGACTTGTGCTGGGGGACTGCGCTGGATGGATGACTATACAAATCATTACATCCCCGAAGGTTAACAAAT